AGCGGATTGTAGGTAGTGCAGTGCTTCCGAGGGATACTGCAACAAGGGCAAAGACGCGCACAGTCAGGTGGTGAAAGCGAAGCTGCGAGTTTGGTACCTGCATCCTTTATCGCAATATTGGTTCCAAGCTCGTAGTATGGGAAGCACGGACCTCTTTCCCGCTTTGGCTTCGGTGGCCCTGCTAGCCGCCTGTCGGACGGTATTGGTATTGGCATCCAGAAGCAGGCGACCCAGTTTACGTTGCAATCTTGATTGTTCTTCCTTGTGCGCTGTGAAGTCTGTCTCCTCACTCTACTCTGGACTGGTGCATCACACGACTGCTGTCTACTTCACGCAAGAGCATACGACGCCTGCAAGGACCATCGCAGCCCCCGAGGATACGCGCTCCCCCATCAGGCGTCGACGACAAAGCGCTTAACGACCGCCACGCCTGGCCGCCTGAGGAGACCTTCACCCTCCCCGCCTTGCGCAGTGCAGTGCCACCGGCTAGCTGTGTATCTGAGACCACACCCAGGATATCCCACTTGCTCCCGCTGGAGACGAAACACGCCGGCTCAATCTCGCTTCGTCTCAGACAGGGTGCCCTATTGACGACGCCAGGCCCGGGCTATATCGCCATCGATAACACAGACGTCGTCCCCTCGACGAGCTTGCTGAGAGGGCTTGGCAGCATCACCTCACTCCACCCTCTGCCAACCCTCCGAGACGCTGCCCGGCCGTCGACGTCACCCCCATCATGGCCTACACGACCAAGTACCACGAGGACTCGGATGCCGATGACGAGTTCGAGCGCCAGGGCATATCTAGCCCGACCCTACCCGCCGAGTACGAGAGCTCCCCCACGAGCTCAGGCCCGCTGAGCACCGAACACACGCCCACCACCTTCACCCACTCACGCGACAGCAAGAGCAGCCCGACAGGGCACATAATGGAGTGGAACGAAGACCAGACGGCTGACTTCATCGCGGACCTGGGCCTGGAGCAGTACTCGGATACCTTTGCCAGTAGGTGGCTCCGCACCTGCGCCAGCTATCCTTTGCTAATGCTTTGTTTGTAGATGAGGGCATCACAGGCGACGTGCTGGCAGCGCTACAGCATGCCGAGCTGAAGGAGCTGGGTGTCGGCAGTGTAGGTCATCGCCTTACCATACTAAAAGCTGTCTACGAGATCAAGATACGGCAGAATGTGCCCATGGACCCGGACGACTACGTCCCGCTGTGTGAGTCCATTGTCTGTTTTATGCCTCTTCACCTCTAATCACTGCCTCAGCCGCGGATACATCAGCGCAGGAAGCGCCGCCAACCCAAGACGACTTCGCCAAGGTCATTCGCGTAGTCCAGGCGCGCGACGAGCGCATACATACCGCTGAATCGGAGCTGCGACATCTCAGAGAAGACCTCAGCAGGGTCATGGACGAGAACAAGCGGCTACGAGAGGAAATTCTGCCACTCGTGCGCATGCTCAAGGACAACCAACCCCTACCCACTCCTCACGAGCACGCTGTCACATCGCCACCTGCCACCCAAGAGAGATCTGGTGGAAGCAGTCTGTCGCGTAAGTTCTCCACCAAGAAGCTTTTCCTTGGATCCGCGCCAAAGAACCCCTCTCCAACGATCCAAGAACATCGCGCTCTTGTCGATCACTCTTCTTTGGATCCTTCCGCAGCAGCCGTGGCAGCCTCCTCACACCTTACAGCATCTCTCGGTGGCGGCCCGCAACTGTCGCCCAACTCCATTGCGCAACCCTCCCCGACATCCCCCGCATACAATCAAGGACAAAGCCGCCAGTACAACCGCGAAATACCTCGAAGCGCGCACGATCACGACGGTAGCTCAGGGTGGAGTCAAAACAACACATGGAACTCAGACTCGACTGCTGTGTCCGACCGTAATCGCGATCCCCGCGCTACGCCCGCACCACTGTCGTCACGACCGATGCGAAACAACGCTGCACCAACGCCGAACCCTGACGATCGCGATCGCGACCCACCACTCTCTGGTGGCTCAAGCTCAATGAACGCCTCCACATCCAATCCCGCATCCACCCCATCTACGAATCCGCAAGTCGAAATATTCAAGTCGTTCCGAGTGTCCATCGACGATCCATGTCACAAGGTGCTGCCAGTTGCGCTCAAAAAATATAACATCACGGCAGATTGGCGGCAGTATGCTTTGTACATTGTACACGGTGACCAAGAGCGATGCCTGGGGCTCAACGAGAGGCCGCTGATATTGTTCAAACAACTTGACAAAGAAGGTCGGAAACCGATGTTCATGCTTAGAAAGCACGCAGCACCACAAGAAGGCCATGTCAGCACCGTGGGTGGAAACGATGTACGGCCCGTGAATCCGCAGACAGAGAGCTTCGGATGGGGCAGCCAGAATAGAGGGACACCGCTTCCTGGAGGTGTCTTGTAGACAGGCATAACGCTACAGGATAGAAAAAGATTACTGTCTGTTAGAGTTTGACACTGTAAGACTATGGGCGTCACTGAGAACGGCATCATGCGATACCGCGGTCGATCGAGCGACGCTGTTGTGTACGACGTCACCGGAGCATGTATGGAAGGAGGAACTGTTCTCTGAACATCGCCTTACGATCAGGGATCATACAAGATGTCATATCTACAACATCTTGCCTGGCGAGGATGACGACATTCGCTCATCCAGCGCAATTGGCGCACCCACAGCATGATCGGAGTTTCGGCGCAATCACGGCCCTTGTACTATTTACATTCATGCCTTGGGAGAATAGGCTGCGGTTTCACGGTGACTTTGCTGAAGAAAAAGGGTGGGTTCAGAAGTGGTGGGTGGATCAGGATGAAGAGTTTTAGATGATACTATTCTCTGTGGATGGCCACGTAAGAAGAACTCCTACAGTGAGCATCTGCCGATTATTCCAAACACGTTCGAGGCGTATAGCGAGCGTTGTCGTGTCGTATTACGTTCTTCCTTCCAAATGCAACAATGTGTTGATTTCTGCGTTTGATCCACGAAAAGTCACTCTCCGTGTGGGCATTGTAGCGCAATCCTCATCGTACCCTCGCCGTCTTCGACATCTCGCAATGTCTTGCCATGTCTTGCCATATCCGTGTTGATGTGTTGGCCTCGAGTCATGGAACATGCGTCAAGCGTGATTGTGCCTGCATATATGTGACACGTCATGATGCAGGTACCGAAAGTTTGTCACATCAATCGCTACGGGGTGGGTTTGGTTTTGTCTTGCTGCTATTCTGGATCGCTACTATTTTCGCCACGTCTGAGGAAAGGGAGAGGATATATTTAGCTACACTGGCTCTTTTCGGCCGGACCACTGCCGCTGTATCTAGGTTGTGGTGGGGCTCTATCTAGGTGAGCATAGCGGCGTTGTGATGTCGTCCTCAATGGTAGATTTCGCTCTTGAGCATGTATGCGGCTGGCAGTAACAAGACAGGGAGGTTTTGATATGAACAACCGTTTCTTCCGTTGACTTGCATCAAAAGTCCTTGTGGATCTCTGGAGGAATATCTCTTCGTTCTTTTCCTCCAGAATGAATAAACATTGTACCTCTACTCAGGATCCTCTCTTCCATGCCAAGCACGCTTAGTCTTGCTCTGAAATCCACCTCATGGGTATCTCAATGACGATTGCCGTCGTCGTTCTAGCAGGCTGAAGCTTCTCTCTCTCTTCTTAGCCTTCTCTATCCTCCATCAAAAAGGCTTGGCTGCCTTTCTCGCCTCTGCTTTCCCACTCACTGGGTCCCTAAATTCCTTCCAGCTAACCGGATGCATGACCCTACCTTCTTCACTTCTTGCCAAGACAACACCGAATTCATTTCGATCGGTAGCAACGTAGTAATTGCCGCTGTCGCCCAAACTAATCACCGTGCCCCTCACCAAGTCACCGACCCGGAAGCTCTCTTCAATCTTTATCTTGTCCTTCTCCGTAGCCCGGATATCTTCGCGCCGAATCTGTGCCAAAAACGCTTCGCGGCAAACTGCATCGTCAATGACGAGAATCTCTGCGCTGGCGAAGCGTGGGCCGAGACGCGTTATGCGGACTAGGACTGTGCTGCTGACCGTTGGGAGGAGTGGTACGCCGCCGCCAGAATTGGGACCGAGGATCCCAGGATCAGTGGAGGTGGGCGGGCGCGTTATAGAGAGCAGTGGTGCGAGTTTGGTGGATTTGGAGGACGTGTTTGTGGTATGGTGTGACGGTGAAGAGAAGACGGGTCCAGCTATTGAGGCATAGATCTGTGAGTCGTGAATGTGCGTTCCTGGACCGGGACTGTATTTGTCGACACTACCAAGCAGTTGTCCTGGTAGTGCAACTGGAGGGAGCGCCATGATGGTAGTGCGTGGTAGGTGTGTCTCGTTGAGCCTGTGCTCAGAAAAGTCTATGCGGTTCGATTTGACCGACGGTTCTAGTCGTAAGGTGGAGGTACGTTGCTTTCGATGTTTAGTATGTGAATCGGTTCGCGATGTGGTACATCGATTGCGTTGTCTTGTTTGTGTCTGAGTCTGGGCGAGATTTCGTGCGCGTGGTATTGAAGCTCTGATGATTGGTGTCGCATGCTGGGATTGTACACTTTTTAGCTGCGGAAGCTTACGTCATTCGCCTAAACTTGCCGTCAACTAGCCATGTATATTGCTTGAAATCACGTAAACGCCAGCAAGACATGCTCGATTCCAACTACTATTTATTACACTACGATGTTTGCTGTGAGGCTGCGTATCTTGCGCGCTCCTGGCGCTAGACCTGCGCCCCGGCCGAGGCCTTGATGTTCGAATCATACAATCACTTCCGCATACACAAAGCAGAAGAACGCCGGTTTTGTACCAACCATGTATCTTAGCACCTTGCTCCAATCGCCGAGCCATGCAATCCCACGCAAAACAGTCATGAAAATCATTCGCTCATGGTAACGTTCCGATAGAAGACGTGCCCGATCTGGCCCTCAGATAGGTTCATACATGTTCCCTCTGTTCTGGGTCTGACTCTACGGTCTCTACGGTCCGGCGACTAGACGGCTTGGTAGAGGAGTAAGGGTTCGCCGATGTTTTCTATCTCGGGAATAGTGCACTTGAGGTCAAAGGCCTTTGATAGCACGATCTTGAAGATCTGAGCTAATGTTAGCACAGGGCCGGCGATTGAAACAGTAGCCTCTCACCTTCTGCACGTTGATACTATGACTAGTCGAGCTGAAGATCAGACTGGCCTTCATTGCTCGCGCAAATCGTTTAGCCTAGGCAATGTTAGTCTGGTACTGTCCTTGTCCCTAGCAGGTGAGGTGTACCTGGTTGGAAATCTCCTCCTGTTCTTCTCGTGGGAAGTTGACAAAATGGTCGTACTTTGTGCCGACCAGAAACGGGATAGCAGTCTTGTTGAAGCCGCGTCCCTGTCGGTACCACTCCTTGATGGAGTTTAACGTGCTCTTCCGTGTCAAGTCGAACATGAAGAGTATCGCAACGGCGTCGTTGCAGACGAGCGGCAACATGTTGACGAATTCGCGTTGACCGCCTAGATCCCAGATGGAGAAGGTGATCTCGGTGTTTCGAATCGAGATGGTCTTTTCCATGAAGTTCACACCTGGGGTTGTTAGAAGTTGCGTTCTGTGGAACATGCTTGTGTAGCTCACCGAGTGTTTGGATGTAGTCTTCGTCCCAACTGCCCTCGACGTACTTGACCATCAAGCTGGTCTTTCCAATCTGCGCGTCTCCAACCATGCCAACTTTGATGACAACGCTGGCGTTCTTGGCAGCCTCTTGCTGCTGCTGCTGCTGTTGTTGTTGTTGTTGTGCGCTCCGTGATTGCTCTTGGTACGAGTTGGAGCGCGTGTTGCCCTCGGAGGTTGGGTACCGTCCCATCTGCGAGCTCGGCCGCGAATGCGACTGGCCCATATGTGTCTCTTTGTTGGCGTCGTAGTAGCCATGTCGCGGAGGCGTGTCGGCGTCTGAGGAGGTGTTGAAACGCGAGCCGTTGTGTGTGGTGTACTGGTACGCGGTGTCTGAGTACGAGGTTGAGGGCCGGTGAGGCTGCTCGTAGGGGTTGGGGCTGTTGTTCAGGCTGGTGTTCTGGTTGAGGTCTGGGAGGGGCGTGACAGTCGAGGCGGTGATGGTGGAGCTCATGCTGTCGTCGGCGCCGTCCATGGTCTGGTCCATGTGCTTCTGCGCTTCCTGGTCGCCTTGGACGGGCACTTGCTCGGGCAGTACTGGCTCGGGCTGCAGCTGCTCAGGCGCGACTTGCACGGCAGGTGCGAAGGAGCCCTGCTGCGCGGGTTGCTGACTCGGGTACTCTGGCTCCATGACTACTATGTCTCCGTGGCCCCGCGGTCCGTGACTTGAGCTGAAGGCGCCCTGGCACGCGTCGAGACGGTGAACGCAAGCGGAGCGTGTATTTTCTTCTTTCTTGGCGACTCTCCTGCTCGCACAATTGTATGCCAACTTCAGGGGGCGTCTGTGTATTATGGGTGCCGTCTCGGTCTTGTTGACCTAGCATGTACGCGATGCGATTGGACTGGGCGCAGTGTTTCCCTCTACTGTTAGGTGCGAGGGGGGGATGCCGTCACTTAGCGCCGCCCGATACGCCGATCGATAAGCCTCAAAAAACATTCGGCGGGACAATTTCCATTGACAACTGTTTTTTTTTAACGACATCGTCCAGGACACCCAAAGCACACACCACGCGCTCTCCACACCATGGCGAAACGACCCGCAGACTCGGAGCAAGAGCAGGAGGCAATCAAAAATGGAGAGCGTCCCATGGAGATTGACCAGCACAACGACGTGGGCGACTTCGAGGACGAATTCGAGGATGAGTTTGAGAGCGAGGACGAGATCCTAGAGGCCGGCGTAGACGGACGGCCGGACGAGGAGCGCGAAGCAGAAGAGCGCGAGAGTATGTTGCGCACCATCAAAGGCCTGGAGCCCACCACTAACGCCTCCAGGTGGTATGGATGTTGACCAAGATACCTTCATTCCTGGCCGACACAAGCTCTCCCCAGGCGAGACACTGAACCCCGATCTTTCGACGTATGAGATGCTCCATGCGCTCGAAGCCCCATGGCCCTGTCTATCATGCGACATCGTACCCGACAACCTAGGCGTAGACCGCAAAACATACCCCGCAACCGTCTACTCGGTCGCTGGCACACAAGCAGCGCGAGGAAGGGACAAAGAGAACCAGATCATGGTCATGAAGATGAGCAGCCTGTCGCGCATGGAGAAGGACGACGACGACGACGACGACGAGGATTCAGACGACGAGGCTTCAGACCCCATCCTCGAGACCAAGTCGATACCCTTGACCAGCTGCACCAACCGCATACGCGCCCACCAAACACCACAAGCAACATCTGCACAGCCTCCCACAACCCTGACTGCTGCCATGACCGAGTCAGGACAGGTTCTGATCCACGACGTTACTCCCCACCTCACAGCCTTCGATACCCCAGGTACTACCATTTCGCCCACACAAAACAAGCCTGTCTGCACGATTCGCGCACATGGATCCAACGAGGGTTACGCGCTAGATTGGTCGCCAATCATACCAGAGGGCAAACTCTTGACGGGCGACTGTACTGGAAAGATCTTTGCGACGACACGGACACAGGGTGGAGGTTTCGTCACAGACACCACACCGTATACCGGCCATAGCGGCTCGGTAGAGGAGCTCCAGTGGTCACCAACTGAGAAACATGTCTTCTCCTCCGCGTCAAGCGATGGCACAGTCAAGATCTGGGACGCGCGGTCAAAGTCACGGAAACCCGTACTCAGTGTGCAAGCCTCAAAGACAGACGTCAACGTACTGAGTTGGTCGCATCAAACTGCACATCTTCTCGCTACCGGCGCGGATGATGGCGAGTGGGCAGTTTGGGACCTGCGGCAATGGAAGCCCTCTACAGACATGTCAAACGACAAGAAGCCTTCGCCAGTTGCATCGTACACTTTCCACAAGGAGCAAATCACCTCGGTCGAGTGGCATCCTACAGACGACAGTATTGTGCTTGTTTGCGCTGGTGACAACACCCTTACTCTGTGGGATCTAGCTGTTGAGCTCGACGATGAAGAGAGCAAGTACACAGCTGGCGTGCAGGATGTGCCACCGCAACTACTATTCGTGCACTACATGGAGCAGATCAAGGAGGCGCATTGGCATCCGCAAATCCCGGGCGCCATCATGGCCACAGGAGGATCTGGATTTAACGTCTTCAAAACAATCAGTGTATGAGGCAGATTCATGTCTTGCCAACAATTCAAAATTTCTCGCCTTTGTTTCTCTCCATTCCAGCGCGTGGTTTCCTCCTTTGTTACCCACTATCATACATGCTCTTCTTCCCAATCCGGTTGACAAAGAGCTAGAGCCGACCGAGCCAATTATAGAAGTATCTTCAAGTTCATATTCAGACTCACCTATATCACTATCTTCCGTAGCACGTCGCCCTGTCACATATTCTATTGCCTTTGTCAACTTTTCTATGCAGGCGTCTCATACTCAGGACGAAATGGCACAGGTTGAAAACAGTAAGGGCACGACCTTGCATCATAATTCGACTCCTCATGATCAGCTCACTATACAACACCCATCTCCTCTCTCATACAAATCATCCGTGCCACATCTTCAATCTCCCTTTTCGACAGAAGCGTCACATGTCCTGCACTCCAGTAACATTGAAAAATCTTTCAACTTCAACCACCCCTCGTCACAACCAGCGCGCATGGCAGATATTTCATATCCCGAGTCTTACCTCCGCACTCCTATATATGCGTTGCCCTTTCTACATCCGAAATGGCACGCCAAAACTGATACAGAAGAGTTTTATGAAGTTACACGTCCAGTTTGGGAGGAGTATGATGCTGAGGCGCATTACGTGAACAGTATGGAGGAGGTCAAGGAGAGTGTAGAAGGCTGTAATGATGTTGTAAGTATCGAAGGAATGAGTCGGAAGGACGGCTGGAGAAAGACGAAGAGGAGTCTGGATAACATTGATGGCGCAGATGATGACGATATCAAGAGAAAGAGGTTCAGGGATGCATAAAAGATATAAAGAAAGGCACATGATTAACATCACGCTGCTGGGACGTTCCAACGCAAACAATATGAATTTTTGTAGTTCAATTGATGCCTCTATAAAGGTCTCTGTATGGGCCGCACTGCCGTCGTCGAAGCAACAGGCATCGGGAACAGCGGTGTGGACGCCTCGTTCATTTCGCGAATCTTCTTGATTAGATTGCTGTTGTGTTGTTAGTTTCCACATCATTGTACTAAAGGCTTCATCTTACCTGACAGGGAGGTTCAACCTATCTTGTTCTCTCCAAAGGATGCCTACAACCTTCTCTCGCCCTCTACTGTGATCCTCTAGATGCTCTGTGATCAACTGCCTGCCCAATTCCTTACTACATCCATAAATTTTCTGAGTGCAGCCGTCGAAACTACAAATCCACGAATCGCGCGGGCCGTTCGGTTCGTAGGTTGGCAAGGGTGTTGATATTGTCGGTGGTGATACCATTAGTCTGGTATTCGCTGACGATGACGCTGGTCTAACATGCGGGGGGACGTTGGATGGCCGGTAACGGAGTGGTAGAGGTGGCACAGCGGCGGCTTCTTCCAAATCCGAGTCGCCGGTTGTAGGAGGAGAGTCAGGAGCTGCAGATGCACTGGCTGTACGTTTCCGCCGGCCTCCTTCTTGATCCGCATCCATGTCATCTAGTTTTCTCTTCTCACGACTTGGCGATAAGGATTGCGTCGGTGTGTCAATTCCCTCGTCTTCCTCGCTACTGGCTGTCTCGTCGCTTTGCTCGGCTTGCGAATCGTCACTTGCTGGTACAGGCGCCTTCCCCTTCCCCCCCTTCTGTCTGCCTGGCTTGATGCTAATCCCTTTACTCTTGCCAGAAAACTTTCCACTCCTAGGTCGTAGCACAGATAGCCGACCTTGCTTCCGCCTACCTGGAGGCCTGCGTACAGGTGTTGTTATCGCGTCTCCTTCATCGGATGTGTCTGAAGATTCATTCTCTCCATCTCTGAGAGTTCCGTGATCTCTCCGTGGTTTCAATTCGACACCTTCAGCTCGTCTTTGTTCGGCTGCAGATAGGTCGTGTCCAGCTGCTAGTTCTTTGTAGATCGGCTCGGAAGCAAAGAATTGTACGGCCTTCCGGCGGGGATGTTCCATCATATAACATAAATTTTGTGCATGTACCAAAAGCACGTTTTTTGCAATTTCCACCTCTTCAATCTCGTATCGCCTGACAACAAGTTCTGCGACTCGATCTACCGTGATTTGGTTTCGGCCTGCCCGCAGAGCCCGTTGATTCACTGCTTTCTGCATGAATTCGAAGAGAGCGGCTGCCTCCCACCAATTGTCATCCTTCTTTGGCGCTTCTACTGGCTTCGGTATCGTAATCTTTCCGTGGGCCGTCTGTGCTTTCGCATTTGTTTGCGTATACTTGGAGCCTGTTGTGGGTGCCGACGTCAATTTGGAGGATTGCGCTGAACGTTCAGGCTGGATTTGCGAATAGCGGCCCTCGATACGTGCTTTGCAATTGTCGAAGTCTTTCTGCGCGTACATTAGATTAAAACCATAGGTTCTTTTGGGTGTCACTTGCCGGAAATCTGCGTCTAAAACGTTGATATAAAGGGGTGTTACTCCAACTTAGTCCCTGGGCCTTATTCAAGAAGCACATCATAAGAAAAAGGTGATGATGGTCAAAAATCCTCTCAGCTATAGCTACATCGCTGCAAGGGAAGCGCTCGTCTTCTGCATACTATGCTATGTCAGCGTTCACCTTGCTCGAAGTTCACATGTTCCCGACTTGTACAGACCTCTTGAAAGACCAATTCTGCACTAGGTCCACTACTCTTCTTCCGCGACTCGCTGTATATGTCGGTGACGAAATATAGAAGTTCCACAGCCTGGACCATCTCGTTGTATATCTGACTGTACTGCGCCGCCGGCCGTATTTCGAACCAGCCTGCGTTGCCTTGTGCCCAGATTACATATGCTCCGTCGGTCATTTCGCCATAGGAGAAGCGCGTTACGTTTCGCAGTTCGATGTCTGTGGGCTTATAGGGTTTTTTCAAGACTGGGATTGCGTCAGCCAGAGCCGCTTCCTTTGTGGTCGCGTGTATAGGCCAAGAAGCCTCGCATACAGTATTTCAACTGGCTACGCCCAGGGCTTTCTAATCGCCCTTCCACCCTGAGTGGTGTGTCTGCATATGCAGCAAGAAGACTCGCAGGTTTGCCATTGTTCTCGAAGACGATTCGCGCATCGCTCAAGATAAATATCTCCCAGTCGTCGGAATTGGTATTGGAGGCGTCGAGTGGCCGCAGTATCTCAGATTCTGGGGTAGGCATTTTGGGTATCAGCGCGAGATATGTTGCATGTTGTGATGCTGCGTGAACAGAGCTCCGTGATGCAAGCCTAGGCGAAAGGAGCAGCGGGGATCCTGCGCTGCGGGCGCGAAGCGCGAGACGGCGATCCAGCGCGTCCAGGGTCAATGGCACGTGTGTTATCGATAGCCGAGTAAGTTGCGTCATGCGATACCAGTGACTTCTTTCACTCAACAAAGGTAGCACCGCATACAAGGCAAAACTGGACAGGTACTAAAACAACAGGCCCTATCCTACAGCCTGCATTAGCCCTTGGCAAGAAATCTTGCAAAGATTATTAGCACTGTAGACTTCTTGCTTCTCTATCTATATGCAAACTACACTAACGATGGGTATCTTAGAACTAAACAGCAACTCGTCTAATCATCTCGTCATAGTGCGGCTTCCTCAGCAGCCTCCTGCTTGCGTATCTGCTCTTCCAATCATTTCTTCTCTGCTTGCCTCAATCTCATCATGGTGATCTCTTCCAAGCTTGGCGTCTTTGGACTAAAGGAGAATTTTGGTATTCCTGATGGCGTGCCTCCTACACCCTTCCCTATACCACGTTCAAACGATGTTCTGAAAGACTTGCTCCTCGGCGTGGATAGGGGCGTTTACGGTGCTGGTGGCGCATCTTTTTGTCTGAATGAGGTGCATCTTGGGGGGCTTTTCTTATCCTTCCCTCCAGTGTGTGGGTGCTCGCTGAGTTGGTTTTCTGCTTCAAGTAGTCTCTTGGAGACATCTTCGAAGGTTGGCGGATGGTCCTTCACTCTAAATACAGACTCCAATCTCGGGTAGTCAGACTTCCCGTCCAAGACAGCGGCATGCGCATGATCAAGACGCGTGTACGTGATGAACACAACAGCGATGGTCTTGTGATGCTTTTCTCCTGAAGGTCGAATCTTCTTGTCTTTGCCCATGATCACAATGTCAATCTTGCCGTATTTCGCAAACATGCTCGATATCTTGTCCTCGTCCCAAGCTGCGGTCTCGCCTTCTCGTCGAAACTGAACCTTGACTGTGCGATCGAGCTCGGACGACTCTCCGGGCTTGGGCGTTTGCGGCTCGGGGCTCTTTTTGACATCCTTGAAGCTCACCTCAGCCTCTTCTTTGCGTTCCCTTTCCCTGCGTGCCTGGAGTTCCTTTCTCCGCCTCTTACCATCTTCGGCCAACCTTTCCACCTCTTTGTCCATATGGCCTGCCCTCTTCCTCTTCAGGTCGGACGCCTCTCGTTCTCTTGTCTCCAAGTCATCCTTCATCTTGCGTCGCCGGCCATCCAATAGCTCATCTTGCAGCGCCTTCTCCCGTCGCCTAGTACGCGCACGGTCATATTCGCCCTTGAGTTTCTCATCAATGAGGATATCGCGTGCCCATCCGAGGTAAATGAAGCGGTCGGCGGCATCTTTATTGTCGGGGTTCTTGTCGGGATGGTATCGTATTGAGGCCTTACGGTAAGCCTTCTTGATCGTAGCTTCCGGCGCATCGAAGGCCACACCAAGCAACTCGTAGAAGTCCTCAGTGGTGGACTTTGCAAGATCTTCCAGATCCTTGTTCTTGTTGTCGTCGCCCATTCTTGAGATGCTAGTGAAGACGCGTGGGGATTTGAAAGCTGGTTGGGATAGGTTGTCGCGTAAAAAAGTGTGTGTGAGAGTGAAAGTCGCGAGCGGAAAGTGAGTGGCACAAGCGCGAACGGCTGCAGGCTGCAGAAACATGTGAGATGATCGTCCACTAAGCTGGTTTTAGATTAGCGTGTACCGACGAGCTACCCAGAAGACATCTTGGTAAAGCTGACCCTAAAGGTATTCATAGGTTTCTACGTTGTAACTTGAGCAGGAAAGTAGCAGTGTATACATCTGGGATATATTATCGGGGATAGGCATAACTCGGGAAATACGAGCTACTTCGTATCTTCCGGGGCCGTTCCAAAGATTTCACCCACCCAGCTAGAGCTAGAGCTCGAGCGTCCCTTCTTTCACCTCGCTAATGTTGGTCGCGTCTTCAATCAAGCGCACGATCATGACTACTCCCCCGAAAGAGAGCCGCAAGGTGCTCGAAGGCATCTTCGCCATCAACAAACCGCAATGGGCGTCCTCTGCCGGCGTCTTGCGCGACCTCCAAGACCATTTCTCCCGTTCGCCCATCTTCGCACCCTGGCTCGAAGCTCAGAAACGCTCCCTCATCATCGCCGACGCTAAGCCGAAGCACCTCAAGAATATCAAGGCTAAACTCGGCCATGGCGGCACACTCGATCCAATGGCCACTGGTGTGCTGATTGTCGGCATGGGCAAGGGCACGAAATGCCTGCAACGCTTCCTTGAGTGCACAAAGACGTACGAGTGTGTGGTACTGTTTGGTGCAGCAACAGACAGCTACGATGCTGTGGGCAAGGTTGTGAGCAAGGCAGACTACGAGCATGTCACCAAGGAATTGGTCGAAGAGAAGCTGGCGCAGTTCCGCGGCAAGATCATGCAAAAACCGAGTGTTTTCTCTGCGCTGAAGGTCGACGGCAAAAAGATGTATGAGTACGCGAGAGAGGGCAAAGACATACCAGAGGTGGCTGCAAGGCCGGTGGAAGTTGAGGAGCTTGAGCTTGTCGAATGGTTGGAGCCAGGAAGTCATGACTTTGCCTGGCCAAAGGAGGAGGTGGATGGCGCTGAAATGGAAGGAGCAAAGAAGCTGATGGGTATTCGGAAAGAAGATGCAAAAGTCTACTCTGACACAGCATCAAGACGAGGGCGAAAGCGATCACGGTCACCAGGGAACGACCATGTCGAGGGCGCAGGGCAGCAGCCGAAGATACTTAAGAAGGACTCTGAGCATGTCATGTCTGGCGCTCTACCAACAGAAGAGACGTCTACTGATGCGGCTTCTGCTGAGAACAACGCTATGGAAGTCAGTGCTGAAGCACCAGTATCAATGGAAGAGAAGGCCACGGCGTCTGTAGAGCAAGCAGAAGCAGCAGAAGACCCATCGACAACGATCCAGAAACCTGACATCGAAGCTACCAAAACTATCGTATCAGCAGCCATATCCACCTCAACCGCGCAACCCCCAGCAGCCCGGCTCCGTATGACAGTGACGTCCGGTTTCTACGTACGTTCTCTTTGCCACGATCTTGGTCTAGCTTGTAAATCTCTCGGCCTTATGTCCTCTCTTATTCGCTCTCGTCAGGGTGACTACACGCTCGGCCAGAACGTCCTGGAATACAGTGACTTGGAAGACGCATCCAAGTGGGAGCCTCAGCTCCAGGAGCAACTTGAAAAGTTCATGGAGAAAGAGAACTGGGAAGTCGAGGAACTAGATGACGATGAGAGTTGGGAGGCGAGAAAGAAGGAGTTGATGGAGAACAGGAGGGACGGTGATCGAGAGAAGAGCTACAGGGGTGGTGGAAGAAAGTGGAACTCAAAGGGCAAGGGGAAGTATGGGCGGAACGGGTACTCGAAGAACATGGACGGTGGACGAAAATGAGTAAGTGGTAGTACTATGACTTGCATTATGATACCCCACGAAACCAATAACAATGACTATGGTATTCTGCTATAAAACTTGAAAAAAAAAATCTCGATGCGTATGGATGGGTCGAAGACGCAACCACGGCATCAACATCAGACGCTTCAGCATCAAACCCCAGTCGTCGAGTTTCTTCGACTCAGACTCTGTCTCAGACTCTGAAAACTCCTCTGCACCTCTGTCACAGCGTCATCCGCGCCTTGTAAACCCTCTACCTCATCTTTCCGGTCCTCGTGGTTGATGAACAAGAATGAAAGCACCATGATCGCTGCACCAACCCAATATAACGCTGACGCATACTGTGCATCCAATACCATCTGTCCCACAAGACTGCACGGGATCGTCAGACTAAGACCAACAGTAACAATCAGCGGGGAAGTAAGCAGCATGGCGTATGCCCAGCAAAAGTCCGATATGAGAGATGACGCACTATTGATAAGTACAATGTTGAGGATGCGGGATGTCGGTGGTAGTTCAAAGGGTTCGATACCAGTCAAATGCAGAATGATAAAGCCGGGCCACAGCAGCAGGACATTAGCCAAGCCGACGAGACCGAAGAAGAGGGGCATGTTGACCCTTGTTTCATCGCCAATCCGGGCTTTCATGAAGACGGTATAGAAACCGTACAGTACGGCAGATACGAATGCCATAACGTCGCCGATGGCTAGCTCTTTTGGTGTTTTGTGTGGGAAAGAGCCTCGATTCTCGTCTGTCTTGCCAGACACATCGACCATGGAAATGAGGGCTACCCCGCCCAGGGAAGCAAGTACACCAATGAGTTTGAGTAGCGTGAAGCGCTCGACGCGCATTATGGATCCGAGGAGCAACGTCCAGATTGATGATGTGGAAGAGAGGATAGTTGAGCTGGCGACGGTTGTGTATTCCAAACACGCGGCCGCAAAGTAATTTGCCAAGAACCAGAGGAGACAGAATTCGAATGCCAGCTTCGCTGTATCTTTCAAGGTCATGCCTTCATCCATGTCCTGCTCCCCATTCTTCCCGTTACCGAAGCTCTGAGAGCCGTGGAGAGAGGACGATAAGAGAACTTCGGCTGCCTCGTCGTTTCGCGACTTGTTCGAGGACGAGAGTGAAGACGCAGATTCGTGGTCGCGAAGCAATTTCCACTTGCCCGCTCGTCGTTGTAGAAGATCGCGAATATGTGCGAGGATGGGTTGACGGTGTTGTGACGCGCTGTTTGGACGGCGACGATCGACCCATAGGTGGTGGACGAACATGGGCAAAAGTGGTATAATGAAGAAGGTGGTATTTATATAGGTGACAAAGTAAGGTTTTGAGTATGAGTTGTCTGCGAATATTGTCTGCGTATTGATCAGCTACGCGCTTAATACCACGATTGCCTCCATGCCATCCGAGGTGGACTGAGATACGTACACTCGCGAGGAAATTACTAGCTGTCCATAGGAGCACGGTAGCAAGTAGGAGCGCTATTCCCACTGCATGTCTCACTTTGCTTGTCCAAATTCCCCTCTTCTCGCCCTCAGCCCATTGACTGGCCTCACTTGCCGGGCTCTCAAGGTAGTCTTCCCCGCGCAAGTACGCGCTTTCGTCGGAGACGTCGCTAACGCGTGGGCTGAGTGGCGTCGTCTCGACATCCTCTTCTCTTCTGGGTATCATATCGAGAGGAAGTAGTAGAAATTATCGTAGGTTACTCAGGGCAGGTCGGTCAAGGAGGGTCTTCGGCAATAAGCGGGCTCACGGTCGGAGTACGTGTTGAGGCATGGAAGTGGATGCGAGCGCCCATGAAACTAATCCTTGGCGGAAGAAAGCTGAATGTGAAGAGGGAGAATGTAGTTGCACGGGGTGGTTCGGCGTGACACGCGGACACTTGATAACGATGTGCCTAAGTCCCGGGGGGCTCGGGGGTTTCATGTGTCTCAAGAGGCCGCGGGAAGCGTGGCGGTGCCGCCTTAGCCACAGCCCCACGTCATCACATGTCCAGGTGCAAGTATATGGTGCATGAACACATTGTATATTGGTAGGCTGCTATATGAACAGGCAACGATAAACCCATATTTGATGATGATTTACAGGAAAACGAGATGCTCCTGCACAGAAAGCAGGTCCAACACCAAACTCCATGCGAACTCCAGATGCAAGACGGCATTGCGGCAGATGGGGGTCCACTGTCGGCTCTCATGAACAACGCTTATTTCGTAATGGCATACACTAGCATGCGCAGCCGCCTTCGTTGCCCTTGAGGTCGATCGGAATGGTCTCGGGGAAGTCGTTGCTGAAGTCACCTACGTCCTCCTGTGCTAGAGCTTGTCGTGCGATAACTACGCATGTCAGCTTCCGAACTCCGAGTCTCGGAGTGGTAACGATAACAGCTTACCTTCGAAAGCTTGCTCAACGTTGATGGCCTCTTTAGCACTGGTCTCGAAGTAGGGGATACCGCCTTTCGATTGGCAGAACGTCATGGCGCGTTTAGATGAGATCTGCATGTGTTAGATTATAGCCTTTGACGGCTGCTGGAGACACTCACCATCCTTTTGCTTTCCTCCACGTCGATCTTGTTGCCAATTACGACCTGTTTCGGTCAGTATCGATGCCGTCCTAAGCTATCCACATGTACCTACAAATGGAAAACTCTCTGGATCCATTGGGCTAGCCTGAACGAGGAATTCGTCCCTCCAGCTGTCTAGAGTGTCGAAACTCTTTGAATTGTTCACATCGTATACGAGCACGCAGCAGTCGGCGCCGCGGTAGAAGGCAACACCAAGAGATTGGAAACGCTCCTGACCGGCAGTGTCCCAGAGCTATCAAAGTCAGCTCGACCCGTTTACTCAACATGGTCTCCACGCACCTGCATGGTTACCAGCCTGTCGTCGACCAATACTTCCTTGGTCAGGAAATCGGCACCGATGGTGGCTTTGTAGCTGGCGCTAAACTTCTTGTTGACCTGTAGACACTGTATAAGCCCAGTCCACACTCTCAAGCTACCGTTCGCATCGTGCATAGCTCAAAGTGGAGTCATCGTACATATTGGTTCATCAAGCTCGTCTTGCCGACCCCGCTGTCTCCGAGGATGATGACCTGCGCGCATCAGCGATGAAAAGCATATCCAATCCAGAGCTGCAGTACCTTGAGGAGGACCTTCTTCCTTGACGCCATCTTGTAAATGGGTATGTGTATGTGTGTAGAGCGGGAAGACTAGGTACGGCGCGGGCGATTCGAGGCGCGAAGCTCGGTGCTTCGAAGCGGTGCGGAGTAGATTGCGCGGGTGACAGACCGAGGTAGTAGAAGGTAGGCAACACCGGTATCTAGGTTTGGGGAGGCTTGGCGGTGTAGGAGGATCAGTGTGCTGCGTGTAGAGCGCAGATACGGTGAGGATATGTGCAGCTTCGTTACCAGAGAGATCGATGATGGTTGATGTCAAGCCTGGGGCACGGACGCAACGCTAGCCACCCGTCCCATGGTCTGGTCCAGCCACGCGCCCACCTGACGCTTCTCTTTCACCGGCCTATCCACCAAGTACCCCCACGACACCTCAATACGGAACCCTCAGAGATTGCCACGTAACATCGAGGTGGCACTTACACTAATCCAATTGTGTTCTACTGCTCAAGCTCATGATTCAGCGCGTCTGCTTCTGGTTCAAACATCCTCGCATGTACCATGACAGATTACATTCAAGACGCACACAACTTCTCCGATGCCTCACGTGTTCATTTTCGCGATTGCAATCTCAAATGTCTGGACCACGGCAGGAACAAGCCCGCCGGATCATTTTACTGATATGACATGTTGATCTGAGAATCGCAAAGCAGTATCAATCAGCTGGTACATGCTGAAAAGGTGAACCACAAGGAAAGATGATTGATGGTAACCAGCACTCTTGATTCCATCATCCGGGAACGATTGCTGAGCACGAGGCATACAAATGGCAAACTATTACTCGTGAACTTGGGCATTGCGAGAGACATATATACGTAGGGGCTATCACATTGACTCAGATCCTCTATTCATGATGAAGTAATTGTTATTGAGAGAGGCTGTGCGCAATGATCTCATTGATAGACTCGGAGTTGCGGCGGAGGTTCTAATTAGAAGCTCAGGATGGCAAATATTTCTTAACTCGTGATGCCGTCCATCGGTTCTTGACCTCGTCAAATCAAAAGAACGGATTCAGTCTGGTCAAAGCAAATACTTCTTTCTCGGTAGAGCATCTGATCGCAACGCTCAATGTAGTCCTGATCGCATTGGCTTCATCTCTCTTTCAAACGAAATCTTCAAAGTCCTGACTCAAGCCCACATCTGCAAGGAAAAATTGCAAGAACAGAATGAGCGAATAGACAACAAAGCCAAGGAATACGACTGTGTCACAGAAGAGGAAACTCTAAGCAGTATCGAAGAAGGAAAATTGCTTAAGTGCGACGAGGGATATGAGAAAGTCATACATCACGACGTCGAAGGAGAAAATACCGATGTAAGAGAAGAAGAACTTGTACCATCATCTAGTGCTGTGTTTGCCAACTATGCAGCTGGGACGCTAAAGAGTTGAAAGTAAAGGATCATGTTGCCGATATCGACACGCAAACGAAGCCCCATCTGGACAGCACGGCTTAAGAGAATGCGTCCGACGACGAACAATGCGTCATTGGCAAAAGCGATTTATCCTGCCGCAATCGATCGAGATTTATCATCACAAGTAAGACGCACAATTAGAACGCATAGGGTCTATGTTGGTGTACAAGGTTTAGTAGCTGTGAGGAGTCGTTAGCGGAAGCACGAGGTCCGGCGCTAGCGACGTCGAGTCTCTAACATGGCGCTCATATCTTTACCCTCCCTCTCATTACAGACAGTTTCGCTACGCGACATAGATGATCAGACGTGTCCCAGTTTAACCTCTGGTGCTCTTGTTGTGCGAATGATGATAGTTTTCCTGATGCATACCGTAGACCACGGTCGCTTTGCAGATTCCCCGTGTGGGGATCCGAATGGTGCCCATGGTTTTGGTTGACAACCAGCCACCGCAGAATAGTATATGATGTCGCATCAGAATCAATGTATATTCCGACTCTTTCGAACATTCTCCTCTGAACAGTGTTATCGACCTTTACTTAAACCATGTCGCAAACCACAACCACCGGAACGGAAGAGATGAGCATACCGACAACAATGAGAGCATGGCAATGGTCGACATGTGGTACCACGCTTGAGGAGGCGATAGAGCTAAAAGACTCAGTCCCACTACCGACATCGAAACGGCCCCTCGCAGCTGGAGAGTCTCTTATTCAAGTTCACGCTGCTGCTCTAAACCCTGTCGACTACAAGCTAGCAGAGCTGCCAGTGGTTGGACGAATGGCCATCCCGAAACCAGCAACACCTGGGCTTGATTTTGCTGGAAAGGTTGTCCAAGAAGGACCCGGCTGCAATGTTAAGGTTGGGCAGATGGTATTTGGCAAACTCGAGCCAAAGCAACAGTTTGGCACACTCGGGGAATACGTTATCGGTTCAAAAGCTGGGACGGTGCCGATACCTAGTGGCGTATCTGTAGAGCAAGCAGCGACGCTAGGGGTTTGTGGACTTGTGACATATCAGTGTCTTGCTCCAAATGTGAGAGCTGGTGATCGAGTATTCATCAATGGTGGTTCGGGAGGTACGGGAACATTTGCCATACAGATCGCCAAAGCTTTGGGATGCCATGTTACTACAACCTGCTCAGGTAGATATACCAAGTTTGGAACGATAGCGCATCTGCTGATTCTGTCACAGGTGCAAACACCCAACTGTGCAAGGATCTTGGAGCCGATGAGTTGATTGACTATCGTGAAAACGATGTTTCTACTCTTCTCGCAAGCAGCTCGAAGCACTATGATATGGTTCTCGATAACGTTGGCCACCAGTTCGAACTCTACTGGAAATCTCCCTCCTTCACGAAGCCTGGAGCGAAGTACGTCCAGATCGGGTCCCAGGTCAGCTTGCCCTTCATATATGACCTCGCTTTCCGCTTCTTGGTACCCATGTGGCTTGGAGGCGGGCAACGGCCGTTCTCATTCGGTCTTGCTTCTACAGATTACGATGACTTCATCAAGTTGGGCAAACTTGTCGCGGACGGCAAAGTGAAGCCTGTCGTGGACGAACTTTTTGCATTCAACAATGTACATAGAGCATACGAGAAGCTCAGGACCGGCAGGGCGAAGGGCAAGATTGTAGTCAGGGTGAGAACCGAATAACGACCGACCGAATCAAAAGAAATACGTTGCCGCCCTTATGATCAGAAACGAGCTAAGAATATGCTGTTTGATAACCCCTTTTGCGTCCGCGCTGACATACGAGCTGCTCGCTATGTAGTATCTGAATCGGATCAAGGCTCGCAGAACCTCCCCATCAGGCATTAGTGTGCAAAACGATGAATTGGGGAAGAGAACAAGGATCGTTCCTGATTCGCTCAAGATGGGTAGATGCGCCCGTGGCGGCGCTAATGCCGGTTTCAGGCAACGAGGCTGTGCTGGACACTGCCCGAGCGACCTGCATTCAGCTGTGTGCCGATACGAGGATAAATTCCACAACGATAGATATGAGTCAACACCATTATTTTACAACGTTTCGTACGAAGTTCGACTGCACCGTCAGCCATAGGAACAAAACTACTATCGCCCATCTCAAAGGAAAGTCGTGATTCTTCTACTACGCAATGACTGAAATATCATCGAACCAGATCGGGAAACGAAAACGAAAGTCCATTTCGGAGGATGACGTGGAGTTCCATGGAAGCAAACGCTGTCGAACAGTCAACGACCCAACGTCGCCTCTATGTGTGGCTTGCCAAACGATCGATATCGATTGGAATTTTGATGAAGCCTACCGGCATTACAGAGAGAGAGACCTTAACACATCAAACCCCGCCCGGATTCACGAAGCCTATGATCGACGATACTTCTACAATGATGCTTTCCTGGTGCATCAATTTGGTACTCGGCTATCCAGCCCATCAGAGTGTCCATTGTGCAACTTTTTTCGATCCATCAGGGCTCAGCCAGATGCACATGAGCGCTACAAGTTATTAGCGTTTCCCAGTAGCGATGCATGGATTTTCCATGGAGCGCGATTGAAAGAAGCACAGAGAGATGTGAATTGGCAAGACCTTCGAACTCGTCACGATAGAGCTTTCATGGCCGTCGTACCCGATCTTGAGTCAATTCCGCCAACTGCGCACGATATCACCTGGCTTGATTACGAGATCCCCGCCGTAGGGGCCATCTTTCGCCAGCCGACTGGCAATAGTAGCGACCAGGATCTACTGGGTGCTAGGGAAATTCCGTCCACATTTGACCTTAGGCAGGTACGGATGTGGCTCGATGTATGTCGCAGCGAGCATGGTGACGCATGCAAGCAACGCGCATCATACGAGCCTATAACCCGAGGCTTTCGTCTCATCAACTGTTCAAAAGATCCTCCGGAGGTGGAGGAACAGCCATGGGGGACACCATATGCAGCTCTAAGCTATGTCTGGGGATCTACCTCCGCGGATCGGGACCCTTGGCCAGCGACGGTTATGGACGCAGTCGAGGTCACACGCAAACTCAACTTCACCTATCTATGGGTGGATCGGAGTTGTATAAACCAATCGGATTTGGATGAGAAAGGCTACCTAATTTCGAGGATGACGACGATATACGAAGCAGCGGATTTCACGATCGTAGCAGCGGCAGGAAGCGGTGCTAGCCATGGTCTCCCTGGGGTACGGTCGACACCCCGCAGACCGCAACCAAAGTACTATGTCGATAGCGGAAGCTTACTCTTATCAATACTTCCTGATCCCCGGCGAGAAGTGATGCAGTCGCAGTATTGGACTCGTGGCTGGACTTACCAAGAAGGGGTGCTTTCCAATCGCCGCATTGTTTTCACCGAACACCAGACCTACTGGGAATGTCGCAGTATGGCGTCTCACGAGAGCGCAGACATAACTCTGTTCCATACACCTGCAAGCCTCAAAGATGATTCTAATTATCTTCTGGTCGACTTCTTGCTTACTGGCATATTCAAAGGAGGTGCTTTCAGTGGAGGTAGCAATGCGCACCAAGATGATGCTGTTATCTCCAACGACGAGGAATATCGGCTTGACTATGGGTTTCCAGTGGTTAATGAGATCAATGTTAGAGCGCAACTGCGAGGGCTGGCTGATCACATGCGTGAATTCACTAAGAGGCGCTTGACGCAAGACACAGATATCCTGCCAGCATGTAAGCAATCATACCATGCGAATTGAAGAAGAGACGTATACTGATTGCGCTTACTCAACTGTAGTTCAGGGGATTTGCGGGATGTACGAGCAAACCAAATCTCTAATTCTATTCCAAGGAGTTCCATTATGGACAGGCGACATTGCTGGAAGCGCGACGAGCCCTCAGATCACCTTCGCTTTATCGCTATCGTCATGGTATCACCGTGCAAGCCCGAATCACGTCATGTTCATCTCAGAGGTTTGTACACGACGAAATCACCTGCCTTCGTGGACGTGGGCTGGTTGGAACGGTACGGTTAGTTGGCGCTTGCCCCCCGATCGTGAATACGTGGCATATATGAGTGATCTGATCAACTCCACAAGCCCCAATATTGTTTGGGCAGCGAACATGTACCTTTCGCATCCTGGACGTCAGTCTAGATTTCGACTGCTCGACAGAGACTCCATACGTCGCTTATCAGATGAGATGTTATCAACAATTGAGATCAGAGACCCGTACTTCTTGACTACTTTTCATAGGATCAAAGATGTTGATCGAGAGTGGTCTTGGGGGAAGTTGATTGGAAGGCCTGGTCGTGAAGAAAAAATATCATACAGTTATGACAAGGACATGGATTGGTATAGGATGGGTCACAAGAAGGGTCGCCTTGCTTTTACCGCCATGTCGATCGCCATCACCCAGCAACAATGGACCACCAAGCATGTCTCTGGCGAATTCATTAGTGTTCTTATATTTGCTGGAAGATTCTGTGATACGGAACATGGCGCGGCACGGTTCCTGACGTTGCGAAAAGTACCTCAGTCTAGTCCCACACTGTGGGAGCGGGTTGGTATACTTTCATTGACACTTGCCTATCTAGAAAAAGGGGGATGTCGAGATGTCTCTGGTCTTTTCGCCCGGATACCGGCTCGTCAACAAACTAGCAGCAGTATAGTAATCCAATAAACCAGGGACCATATTTCGCGGACAAAACGTTTATCGGGGGCGGCTTTACTAGTTACGATCAATCGCAAAGCCCACTACAGGAAGATCAGCACGCACCATCCACCTGGATACCAGCAGTATAGCAATCTTTATGTCAAGATGTGAACAGAATTATAATTTCTTGGATCACTTGGCTAGCGCACTACAGATAATTACCAATCTTCGAGCACAAATGAAGGACTCTTCGCTTCTGTGGCTGCATGAACTTGTATCTTTCTAGAGCGCAGCGCACCTGACTACGTTTCCAAGTTCTTACATATAGATGCTAGGTGAAATCACTTTGTGGTTGACTTATTGATTGGCATGCTAGCTACAACATATTCCATTAGTAGTTTCGATGGCGTACTGTATACAAAGACGTGGTAAGATTAGTCTGAAACCCAGTTGGAGTACTGGCACCCTTGGCAACTGAACTATGCACCCGTGACTCTTATCAAATTTTTCTTTGGTTACGATGGCAGATGAGCTCGCTAGGGGTCGCGAGAGGCTCAATGTATCTATAAGGGCATTGGACTGTACGGAACACGAGAGGTAATCATAGTTGGATGTACGGAAAGATAGTGTAGCCGGACACGGTTATGGAAACGCGGACACGGCCCCAAACGCCAGCAGGGATGAGCTCCGATTGTTGGTTTCTGAGGATCTCAACACCACCAATCCGGCCTTGGCTTTCGCGAGAAATCTTTTCCGATCTCATAGTCTATCTTTGCTTGGTCTCTGCTTTTGAGGATATCGTCTTCGATCGTACGCATGACGCTCAAGGTAGAAAAAGTCTTTAACTCGTCGAGTTTGTATACCTAGGTATGCTTGTTGCCAACACACGAGTGTTCTAAGTATTTCGGTAGTAAATCAATCTACGGAGCACTATCACATCTCACCTACCTTTTCGCACGTTTTGAGCATTAGGTAAGGTAGAGGTTTTTGCCTACGCGTATACGCTCGCGAGTCGACTGGTAAGCGACAGGGCTAGATTGTCGGCCGATTCCGGCAACTATACCTAAGCCGCAGAGGTTCTAGCACAGCATTGAGAAAACGCCATTTCGCGTCCAGTCTTTGCAAAAAGAGATCAGATTGCCATAAAATGCTTCTACGTCCAGCACGCACCTGCACACGGTCACTCCACACACCAACACGCGCATTTGCGGCCCGACAATCCATATACCCACCGAACGACGCTTTCCGAAACCGGCAAAACCTAGTTCCTGAATTTTCGACCAAACAGTCATCACTGAATCTGAGCAGACGATTCATAGCAACCTCAGCACCTCGACTTCAACAAATTGGCTCCGCAGAACGGATCTCAACATCCAAGATGGCAGGTGACGACCACTACCTTACTCTGTCCTGCCCCGATAAAGCAGGCATTGTGTATGCTGTCACGGGTCTCTTAGCGAAGGAAAACCTCACCATTCTGGATCTACAGCAATTCTCCGACCCAGACTCCAAGACTTTCTTCATGCGCGTCCATTTTGGACACTCCCCTGATGTCTCCGCACTACAAGATAGCATGAAAAAGCTCGCCTCGGAGATGAGCATGACGTACCAGATCCAGCGGGTAGACGCAAAGCCTAAGGTCCTTATCATGGTGTCCAAGATCGGCCATTGCCTCAACGATTTATTGTTTCGCGTCAAGTCTGGTCAACTTAAGGTGGATGTACCAATCATTGTATCCAACCACCCCGAGTTCGCTGAACTAGCAAAGAACAACGGTATCGAATTCCACCACCTACCCGTAACCAAGGATACCAAAGAGAAACAGGAGACACAGATATTGGATTTGATCAAACAACACAATATCGATCTCGTGGTTCTCGCACGCTACATGCAAGTGCTCTCGCCCCGTCTGTGTACAGAAATGTCGGGCAAGATCATCAATATCCATCACTCTTTCTTGCCTTCTTTCAAGGGCGCGAAACCGTACCATCAGGCTTATGAGCGTGGTGTTAAGATCATCGGGGCAACCGCACATTTTGTTACAGCGGATTTGGATGAGGGACCAATAATTGAACAGCGCGTTGCGAGGGTTGATCATGCTTTGAGCCCCAAGGAATTGGTGGAGGAGGGAAGCAATGTTGAAAGTCAGGTCTTGGCTGCGGCGGTCAAGTGGTGGAGTGAGAAGAGGGTATTTTTGAACGGTCAGAAAACCGTCGTGTTCAACTAGAATGCTCATGCAAATGGACGAAAAGCAAATCGATGGATCCAGTGAAACGCAATGATTGCCTGGCTTTTTGGTGAAGGCATTGTGGCAGAGCGGTTGGATGGGCAGATCTGCTGAGGTTTCTATCCAACCCTAATGCAGTATGTGCCTCGACACTGTGCTAGAGGTATGAATCACTCGTGCAGACGTCCGGCTCCTCACGACACTCTTCGTGGGGCAAGACTACAGGTCATTGCGACTACGTGTATCTGCTTAGTGATGTGGCGAGTTACATGACGAGTGTCGATATTCCAGTCAATAGGGTCATTGGCATATACTGAGTTGGGTATAGGAGCAAGTATCAGTATAAATTTGTTTCATGGCTCACACGCCAAAGCTTCTTGGGAACAGGTTTGCCTACTCGACTTCCATCTTTGGCTTGCTTGTCTTTCTTCTGCTTTTCCTCTGATTCAGACCCGCATATGGCGTACCTCTGATGATAGGCCCAACTTCGGAAGCAACGCCAAAAGCGCAGTGATGTGGAACCAGAGGGCCACCACTGCCTTGGTAACCATCATTTCGCAAGTAGTCCTCTTCGCCGTCAGCAAGAGCACCAAATTGAAGTTTGGTGCGCATCAACTCCATTGGGAAGGGATCGTTGCCCAGACACGCGCCATGACCGATATCATCTAACGTAGTGTTGCGAGTAGTAACCAGTATACGAGAAAACCCAGTCGAGAACGTCGTTCCATCTTGCCAAATCGTTACAGCGCCGAACAAGAGAATGAGGAAAGTAATGAAGATGACTGGCGCATAACACTGCCATAACCTCCCAGGTACGTAGACGAAAGAGGACTGGAGTCGTGACCGATTCACTGTAAGTTTTTCTTCGGCTACCACCAGCATCTCTGGGACCGATAGCAATGAAACCACCATGTCTGAATAGAAGGCCTCAATTTCAGCCGTAAGATTGTTCTTAGGCTCGCTGTTTTTCTGCACTAGTCGTGTCATTGTGACGTTCGAATGGACTTGTGCGTAGTATGGCCCTGATTTTGGCGCCGTGATATCGATATGTCCGCGAAGAAACTCCCTAAACATATCTCCGATTGCATGATATGCAGCGATCTTCTTGTATACACCCACGTTGTGTCGAGGGCTGATGTAGTTGTCCGCAGGCTTGGGCATAGTAGTGTAATCTATCTTGCCGTCAACCCCACGCGGAAAGTCTGTGTCCACGACGGGCGCTTGGTGTTTTAACTCAATCGTGGATTTGAAGGATGGCTCAGTGAAGCCCCATTTGACGGTATATCTAGCTTCCATATGTATGCAGCGGATGATATGTGAATCATAGCGATGTGTCCAGTTTATTGCGAGTGGGTCGTCTGTCGCTAACTCTTTTGTCGAATTGAATGCGTAACCAATCCACAACACGGGTTCCGACTTGAAAACACCTAGATCTGATGGGGCTTCTCCAACAGGTATTCCTCCGTTGCCCGCCCGAAATTCAGCGGCTTGAGGGCGGGGGTATGCACCTTTATCGACCTCCGCATAGTACACGTAGCTTCCTTGCGGTGCTAGAATGCTCACGTTAAAAGGCGCACCTGCATTATTTGATCCTTCCGTGTCGTCAAAATTACTTGCAACCTCCTCGCATTGATAACTTGGCCCAGTGAAGCTCTGTTCGTATGTGCAATTGTAGGATCCTCCACAAGCCTCTTGTCGAGCACCCTGCCTAATGTTTGGATGATCCATACCATTGTATGCTAGCAGAAGTGCAATGCGCCTTAGCTCTGCTGATGGCTGATCGTAATAGTCAAACCACCCTGGGGCTGCGGCAGCAAGATCGGTGGTATTGTAGTACATCATCGACCTCTTGTTGCTTCCATCCTCTAGTTTGACCGGGTGACGCCAATCTTCCGTGGACTCCACCGAGAAGTTGAGCGTAGGAACCTTAAGATCGAGTACTTCGATGTCGAGATAGGTTCCGAAGGTAAGTGCACCGGGTGAAAATATGATAGTTGCCAACGGAATCAGCCAGATAACCTGCAAGTCCGCGTTCGCAATTAGTGTATGTTTACATGTGGCTTGCGCCCGTCAAATTACTAACCATGGCGATGGCACACAGAAGCGGCGCACCCGATACAGTTTCCCAGTTCCCAAAGAGTGAAGGATCTTCTGTTGCACCGAATATCTGATCAATAGACAGCACAGTCAACGCCTGCTCTCTGAAAGCTCTCCACATGCGCTGTCGAAAGACGAGTACCACGCATGACCCAAAAGCAACTTTTGAGAGGTATGCCAACGCGCGTCCGTAAAGAACCCATCGAAACTTCTTGTCTTCATCGTCTTCTCGCCTCTGGTGCAGGAAAGTGTACAAAAAGTGCTGGAGGAGCGCAAACACGAGGCCCATGAAAAAAGCAAATCCCATGAGTGCTGGTGTACGCCAATGTATATGCCATGTTGTTGACTGGGTCGCCCGATGCGCAATGAGCCTCTCGGTCATAGGATCTGTTCGCGCTCTCGAGATACCAGACCCAAATGAATACAGCGTGTCTGGCGTTCTGGAGTACGGCGGCCGTGGCTGAGGATAGGATGCGACAGAAGAGAACATATCATGCTTTCTATCACTAGTTTCCTGCCGCCAATACGCAGCGCCTGGTGATTTTGGCGTTATAGGTATCATCTGGATCCCTAGACCTGGGTCGTTCATATCTTCTTCGAATCTCAATGGGATGTCGCGTCCAATGTCGGAGGACTCGTCGCTTGCTCTGGCAGGTGTGGAAGCATATTGTGGTCTCGAGACGCGGATCTCGGGAGACGCAGGTGAGTATGAGTACCGTAGGGTTGAAGGCTCCATAGCTGTAGATCGTCGAAGGTATCACAGATTTAGCTAAGGTACAACATGCATCACTAATGCATTTTCGTGAGTCTGGGAGCCCAAGGTTCGATGTTGAAGAAATGAATTGTTTCAAAGTATGGAATTTCCTAGGCGATTTCCAAAAGACCAACGCCCTCGGAACTGCCGCACTGGCGTCGCGGCTGAACTGCAACTCCTGGAGGCTGAGCAGTGGCCTTCAACCAGTAGGAATTCTACATGTGTGAGGCTCATCATCTGATGTCAGTCGGAGTCCGATGGTCGCACGGCATTGCTTCAGCGAATAAGCATGGGACAGCAGTCAGCCGCATCGCACAGCAAACTTTCCAGCCCCCTGGCGACGTGCAACCACTTCAAGCGCGCGAAACAGCCATGATGAGACAGTTTTAGCTACTTACGGCAAACTTGGTGGAAGCTGGGCTTGGACATCTTGGACATGGTTGCGTCTGGTGGGCGGCGAGGTGGTGGTGGTGGTGGTGAGTGAGTGAGAACTTCATATGACGAAACGACGCTCTCCGAGCATGTGCGCTAGCCTTTGGGCACGAGCCAAACTTGCAGACACGAAATGTGCAAATTTGGCTGTTGGGCATGCAGTTGTTTGAATCTACGGAACGTGGCGGCAGAAAGAAACAGCGGGTGTACGAGCAGCTAGAGGCACAAATAAATTGGTGCATGCAACCATGGTCTTATTGTAGATAACTCGAAGTCGTAATACAGATACCTGCAGTGCTTGCCTTGCTCTACTGCGTTTCCAGGCAATCCGGTTCAGCTTGGCGGCTCAGCCTGTCAAACCTCGTAGAACCTTCGGGCTTCGTCCTCCGTGACAGGACTGACGTAACTCTTCTTCGAGTCGATGAGTCCATACCGACTTCCCTTAATCTTCCACCACATATCTCGGCGATTGCCATTCAACTTTCCGCCAAGAATGTCTTCCTTCAGCCGCACCACAAATGTGTTGTACATCTCTGGTTCCTCGAGCTCGGTGAGCTCTTCTCGCATGACGCGAATAGCTTCAAGTGCCCGTCCATAAGCGTTGTCTCCAATACTGCTGCTAATGAGGTTATGGACTTCCTTCGCAATACCTTCTACGGCTTCTTGAATGGCGTCTAGATCGTCAGAGGCGGCGAGAGCTTGCTTGAACGAAGGTATGAGGTTGTTGGTCTCGATCTTGACACGCTTGGGTTTACCGAGGAGTTCATCAACATCAAGGCCTGAAAGAGGCTTATCGCGGTCTGTACGTTGCCGTTTACCACGACCTTTGACCTTTGGCGGAACCTTTTTGACGTCTGCTGCTTTCTTGACGGAATCCAATTGCTTTACAGCCGCCGCGATGAGCTCTGTTGGTGGCTGTGAGTATTTCATCAGGATCTCCGGCGGGTCTGGCATGGGTAAGGTGGGATCGGGATGTGTCGCCCGCCATTTTATGACCTGGAGGATACGATGGACAAGGGGGGAAAATGTGTCTTCTGGTTTGGCGTATTCCTCCTCATGGCCGTCTTCGTCGCGACCAAATGTCGATAAGTCCATCGCATCGACGTAGTGGCTCATGGCATTGAGAAGTTCATCTGTCGGTAGATCTTTATGCTCAGTGATGGTCTTGCCGCTGACTGTGAGTTTACGATCCAATGGCGGGAACTTGTACCGTCTCATGTCTTCTTCGAAAGGCAATTCAACGTCAACCAGAGTCTCCCATTCTAACTCGATACGCGGAACAAGTAGTAGCAACACTGGAGGTTTTAGATCCTTCGCTACCAAACGTGCAACCGCATAGCAATCAGCTTCGTAGAGTGCGTGAATGAAGGACGACAAAGCGAGCTGAGCTTGTGGGTTGGCCTTTTGCGGCACTATGAAGTTGGCGCGACTCAAGGGAAGATAACGATCAAATTCCTCGCCCTTGATAAAGCCCACTAACTCCAGAGCCTGGTGGGTTTCCAATTTCACAACGTTCATGTCAGATTCCGAAATGTGCACCGCTGTTCTGCCGTATTCGTAGCCGCGCTCTAGCTCATCAAGCTCGACTGGCTTTTTCAAGCCGGGCTCATCCAGGTTGTCCACCTGGTAGAGGCGCTGATTGTGGACCGCTGACAGATCAGTCATTGGGTAGTCCTCACCAACTACAGTTGTCGATGACTCCACGCTTGGGCCAGATGCGCCAGCATGATCTGCACGCACTGCGAATGTACTTGCCGTGGGTGGCTTCGCAATCATGGTACATGGATACCGTTCAACGTCGATAGTGATAGTGGCCTCGTACTTGCTAGCATCTCCCAGTGTAAGTGAGCCTCTGTAGCTTTGAACTGGTCGGGTGTCCTTAAGGCGAGGGGTATGAAGCTGCTTGATAGCTGTCGCAAGTGTGCCGAAATTGCCGTTGCAATCCTTTACAAAGCCTTTCAAAATCTGCTCGTTCTTCGCCTAGATCATATTAGCTCCATTCAAGCTTTGGCACCCATCCCTCATACCTTTCGAGACTCTTTCGTTTCTTCTGTGTAGCCTACATCTGGGTCGTCAAAATCTAAACCAAGCAGGATAATCTCGAATGGAGCATCTGAATCCTTGATCTTCAAAGCCATCTGCTCAAGGTCTTCAGTGTCCATTTGGCCACGACCGTCAGTCACGATGATGACCCTACGATCGTACTTTAATGGGTTGCCTTTTGTCCCTTTGGTTGCGTTATCAATCATGTGTACAGCTACCGCAAGGGCGGAGAGTACTATTGCTATTAGTAGGAAGTGGCTTCACAAATGTCTGCCACTCACGATCCCCATTGTCCGTTTTGCTTGGCTTGAGTTGCTCTTGTAGCATTCGAACATCACCTAGTAGATATCTAACGTCTATCAGCAGGTGCAACGTCTTTTCTAACGTGGCACATACGACTTTAGTTCCGAGAACACCTTAATGTTCTCGTACCCTTCACCCTCTTCCATAGTCCCAGCGAGATCGGTCTCGTCCGTTCGGCAGCCAATGACACTCATCAACGCGCTCTTCCTGCCTGTGGCAACCTGAAATGCTGTTAATCTATTCTTGAAACCGACATCTGTGCAAGAGTTGAAGCATTACCGGCCATCAAACATACTAAATCTCCCAATGAACGACGACTTACGGTAGTGGTGATTTTGTCCCACACATACTCCAATGCCCAGTCAAGGTCAGTCTGCTCGCGGCCATTCCTCTTCTCGCCCATCGACCGCCCCAGATCGAGTATGTAGACTGTCGCCTCTTTACCCGCCATAGTCGTGTTAGCAGATGCTTCTTTTGCGCGCTTCGCGTATGGCAACTAGCGTCGCGTGCTGTTAATTTCGAGGCGTTATGGACCTTCAGGGATGAACAAATTGGCTGATCGTGGCTATTGAGAACGTGTTCAGGTGATGAGAAGATGGTAAGAAGGGAAAGCAACTACTGTGGAAAAGCCTGTGGTCGCTCTACGAAGTGGTGCAGCCCGTTGCTTTAGGCAGACAATGCACAGACCATGACGCGAGAGCACGTGACAGAGCTAGCTGCTACGAGGGAGTAGGGACTGGCCAGGTAAGTCCTCTACAACACTTATTCATTTTTCTAAAAGTCATTTCTCATATGATTTAGCACGGCGTTTTTATTCTCAAGGAATTTCATGTGCGCAGAGAAATATATAATACTGAGGTGATCAATGGATAATGAACTTGCCAGAATGTCGTACTGGAAATCCGAGCCACAGGTGCAAAACACGTACTTTTCACTGATGAAGGTCTTTTCTAGCAAGGAAACTATCCGAATCTCATGGTGAGCTCCGCAGGTTTGCTTCCCATGACTTGTTCAATCTCATCCAGGTTCTCCTTTGTCAATTTCCTGTACACATCAACCGCCTTGACGGTCTGATATATCTGCTCTGGCCTTGACGCGCCAGTGATAGCACTTGAAACATTCTTGTTGGACAAGACCCATGCCATAGATAGTGTAGCAACATCAGTATCAAGCTTCTTAGCAATGTCCATGAGCTTCTTGATCTTGTCTTGTTGCTGATTCCAGGCGTCGCTCCCGACAGTTTTGATGACGGATTGAATGTAAGGGTCGTCGGACTGGCGGAGGCGCGAATCGTCGGGGACACCGTCTACATATTTTCCTGTGAGAAGGCCACCTTGGAGTGGGGAGAAGATAGTGAGGCCAAGACCACGACGTCCGTAGAGGTTCGCGTCTTTGAACTCTTGGTCGACCTTGTCTCGACGAAGAAGCGAGTAGCCTGGCTGTTCGACGATAGGCCCAATGATACCAAGGCGGTCAGCCACAGCCCATGCTTCTTCGATCTCCGATGCTAGCCACTCGGATGTACCTAAAGTGTGATGTATGAAGTTAGCGTATGTTACACATACATTTCGTACATGGAGATACCTACCCCAGTAAAGAGTCTTGCCAGTATTGATCAGGTAGTTGAAGGCGCGCACAGTCTCTTCAATCGGAGTGTAGCGATCCGGACGATGAGCGTATAGAATGTCCACATAGCTTAGCTGTAGGCGTTGTAGAGAGGCTTCCGTGGCTTCAATCAAATGCTTTCTTGACAACCCGAGGTTGTTGATCTTGTTGCGGGGCGAAGGAAGGGCGGAGTTGTGAGTGCCCCAGTAGATCTTTGTAAGTTAATACACTGTCTTCACGAGGTTTCGTTAAGACTAGACTACCTTGGTGGAGACGACGATATCATTCCTGTTCCAATTGAAATGTTTGATAGCGCGGCCCATGACTTTCTCCGACTCGCCTTTTGCGTAGCCTTCAGCGCAATCGAAAAAGTTGATCCCAGCATCGAAGGCTGCTTTAAGACAGGCGAATGTGTTGTCATCGCCAACGTGTCCTCCGTAAGTGAGCCAACCACCAAGCGAGATGGCAGAGATCTGCAGTCCGCTCTTGCCCATGAAGCGGTACTCCATCTCAGGGAGATCCTTCGGTGCTTCGGATTCAGACATGTTGTAAAGAAGAAGAATAGTAGATGGGTGAAATTTCAACCGTAAACTGCGGATAAGTCTTGCTTATATTGCAGCAGAACCCTAGTCGACAACTACCATGTCAATAAGCAAGCCACCAACGAAACTGCACGATGGAGTGCAGGACGATCTGCTGAATAGGGTTAATTGTCCAAGACAACCATCTAGAGTGGGGCACTTCGCTGCAAGATACCCCGCACAAAGGGCCCAAGGGCGTAGACGACGCGGGTAGTGCCAACTCCATCCCGCCTGTCGTCATCGCTACGGAGAAAGGCGACTTTAGACGGTGGAAAATAGGAGACTGGAAACACGAGATGGGTAAAGAAAGAGACCGTAAGTGCAAAACCCTAGGGTAACGCGTGATGGGCTTGAACAATGCTGGTTTGTTGTAAAGGTTATCCCTAAGATAAGTTTGAACACGACGTTCCACTCTGCGAGCAAGCACTGCTTCACCAGATCCCAGGGACCATTCTCTTCCGCGGACCTACCTTATCGGCGCCGAATTTCTCCACGTACCAGTTTTTCGTACCTACTGCCGTCACTCCTAAGTTTGTAGCGACGAATACAGTCGCGCAGATTAGTGTCCAGTTGACCCAGCCACCTTCTGGGGCTGCCAGGAGCGACAGCAACGCATATATAGCGACCTCGCAGGTATAGTGTGGACAGAGGAGATTGGGAAACACAGTATGCGACGGAAGCTGGTAGTCGTTGCTTTCAGTGCGGAGACGATATAGATAGCTGTGGTAAGAGTGTTGCAGCGTCTGGGCTGTGATGACACCCGGCACGGATGCCCAATTACCGGCAGTGTTTCTGGGTGTCTCAACCCAGATGGCCATGTTTATCGTGGTGTAGAAGAGGAGACCAAGTACCCAGTGAGCAAACCACATTCGGCTCTTGCTCGTTGAAGTATATGCGTAGGACTCGAGCATGCGGCGCAAGCCTTGAAGCAACATGAGCACCCAGACAATCTGCTGCTGCCCACCAGCTTCCCAGACGCGTAGTCTCCATGCCCAAAACAGCGAACAGAGCACCGATGTAATATAGAAATGGGTGAAGTAGTTATGGGGGACCTGCAGCGAGGCGGCGTAATCGAGAATGCGGGTGAAAGCTGGCTGTTGCTGCTGCTGCTGAACGGGTAGCACCTTCCTCCCGCTTGGACCAGCGACACGAGAGCCGTAGGCAAGAAAGCGAGAGCGCAGGGCAGGAACGGCCTGGATGACGAGGATCTAGTAAGCACGCTGATTAGTGAGGTTGCAGGTGCGACTGAGTGGGTGTCGCGATACAAGAAGTGATGCAGCGAGATAGAAGGCGCGCAGCAGAGCCACCGAATGCAAGTCCTCGAGCGACAACGATAGCGAGGCCATGGTGGGATGGTATTGGAGAGTGTACAAGACCTGGGGCTTGTGACGGCAGAATGATGAAGGCTTGACTGGTGCTGACCGCTTGTTCGATTAGTGAATCACGTGCTACGGGGTCCAATCTCCTCAGTGGTTCAGGCTAACACCGACTGAACCAAACAAATTGGCCGGCAGGAGATGACGAGGGCTAAATAACGCGGCAAAGGCCGTTTTAGCGGCAGTTTGGAACCTTGGGAGACCTGTTTCGGCTGGGTTGGCGAGCGACGAGGAACACGGGACGGGCAAGACAAGACGGCTTCATGTGAGTGGGAGAGGCCGACTGGCAGAACATGGAGCCACGCAACATCAGACGTCGCGACCACAGCGCCTTGTGATGGCCATGTTGCGCTGCCTGTCGCTCAGCATGCACGATAGCCTGCCTGGGACAAGCACAAAGGCGAGTGCAGGGTTGCCTTCTGTCGCGACGGGGCCGTCTTTGGATCCATGCCCCCCATGGATGGTGCAGGCCGGTGAATGGTGGGTGGAGCACTGCCTGCTACTGGCAAGCCTCTCAGCTCTCTTCTCCGTGTCGCTCGCTCGACCTCCACTACACCTCACAACGCGCCTTCATCACCAACCCCCCGACCGCGACATCCCTTGAAGCTTTTCCAACAGCCAAGCGCCCTGTTGTTGCCGCCCGCACCTGTCGTGCTGCAAAGGCCTCCGCTGTGCACCTTCCGTCCCTTGCTCTGCAAGCCAGCATGAGGCAGGAACTCGAGTGTCCTGTCCCAGCGTAATGACCAGTAATGCCGATCCGGTCCTAAACGCACCCTCTGACCCAAAGCCCTTTCACCACGACCGCCCCCACAGTCCGCCCTCTCCACGCCCGGCACCCAAGGCTGCCGCTTTTCCATCCCAACATGCCCACGACGAAGACCAGGATGCCGAAGGCGAATCTGAGGCCGAGACGGTCGTCCTGTCACGGGACGAAGACCCCGTCGAGAACAAGGTGATCAAGACGGAGCGCATCGACGACGACGAGAACAACGATGATGCATCACGGCTGCGCTCCATCAAGGAAGAGTCGCGGGCGCATTCACCCCATCCCAACGGCCGTCGCCGCTCGAGCAACGGCAATCATGTCAAGGTCAATGGCGTCAAGCACGCTCCTGAGCGCGATGCAAAGAGCCCAGTTCCTACTTCACCCAGCAGCCGCACTGCCTCGCGACACACCAAGGACACCAGCCCAAACGACTCGGCCAGATCGCCTGTCCGGTCCGCCCTTTCTCCCACACACACCACCACCCGCGGCCGCAGCGCGTCGACCGTCGAAAATCGCAAGCGCAAGCTGCGCGATGACTCGTTCCCCAAAGCCTTCGAACCACCGCGACAAAAAGCAAGGACCGAGGGTTTGAAAGACGCGCGCCCACCCAATTCGCCTGGCACACCGGGGTTTGGCCGTCCACACAAACGTTCGCAATCGACTCAATCCGCCGTCACGGGCATCGCGGGCCGCAAGCGCCGCGAGGTCACCAACCTCGCTCTGTCAACAGAAGAGAATTGGTCGGGATCGAGTTCAGATCACTCGACATCACCACAGCCTACTTCCGCACCACATCTGCAACACGCCCGAGTAAAGCGCTCCACGCATCGTGCGCTGACCTCACCCGCACGCACCATGCCACAGCGAAAGGTCGATAGATTTGGCGCTACGCGACTCGCTCGAGAGAGTGAAAAGGGCGACCTTGATGCAGTTAAGGAAGCCTTCGAAGAAGCTCCCGATGAGCTAAATCAACCGGATTACGCTGGTATCGCTCCATTACAAAAGGCCTCGTTACATGGCTGGGCACCTGTCGTTCGGTATCTGATTAGCAAAGGCTGTCGTACAGACTGCGAGAGTCACGATCGGGACACTCCCCTCATCGATGCAGTGGAGAACTCACACCTGGACGTAGTCAGATTGCTCCTCAATGAGGGCCAGGTCAATCCACACCACTCGAACAAGAAGGGGCAGCGTGCAATCGATGTGCTGGATCAAGAAGACGAAGACGCAGAAGAGATTGAGAAGGAACTCAGGGAAGCGATGAGGAGGCGGGTAGACACATCCACCAACGACCACGAGCGTACCCAGAAGCAGGCCAAGACCGCATCGCGCTTGTTGTACAACGAGTTCAACGTGGAAACCCTGATCGAAAAAGCCGGTGACGGCGACATCCTTGCAGTAGGAGAGTTGATCAATAGTAACATCAAGCCGAACATTACGTGTGGCGTTGCAGCGGCAAGAGGTGGACATTACGACATTCTCAGTATCCTGTTAGCGAGTGGCCTCAAGGCTGATCCTGACCCGTCCAAGCATCCAGAAACGCCTATGACAGTTGCTATAGGGCGAGGATATCTCAAGATCATACAACTGCTTCTCGAGCAAGACAATTTCAACCCCACTCGCCGAAACAAAGAGAACAAGACGTACTACGAAATCTCCGAGGAGCGCCATGGCCCGAAATGGGAGGAAGAGAGGGACATGTTGAAGCGCGCCTGTGAAGAGTATCAAGGAACGCACCGGAGCCCTCGAAGAGTCAAGAGAGAAGCGCCAAACGCTTCTGCCAATCGCATGAAGAGAAAGGCGTCGCCACGAAGAGAACGATCGTCTTCTCCACGTGTTGAGTCGAAACGTGCGCATCTGGCAAAATCGACGACAGTGCCCGCTGCTCCCCAAAAGTCCCGGCGATTAATGTCTGGGAAGGAGAAGGCAACTAGGGAGGATCAGAGAAGAAAGCGAGTTGTGTCCGACGATTCATCAGAAGAAGAGAGCGAAGAAGACGTACGACCGCCCACCCGAAAGATCAAGCAGCGATCTGATAGCGAAGGCGAAGAGGCGAAGCCAGTCAAGAAACCAGCGAAACTACGGTCGGACGACAACGAATCTAAACAAGCAATTCGAGCACGTTCAGACGAGAGTGACGAGGATCATGCTACGAAGCATCCAGCCAAGATTCGCACCAAACCAGCCAGACCTCTCAGTGCCAAACCAACGCCTGAGATTGATTCTCCAGATGAACGCAAAGTCGTAAAGAACAAGATCAAATACAAGACTGTCGAAGACAAAATCAGGAAAAGAAAGCTATCTGATGCATCAACAGATGATGTCAGCATGAAGAGAACACCGACAGCGTCTGCCAAGTCTACGCCCGTGCCTCCTGAAAGAATAGCAACCCCGGAAGTTGAACGCGCACGTCGCCAAGAGGAACAAAAGCTGCATGCAGAAGCAAAACGCAAAGCTGCCGAAGCCGCGGCCGATGCTGAAGCGAAAAGGAAGGAAGAAGAGGAGGCAGCTCGTAAGGCTCAAGAGATCGAGGAAGCAAAGAAGAAGGCCGAAGCAGAAGCCGAAATTAAGCGCCAGGCAGAAGAAGCCGAGGCAGCACGCATACGTGAAGAGCAGGAGACCCAGCGTCGAGCAGATCAGGAAGAGAAACGCCAGAAGGAATTGCTAGCACGCCAGGATCGTATCTCCAAGCTCCCACGTGCCTTACGACGCGCCTGCGAGTTAGGCACAAATCGACCGCTTCATTTCTCTGGTGAAGAACTCGGCGTATCGGCTGTCTTCCTGCCACTGTTTTATGCGGCTGCGGAGGATCTCTGCAACTCGCAAGCCATACCAAACAGAACATACATTTGTTCCTTCCAGGCTGTTGGCATACTTGGACTTCCAGAACTTGATCTAGCATACCTCAGCACTCCTTATTCTGATTGGTCTCGTATTCCCGTGAGCCGCGCTCAACGAGATGCCATCCTCCGTCAATACGACGTGGCCCTCCTAGCCCAGGATTTCCGTTTCCCCATGGAAGGCGCTCCGGATTTCGATTACGCCAAGATCCAAGACAGCATCAAAGAAGCCAAAAATCAGTTTTCAGCCATGGAAGGCCTGTATTGGGTAGAAGAATCGCATCTTTACGATGAAGTCGAGAAAGTCGATAGCCTTCGACCGCTACTCCACGAGATGCGCGCTGAGTGTAAGAGACGGCGAATACAGCTAGCAGACAACGACGAACAGCCGGAGAAGAAGCAGAAGCCCCGGAAAAGTTTCATGGATATTGTACTTGCACAAAACGGTATTAATGGAACGGCGCCTCGAGCAATCGTCAATGGTAACGGATGAAGCAGCGAGGGCATCAGGGCTCCCTGATTTGTATAATTACTCCGATTAAATGAAGCCCACATCGCCGCGCCGCGCTCCGCCGTATTATGCACTGCAAGGGACAGCAGCATCTATGGGGAAGCTACACCAGCCAATATCTTATGTAGTGTTTGGCGGGAGTCGATAGTAAGGCATGACGAGCTTGGCAGCTCAAGGCATGAGGACTCATGTGCATAATCACGAAAGCAATACAACCTTAGTATAATGGAACTGGTCAATCGCATATAAGTGCACCGTGCTTCCGTTCTCGTGTCCAGCCCAGGTTATCCTTGTCATGAATAGGCGCCACCCCACTCCGATGCATCGGGCCCCGCAGCAGAGCTCAGAGCTCCGGTACACTTTCACCAATTTAAGCCTCCCATGTGCATAACTTTACCACATTGCAAACTCACCTAAACGATAGATCACCGATACGATTTTCACGAATTCAGACCTTGCTTATCAAAACATCTGATCAACGTATCAATTGTAACTGCAACATCTCGAAAACCACTGCAGCCTCGTTCGCGCATCGCTATCCCAAGATGGCGCCTAAAAACAAGGGCAAGGGAAAAGACAAAGACGAGAGCAGTAACAGTAAAAGTGAAGGGGGAAAAGGCTCAGGCGGAAAACTCAAACCAGCAACTTCAATAAACGTACGCCACATACTCTGCGAAAAGCACTCTAAGAAGGAAGAAGCATTGGAGAAGCTGCGCAACGGCGCCAAATTTGACGAAGTGGCCAAGGAAATGAGTGAGGACAAAGCGAGGCAAGGTGGCAGCCTAGGTTGGAAAGTCAGAGGAAGCTTGATGCAGGACTTCGAGAAGGTAGCATATGAGTTGGAGCCTAGTACAACTGGTAGCCCGAAGATTGGCGAGGTGAAGACGAGCGAGGGATATCATATCATCATGGTTGAAGGGAGGAAGTAGGAGGGGTTGAGCCATGGGAGTGGCAATGGGAATGGGAATGGGTTAAAGAGTGAACATGATTGATACCCTGGGAATCAGGGTCTGCATACACGGTGTTTGCCCTGTAGAGACCCGTCTCACGTCAGGCTTAAAATCCTATGGAGAACCTGTTCTGATTGCAATTACGTCTGCCTTCAGAAGCACTTCAGAAACGCGTCTTAGCTGAAGGGCTCCCTTACTTGCGTTTTGCAACAACCATCGGAGTCTCACTCGCCTATTCCTTTGGCTACCGCAGAAGTGCCGAACGCAAAGTATCGAGACGAATAGCTGCTGTGAATAAAGTAATGCATAAGTTCGTTAGTATTCGATAGAGTCTGTAGAATTTGGTAATATCTTGAAGTGTACCATTCGCCTTCCAGGTTCACACCAAGACATATACTTTGGGGCTATTGCTAGCACGTGATACAACTTCGCAATGAACATCTATGGGACAAGTTTACGTGTTCACAACATGTCGAAGTGAATTGAGCGAGCGCATACAAGCGCCTCGCAGTGGCCGCTCTTGGCCATGGATTGAGGCTGGAAAACAGAGCGACCAATGGCAGACTCGGCAGATGCATCGAACCCTTGAGTGGGAAAGATATGCGATACATGGGGTGTCGTGTCTTTCCACATGTTTAGTGAGGCGAAACAAGACACGCCGGCCTCTTTCGGCCGTTGTCGAGCTGCCCGGGAGCCGTCATGCTAGCGGGCCTCTTATCGCGTTTGTGAAACGTTATCATGGGTGATCACCTGGCCCACGGTGCTTCATCATCACGTGTAGGCGGACCATCACGTCATCATCTTGAGCAATAGCCTTCTTGGATGTCGCATAGGCGGGTAAGAGTGATAGTAATCGGCGGAGTCCTCGCGGCTCCTCACCGGCTGACGACGTGTCTGGCTGCCTTTCGTGGTAGCGGACCACTCACCAACTCCAAGGGTAGAAGCCAGTCAACTCTAAGCCGCCAAACGCGAGCGATAGCAGTCGAGAGTACCTTGCCACAAGCCAGACGGTCCATCAGTCCCTCAGCCCACAAGTGAACCTAACTACAAAGCCAACATCTGCCTTTCGCTCTCACTGCGACGCGAGCATTGGAAATCCGGTGTACGAGAAGGTTGGCGCGCGCCCCGGCGTCCACTAACGCACTGACCCCACTTCTTAGGCAGCTACCATTACACCTCCAGCTGCTCCGCCGTCTCACCTGCTCCACCTCCGCCTTCAACTCAACTCCATCAGCCAGCCTCGACAGCAACATCAACACTCAAGTTGCTGCACCTCTTCATCTTCCTTACAGCGGCGGCAAGCTAGCTGCAGTCGCTCTGACTACTACTCTCACCCTCATCGCCAGCCTCACTCGCCCATCATGGCGGCGACTAACAATGTCCCCGTGACTCTGGACACGCCTATCGTGGTCAAGGTCCTGTTCCGGGGCCAGACAAAGAAGTTCAAGCTACCTCTGAAGGATCTTGGAGCCCATGTGCTACCCGACAAGGTCCGTAGTTGCTCGTTACCACAGGTTATCATGCTCAGGCGATCGGCTCGCTCGCCTGGATATACGACCAAACGCGCTCAACAAGGACGATACTGACTTGATCTCCCATGTTTAGCTCCGAAGCATCCTCCAGCTTGAAGCTGGCGAGCAGGTCGTCTTTGAACGCTACTCCGACTCCGCCGCCTCGTATGTCATCCTCGACGCCGACAAACCCCAGGTTTACAAGACGCTCTTCCGCGCTGCAAAGGCGAAACTCAAGCTGCGTTTGAGAGCTACCGTTCCTGGTGAAGAGCCCGTACCTGCACCTGCACCCGCGCCGATGCCGCCACATACGCTTCCAGGCTATGCGCCATCTGTTCACCGCATGAGCTCAGATACCCTCACTCCACAGGGCAATCGACCTGTTTCTCCGGTGATTGCCCGCTCGCCGGACATGGAGAAGAAGGAGGCCATCAGTCCTGTGTCGCCACCAAAAACGGCAGATGCTGACGGCGAGGCTCCTGTACCGCAGGCCTTCACTGCCCGTCAGAGTAAGCACCAACGCGAACGTGATTTGCCGTACAACACTTAGCTAACACCCACAACAGACTTCTTCAACAACCTTGCAACTGCCAACTATAACTCGGGTCTTGCGTTCCGCCCCAAGCCGAGCAATGTGTGCACCTCGTGGGTTGTCTATTGCAACAACTGCAACGAGCCTATGGAGGATGAGCACTTCCATTGTAGCGTATGCGACGGTGGCGATTACGATCTTTGTCCTGCTTGTGTCGACAACGGTGTTCATTGCCCCGGAAGCGGACACTGGATGGTCAAGCGCTTCGTCAAGAATGGCAGTGTCGTCAACAGCACTACCCAGCGCATCGCACCCAAAGTCAAGGCCGAGGAGCCCCAACAGCAGGATATTCCAGGAGCTTTCACCGATGAGAAGCAGTCTGTCACCTACGAACAGGAGCCCACTCGCACCTGTAACTGCTGTGTCACCGTGCTCCCCGAGAAGGAGTTCGTTACCTGCGTCCCCTGTGATGATTACGACCTTTGCTTGACTTGCCATGTTAGCAACAAGCATGGTCACCATCCTGGCCATACCTTCAAGCCTGCCACATCCGAGACTGTGCTTCCTACTCTGGCGGATTTCCTGTGCAATTCCGGCAGGAATGTTCGTCACAACGCTGTCTGCGATGGCTGCGACAAGTTCATTTACGGTGTCCGCCACAAGTGCTTGAATTGCCCAGACTGGGATTACTGTTCTGACTGTCTCAAGAACGCCAAGTTCATTCACCCCCGTCACCGCTTCGTACCTATCTATGAGCCTTTGGCTGAGCCCATGAACACCGCCAACCGCCACTACGGTATCTACTGTGACGGTCCTCTCTGCAAGGATAAGGAGAACCTGTCATACATTGACGGCATCCGCTACAAGTGTGCAGTCTGTCACGACACCGACTTCTGCCAAAACTGCGAAGCTCATCCCAGCAACAAGCACAACCACACTCATCCACTCATCAAATTCCAGACACCTGTGCGCAGCGTTAGCGTCACGACTCTCAACGATGATAAGCAGCGCAAGTCCGTTGCTAGGCTCGGTGATCGCATTGCTGACAGGCGATCTACGTCGACTGAGACTACCCCTGTCGCTCCTTCTACCAACGCTGCGACTCAGGTTCAGACCATTGTTGACATGAAGCCCTCAGCAGAGCCTCAAGTCAAGAAGGAGAAGATTGCTATTCGTGATCTGCTCGTCGACTCTGTAGAGCCAGTGCAAGAGAAGCCTGTTCAGCCTATTCAGCCTACGGTGCCCATCAAGTCGGAAGCCATCTCCATTGCTAGATCGGATACCGCTACCGAGGGCCTTGACGCACACTTCATTCGAGATACCATCATTGACGGTTCCAAAATCTGTGCAGGCCACCAGTTTGTTCAAGTATGGACTCTACGCAACCCAGGCCCTAACGCCTGGCCACGAGGATGCAGTGTACGACACGTTGGTGGCGACAACATGCTCAACATTGACAATACGCGTCCCTTGAGCCACACTGATCTCGCAGAGGCCAGCGAAAGCAACATACTCGGACATACCGTCGAGGCCGGCGAGGAAGCTCAGTTCCGTGTTCTTATGAAGGCACCCCAACGTGAGGGCACTGCTATCTCTTACTGGCGCTTAAAGACCCCTGAAGGTATGCCCTTCGGTCATCGTCTGTGGTGTGATATCGCCGTCGTTGGCGTGCCCTCCCCTGTGGTAGTCCAGCCAGCGATTCCTCCTGCGCCAGTTCAGAGCGTCCCTACTCCTACCCCAGGCTCAGCTACCACGTTTGAGGTTGCCCCTCGATCGAATCCTCTTTACGAGCGCCTCCTACAAGCTAGAGCTGAGAGGATGAAGCATGTACAACACTCTCAGCAACAGCAAATGAACCTGCAGAAGATGAAGGATGCGCACCACTCTTTGCAACAACAACTGGATCAACAGAAGATGGAGCGTGTCCAGCGTGTGCGCAAGGCTGCTATGGAGCGTCTTCTAGAGGGTCGTCGTAAGGTTCATGAGGAAGCGAACCGCCGCAAGGAACACGAAGCTGCTCTTGCCACCATCAACCAGGAGCCGAATGTTCCATCCAAGGCTGAGATCAAGCCTGAGGAGCCAGTCGCTGAACTCCCCGTTGAGGAGAAGCAGCGCTCATCTGAGCCTCTCGCTTCCGGTATGATTTTCCCTCAGCTAGACAAAGAGTCCCCTGAGTCGAGCACCTATGAGTCTTCTACTACTGCTCAGCCCATGTCTCCCTCGTCTGAAAAGAGTACAGTCGCTCGTACCGTTACCGTCGCTTCGGATGACGAGTTTTTCGAGGATGCCGAAAGTGTTGCCCTAATGTCTGATGACGGTTTCATGACCGACGAGGAATACGACATCCTCGATGCTAGCGATGAGGAGATGCCGTAAGCAGATCGAGCACGGCTGTTGACGAGCTACATTCTTCGTAAGCATAAAGGTAAGCGGAGTGCTCCAGATTATTGTTTATAGCGTTCGGATTTCTGGGTTATGGGGGCGTCCAAAGGAGTGCAATTGGGGAAACATGGAACAACTCAACACTCCCTACACGGAAGGCGCTGGCGCGCGCTTCAATACACCTCGACGGGACGTGTCAGTGGGGTTCTATATTGCCTCTGGCTCGGTTACGGCTCTCCTACTTTGGCTCAATTTGATCTTTCCTTAGTCTTTAAATGTCTTTCATATGTGTAGTAAATCTATTGGAGTCTTGTTGAACGTATATGTGCTTGTGACTTCGTGATGCTATTATCATTCATGGCCAAAGAGATCCGACTGTGGAGACGAAGCCTGTTGATTTTCTTGGAACATGACTAAGCCAGGGTCTTCTAGCGCGGACCTACTAGCGAAAAAGTGCCCCAGAAAAAAGTTAGAGACCTGAAGTATCGATACGCATCACCATCCACGCTACAATGTCGAAAGATACTGAGATGCTTTCTGCCGACGAAGTCGCCGTCACTTCAAAGGGGGAGCGTCGCGAAAAGAAGGAGAAGAAAGAGAAGAAGCGCTCGAGGACAGAATCGAACGCTGAGGTTGCGGAGGCCGATGCCACCGAAGATGAAGCGGAGACACCAGCGAAGAAGCGCAAACGTGAGACACTTCCCGAAGAGCTCGAGATCGACATCAGTCTTCCCGAACCCGCGTCGAAGAAAGCCGCTCGTAAAGCAAAGAAGGCGAAACTGAACCCGACACCCGCCGCCGACGTAGATGGACCAGAAGCGGTTGCGAAGACAGACGGGGCGGCGAGAGAGGATAAGGACACGGCTGCACAGCGTTCGGCATATGGTGTCTGGATTGGTAACTTGCCATGGTCTGCCACCAGGGAGACACTGCGAAAGTTCTTGACCGATAATACTGAGATTGCGAATGAGCAAATAACACGCGTCCACATGCCTCCACCGACAAAACCGACTCCCGCCAATTGGACCACCAAGCCCATGAACAAAGGCTTTGCATACGTGGATTTCTCTACAGAGCTGGCAATGTACTCGGCAATTGCTTTAACAGAGACGAAGATGGATGGACGCGCGCTACTCATCAAGAACGCGAAGAGCTTTGACGGACGCCCAGACAAGCCCAAAACAGAGGAGATTCAAGACACCCGTGGAGGCAAGGGTGCTAAACCAGGCCATCCCCCGAACAAGCGCATTTTCGTGGGCAACCTCTCCTTCGATGTTACAAAGGAAGACCTTGAGGCACACTATGCCCCATGTGGAGCGATCGATAACATTCATATGGCAACATTTGAAGATTCAGGCAAGTGCAAGGGATATGCTTGGGTTACTTTCGGCGACGTGGAAGCTGCAACGGCAGCGGTCAAAGGCTTCGTGTTCAAAGATCCATCTGCGTTCAAGAGCAAAAAGGACAGAGATGAGAGCAGTGACGAAGAGGACGTCAATAAACCCGTAAAGCAAAGGAAATGGCTAGTCAGCAAATTGATGGGCAGAGAGTTGCGTCGTGAATTTGCCGAGGACGCGAAAACGAGGTATGATAAACGTTTTGGCAAGGGCGAGCCTGTGGACGGGGTCAATCCGGACCGATGGAAGAATTTTGGCGACGGAGATCAAAGAAGAGGCAGAGGTGGTGGCAGGGGTGGTGGCAGAGGTGGCAGAGGTGGCAGAGGAGGTAGAGATGACATGGGAAGCAGGCAAGATGGAGGAGAGGGCAATGGCGGACGGGATTTCAAGCGCAAGGTTGATCCGAGAACCATCAAGAGTGGTGCAGCGCACTCGAATGCGCCGAGAGCAAGTCAAGCTATTGTGGAATCGCAAGGGAAGAAGACTACCTTTGAATGAGAGTATACTTCGTAGTCAGGCCAAACATATAGGATACCCCACAAGTAAGAGCTAGTCGCTATGTACGGCAGGTATCACGCTGCGTGTTGTAGGACTGGGAGGCGCATGGTTACACGTATTAAAGTCTCCTTCTACCTACGCCTTTTGTCGTTCTCAACACCCTGGTACTATTGTCACGCTCTGATAGCAGCTATCGCGCTACCCTACTCACCGCAGTGTTGCACCATGTGTATCAATTCTTATCAACACTAAATCGAACAATCAGACATGGTCTCCCTCTTTACAGCAATGTCAAATCTAAAACGTATCTCCATCGTCCCCAACCTAGCTTGCGAACGCGCGGGTATGAAATAGTACGCCTGCATTCCGAAAAAATATGACTTCGCACCCACAACCGAAGGCCCCTTCCAAATAGTTAACGTCGCAACCAAGAACTTGAAGAACTTCTTCAAACCTAAAGACAAGAAAGCAACTACACCCGTGTTGCAAAAGGTTGAAGACAGAAAAACAGGCGAGGTCAAAGCAGAAGATCAACAGAACGACGCGCTTTACATTTGTCCTGTCGAGATTGGAACGCCGCTCCAAATCATGAACTGACATTTCGATATGAGCAGCTCGGATCTTTAGTTGTGGTCTACGGAGTTGGATAGGGAGACCAAGGTGGCCAGGATTAAGAGCAAACATAATGTTTTTGATGCGAAGGCCAGCCCTCCCAAGAGCTCTTCACTTGTTATCTCGGCTCCTGGCGCGATGAAAACGACGTCGACCATGGCGAATCCTTCTATACATTCGGCTGCATTGACGAACAAGTCCTCTCGCGCTGCGGCGTCTCAGAACCACACTATGTGCCCATCGTTCCATCAAAAGGCTTCTGGCAGTTCTCTTCCCCAACTGTTACCCTCAACGGCGAGACTACCCAACGACCCCCCGGAAATACTGCAATCGCCGATACAGGAACTACACTGGCCCTTGTTGACGACGCACTCTGCGAGAAGATATACAGCACTATCCGTGGCGCTGTGTACGATAAAGCGCATCAAGGTTGGACCTTCCCCATCGGAACAAAAATCTCTAATCGTCCTACTCTAGCACTTGCTGTGGGTGACAAGGAATTTGAAGTACAAAAAGAAGATTTTGGGTTTGCGAAATGTGGGGCGGGCATACAGTACGGCGGAATACAATCACGTGGAAAGAGTGAGTTTGATATTTTCGGGGATACGTGGTTGAAGGGCGTTTATGCGATTTTCGATCAGGAAAAGAAGAGGTTTGGGACTGTTCAGAGGGTGGAGGGGATGCAGAATTTGGCTATGCCGAAATGAAGGCTGGTTCACCCCTATGTCGCTAGATCATTAGTTGTGGTAATGGTATCGCTCATTCTTCTCTACTATCCAGACCTTTGTCGTGTGAAATTGCGACTACGGAGCCGCAGCATTGGCAGCTAACCACTGCCCAAACGCTGCCGCGTTCCTTGTCTGCATGAACACGGTCCCTGGTCCCGTGAACTTGCACACGAGCCCCTCGCCCGCCGTCATGTTACTGATGATACCCCCGCTAGCAACACGCTCGAGTACGTATTTGCAGTTCCATGCGACCAGATGTCCGTTATCGATGATGTACTTCTCGTTGGCTGCGAGCTAAATTGAGGCAACGTTAACGAACCATAGAACCTAGCATGGGAAGGTATCCAAGGATGGAGCTTACATCTTTCCTAATGATCGCACCAAAGCTCGTAACCCAAAGCACACCCGTACCACTGATCTTGTACACGAACAGTCCTTCACCACTGAACATGGCTTTTCCAATGCCCTGGCTCTTGTACTCGGTTACGATACCCTGTGTACAGGCTAGAAAGGCGTCGCGACCCACCGACCACTGTTCCTTTCCACCAAGCTTGATGATGGTGATGTCGCCTATAGAGGAAGGAGCGAGGAGGAGTTCACCCGGGCCGGTGTATGTAGATTTACTCATGTCACCACCGATGAGTGCTTTTTTAAGGGAGAATTTCAGGTTACCTTTCAACGTCATGGTGGGGGACATTGCTATCATTGCGCCTAATTTCATCTGTTAGACAGTGGTTCTTCTGTTTTTCTTGCGCAGTGTAACGGCTAGATATGGAACATGTGCTGCAAGACGTACCAGGTTTCGCGGTAAACGGACATCCGATCGCTAATTGCACTGTGAGGATCGAATTCGTGTCCCGATGGCTCACACGATAGCTTCCTCCATTGAAGGTCCCTACGTCATCTGCTGAGGCACTTGCAGGGCCGGTATGCGCTGCTTGGCCTACGTATTGCGGTTGCTGTGGTATGGTCTGTTGGCTCGGTTGCGACTGTCCCATACCTGGATGTCCTGTCTTCTCGGCAGGATATCCTGACTGCTCGTCCCGGTATGGGCTTGCACTTGGACTTCCACCAGGAAATCCACCGAAGCCAGGGCTCATCGGCTGCTGCTGATGAGGGGGCGGCGATTGTGCTTGGCCCAGCGGTGGAAAGTGCTGTTGTTCGGGTGGTGGCGCATATTGTTGTTTTTCAGGCGGCGGCGCATACTGTGGCTGTGGGTTGGGGTTACCGCCCGGTGGAGGGGGATAGTGTTGTTGTTGGTGTGCGGGTGGGGATGTGGGCGGTGGTGGGTAGGATTGGCCTCCTGGAGGAGGGGCAAAGTACTGCTGTTGGGGCTGTTGGTCTGGTATGCGTCAGGTTGCTGTTCAGGGGTGCAAGTGTTGTGGCATGAGGAGCTAAGTGAGCAAACAATCGACGTTTGTTGAGAGGATACGAGGGAGGGCGGCATGTACCTGGCGGAGCTGTATCGTGTCAGTTGACCTCCCCATGTACTGCGATATGCGACTCACGAGGGTAGTAGTTCCCACCTGGCGGTGGTGTTCCCTGATATCCCGACATGTTCAAGCTCCCAATTCTGCAGAGACCAAGTCGACGCGACTATGGTAGTCACCCGGAAGACGACGCAGGAGTTGATGTTAGCAGTACACGCACGCGCACAACTACAGGACGAGAGGGGGGAGGAGAGCGGAGAAGGAATTGATTTAGTCTACGGAAGCATCAGCACCACATGCAGTATAGACGTTTTAACCGCGCGCCCCCGTTGGTGTCTTCCTTGGTCAAGCTGCTCAGCCTCCAGCGCGCAGCTGTTGGCTAGCGGGGTGCCTCGAGCCGCCGAATCAGCGCCCCGCAACTGTCGCTCTGAGCTGTGCCAAGGCTGTGCGACGGGTGAGCAAGAGAATAGCATAAAGTGGTTTATGCGCGGCGAGCTATCTTTAATGGGGAGGGCATGAGAAAGCAACGGAAGCAAACATGCTTGTATGCATCCACGACGCAGGGGAGCTCCGGGACGCACCGCAAGCTATCAGGGTCCGAGTTGCGAACGGCATGCAAGCGCCCACGATCATCTCAAATGACAAATGCTAGTCTGCATGTCATCTGCCAGCGTCTGCACCAAGTTACCAGACGGCACACAACACGTGATGAGCATGTTTCTTTTGTACCTCTATCATACTGTATCCTTTTTGACTCATCCCAAATATACGTGAACTATCCCGCAGACATTGCTCTGAATCCATCATGATCATGACCGTTCTCATCCGCCGAACAAGCGTCATAACAGCAACAGCCGTAGCGCCCGCTTATCGAGAAAACCCAGCCCAAGCCATGCATAACATTGAATATCGTAAAGCGCATAACACAAACCCTCTAGCCCACCATTCTCCGCCTCTTTCCGATCTGAGCAGAGAAACCAGTCTTGATGGCCTGTACTGAACGCCTTGATCCGCAGCTGTTGCAAGTCACGAAGTTCAGACGGTTCTCACCCTTGGATAGGTCCGTGTCGGGCGAGCGGCAGGTCTTGCATGTCACGTATTCGACAATGTACCGTCTCAGGACGTTCTCAAGTTGCTTCTGCTGGAAGCGACCCTTGATAACTAAACGCTTCTGGTCGGCAAACGAACCGCTCGTACCCAGTTCGGCGAACAGGAACTGGGCAACGTGCTCGTCGGAACGCTTCATACGCTTGCAGATCTCGGCAAGATTGGCGAAAACAGTCTTCTTGTTGCCTTCGCGCATACACTGTGGGGGCGGGATCTTGTAGCTCTTTGTGCCGGAGCTGGCGAGGTCGGGATGTTGCGCGTGGAGGAGCGTGAAGAAGCGGTTCAGGAGGAGGTTGTACGAGATGGGAGTCGTCGAGTCGTGTTGCCAGATGCCGGTGCCCTTCATCATGTCGCCCTCCTGTACTTCGGGTTCGGGGGCAGCAACCTCCTCCTCACCTTCGGGCTTGTCTCCGCCGGCGGCAGCGAGCTTGGCCTCGAAGTCGTCTTCGACCTTCTTCTTGCTAGACTTCTTCTTTTTCTTCAGTGCAGCGAAGTCGCCCTCTGCGCCGTCCTCGTCCTCGCCTTCCTTCTTCTTGCTCGACTTCTTCTTTTTCTGTGGTTCTGTCAGTGGTCTGTTAACAGTACCATTGCATTTTGCGCCCTCACCTTCTTTGCCAGATCAGCAAACATATCGGTAACCTCTTCAACCTCTTTGTCGTCGCCTACAGCCATTGTTGTTAGCGACTGATCTGTTGCCAGTATGTGGGCTATCTTACCACCACCCGAGGAGTGACCCTCGGCAGAGTCCTTGCCGCCGTTCATCTCTAGTGACTCTGTAACGTCGCCGTTGCTGTCGACAATCGTGGCACCTTCGGAGAATTGGACAGACTTGCGGGGTTTGCGGTCAGGGAGATCGGCCTTTACAGAGATGCGTTAGCACATGGCTCTTTGCAGAAGATGCAGGAAGGTGAAGGCTAGGCAGCTGGCATGCAGGTTGCCCACCACTCGTGCACAGGATATTTCGACAGCGAACGTGGGGTTGAATGACGTACAGTGTCAGCCATGATTGCGGTTGTAGTCTGGGTTTCGATCTGCAGTGGAGCAGTCGCAGTGTAGTGCTACGGATTCGGAGTAGGTTGTATTATGTAGGGGTGGTGGGTCGAAGAGTAGGGCGAGCCGTCACCTTAAAGTTCGCCGCAACACATGTGTGAGTCGAACGCTCTGAGCCAAGATTTGCGTCACGTGCCGGCTGCCGCTAAGCCCCACCTCCGCTCATTGGCTGTAGCGCTCCAACTGCATGGCCGAACGCGTCTACTCCATCTACTGTCGCGACCCTATTACTTCCGCCGATGCTGCTGCGTTAGCCTGCCGAGCGAGCCATACGTCTATCCTCCTTCTTGTTCGCCCAACGCCGTCGTCGCCATGTCGATGAGCAACAGCGAGAGCTTCGTAGAGCCAGACTCTCCCGACGACATCGATTCATTACCGTCCTCCGCAACGAGCTCCGAAGCCGACGAAGAAGAGTACATGTCGGATGCAGACCGGGAATGGAAAGAGTCGTTGCAACAACTGGAGCTGTTGTTGACCATGGTCATGGTGCCATATCTGGGCAAATACTTTGGCAGAAAGGCTGCTTACTGGGGTACGTCATCTTCCATATCCACGAGGACGGATGCATTGCAGGTTGCTAACGAATTTCTAGGATGGGCCAAATTCATGGAATGGAAGTACCCTGTCGAAGTCGTCTTCTCGAGTCCCAAGACATTCAAGCTTGCTGGAGCTGTTGAGGCAGCAGCGACGTTATGAGCGCTTTATACTACCGCGGCGGCTTCACGCATTCAAGCATTGGCGTTCATGGCGTTGAACTTCATCCGACACCCATACACGCTGAGCGTCACTGTACATACCAGTCTGTTACTGCGGCATATCGAATAAATACATTAGCGAGCAAAGCACCTATTCCTCTACGCTCTCAAAGCAGAACCTCTCCGTTGAGAATGGTCCTCCCGTAAGCGTCATGGTGCCAATGATCACCCGCCAATGTCAGGAGCCTGTCCTGCATGCGCTTCGTATCCAAACCGCCATCTTTGGCATGTATCTCTTCCATTTCTTGCCTCTTCTTGCTCTTGGGCTTGCCTTCTTTGATGCGCAGTTTCTCAAAGTAGACATAAGCACCGTAAAACACACCAGACGTATTGCCGTTCAATGCTCCCTTCTTGCTGCGGAAAGCAGATAGTTGGCGGGCGTTGAGGGTCTTGGGCGGATTGTGGAAGGACGTGGAGGCTGCGCGAAGGAATGCCTACACATGTGAGGATACGAAGTTAGTGTATGTCTCACATGCATTTCGTACAGTTACAACTTGCCGCCTGTGTTACACCGGGCTTTTTGAGGTGCGCCTTGATCTTCTTACGGATGTCGTCGCATGTATCTATTCACCAAATTCTCAATATTTAGCGTTCTTGTAGTGAAGTCACGAAGCTCACCGAATACGGGCACCTTATCGTCCTTCTCGCCGTCAAGCTCGATGTCGTCAATACTGGGTACGCTTCTCCTTTTCTGCGGGTCCTTGGCTACTCTTCGCCTTCTTGTTCGGGGTTGTTTTGATGCCTTGGATCTCGCGCGTCTTGAAGAATGCCCACGCTGCCAGATATACGGAAAATTCGGATCCCTTGTCCTTCCCATGCTGGCTCATGAAACGCGAATATGCATTGGGAGTGATATTGACCTCTTTCTGGAACTCGCCTACTTTCATCTCACCGTTATCAATCAAGGTGCGTATCTTACGCCTACAGATGAATCAGATACTGTACTTGCGCGACACGTTTATTGCGCTTTGACGCGCACAATGTAAATGAGATGTAAGGTGAATAATTTGCGTCTAAAGAGAATCCTGCATACCGCACAACATCGCAACTGTCCGTCACCAGCCCGTTTTCAAGCTCGAAAAGCAGCCTGTCTTCATTACTGGTCGGCATGCCCTGATCTGACGCGGGCGTCGTCTTTCTGAGAATGTCTGATGATGTATGAAAGATGTTTAACAACGATATTCGTCAACAGGAATCGAGACAAGGTAAGACGTTAGAGACATGCCTTCAAAGCAAAAGACCGGAGCTGGGCGGGAAGGGGTTAATAACGCGGTCGATAACCCATGCTTATGACGTTGTGTTGCGACGCGTCTGTTGTTTTGCGCTAGTGGGCGGGGAAGGTGCAACGCGTTATCAGAGGCGAGAATAACATTATTCACAAGGGCCCCTCTTGTAGAGCAAGAAGAGATGCATTGTTGATTAATGTAAGTAGGAGGAAGCCTGGGTATATGTAGTGGGAGGGGGGCGCTGATAACTGAATGTGAATCACGTGACATGATCTAAACTAACACCTCTTAGACACAAACACTCTGGAGATTCTCGGGACAATCAACATCAGACAGACGGAGATCAAAATCAGAGTAGCTAGTTGGTAGTGAACACAACCTCACGCAAGAATAGAGCATCTCTGGAACGGTGCAGGGTGACTATAAAGTTCCATGTTCACGGATACCATGGCTAGCAGCAACAAGCTCTCTTCGACAATCTCCCTGAAACATCGCAAAATAAGAAACTATACACGGCATAAGCGACCGTTTTGAGTTTGAGCGCCCTGATCGCCATCTTTGACAACCCAATTCTCACTGCCAACAGCTGTGGTAGCATAGAAGACACCCTTTGGATCCCACTTCTTCTTAACCTCGAGGAGCTTAGGGTAGTGGTTCGCGCCGTAGAAGTCAGTTTGCCAGTTTGGCTCTTGAATATCCGCCTCATTGAGGTACACACCGCCACCCTCGGAAGCTGGAGCAACCGCACGCCAAGAGTCCATGATGTCGTAGGTAAGGTAGTCGGAAGCTTCCGCAAACTGAGCTGCCGTGGCATCTTCGGGAACCAGAATGGCAGTGATGAGGAAAGATTGGGTGTCACGCCACGCCTCATTGACAGCATTGTCGACGTTGGAGGGATTTCCTGGGGCCATATGGTAGCCACCGACAGTGTGGCCCTTCATCACTGTGTCCTTGATCGTGGTGTAAAAAGAATTGAACTTCGCTTCGGTTTCCCAAAGACTCTTTGGGAAAAGGCGGGTAGCTTGACGAATGTTGGTCACACCAAGAATATCTGCGCCCCATGATCCTTTGTTGGCAGAGTAAAAGTCCTCATAGTAAGTAGTGTTTGGGGTTACCGAGAGATTGAACGACCTGAGGTCATCGAAATAGTCTTTAGTCAGCGCATTGAAGGACTCAATGGTATGGTTTGGCGCAAAGAAGGGTGTCATCTGGAAATCGAGTGAGGTACCGTAATTCCAGATCCAGAAGTACGAATAGGTACCGGCGTTAGTAAACTCAGGGAAGCGCTTCATGTAAGCGTTGACGCCCTTCCAGAAGTTTGCGGAATCGTTGACCGGAGCCTGGTATGAAAAGACGGACTTGGTAACCTGGATTCTGGGGTGGGCTTTAGCGATGACAGACGTAACAATACCAAAGGTCCCACCTCCTCCGCCGCGAAGGGCCCAGAAGAGATCAGAGTTAACAGATTCAGAGGCAGTCACGAAGCGTCCATCAGCGGTTACAACTTCATAGGCGAGAACTTGATCAGCAGCCATACCGTATATAGACGCGAGAGGTGAGTGGCCACCTCCGGCGACATAGCCGCCACTCCATCCAACTGTCTACGTTTGAACCTTAGTAATCGGTCGCCTAATATCTTGTATGCTTTGACAAAACCTACCTCACAGATACCAGCCAGAACAGTTACATCATGGTCACGAGCAGCTTCCAAGATTTCGAACCCTTGGACTCCGGCACCAGCCTTGAAAGCTGGGCCGTAGTACTTTGTGGATTTGTAGTTCTTGATGAACTGGATGTCTTTAAGATTGTGTGTCCATATGCTAAGAGCACCAGCACCAGATGACTTTCCGATATAGTCTAAATGTAAGCGTGTGAAGTTAATATATGTCTCACATACAATCCGTACAAGGGACACTTACCATGGCCAGTGTTCTTAACAGTCAACCTCAGATTCATGTTGCGAGCAAAATTGACGCCAAGTTGCACCTGGGCAACGTTCTCGACATCAATGGAGTAAGAGGCATAGCCACCTAGTGTGCAGGTACCACTGGGATTGTCGGTTGGCATACATGTACGACCCTGGAAGAGAGGCCACATCATGGAGGTTGGATCACTCGTGCTGATCATGAAGGTTAGTGAACAGTAATATATGCTACATGTGGAGTTTTACTTACTGGAGATCGGCTGCAGTAAATCTGGCTGATATGTCTGCGCATTTAATCTCGTCGTAGTTATCCCAGTCTGATTTCTTGTAGCAAGGCGCGGCGATAGGAGTGGTCTTGATGAGTGCTCCTCCGAGTAAGAGGTCGACCATAGACCATACCCACTCTTTCGGGTAGTTTGAATCGCCTGGAAAGGCTTTACATTGACCACTGCTGAGTGCACGCTTTGAAATAGCCGTTGTCCCATTGCCGCTATCGAATCCAAAGAGTGCATTCACATCAACGTCGCTGGTTTGACTCTCTGCCGTCTTTAGTACCTTGTCGGTCAATTGAACTGCCTCCTGGGGGAAAAGAGCAACGCCTGCAGGAGAGTCCGCAGATACCGTAGCAGCAGCAGGTGCGACATCGCGTATGGCGACAGGGCTGCCAAGGGCGCCGATAGCTCTTGCAACAAGAAACAAAAAAGGACCACGTGCAGACATAGCGAAAGAACTGCAGCTCAGCAATAACGAAAGTGTCAGCAACGGAAAAGCAGATCATGTCTACGTGAGGTGTCCCTAATAAATGAACTCATTTCCACATGGCGCCAGGCCAAAGGATTCGTTCGAGAACTATGTGTCGAACCACATGGCAGGCGATACCTGAGAGACAAATATCGGAGGGATCGTTGCGCTCTATGCAGCAGCAATATGCAGGTCGTTGTACCTACATTACCCGTAAAGCGTGTCCGAGTGTAGCTGCCGCCCCTCGCTCAATCTCCCTCTTCCCCATGCGGCCCGCCCGCTCGGTGGCGGCTATTCCACCAATAGAAGTACGCCAAAGCCCTTCCTGGGTCAGTCTTTGATCGTCAAAACACAAGGAAGATACCTTCGGGCTTTCGGCTCTAGCATATCTTTGCGATTTGGAGATTGGAATATCTCAAGCGAAGAAGGATTTGGCTCAGGGTTCTCAGCCGCCTCGAGCCCCACAATATTCTTAGCTGTGCCAACTGCAGGATACAGGTGTGTTGGAAGGCATATGAAGCAAAAATCGCCATCCAGCGGCTTGATAGACAGCCTCATATGTCCTCGTCGAACTTGTAGTGGGTCACTCATGGCATGTAGTCCAGAAACCATGCCGAATGGAGTCCAGGATGCCGCGAAGACGATACGAAGCGTCCCATGATACTTCACACAATCTGTTTCCGCTTCAAGTAGCTGAAGCAAAAAATTACCTGCCATTCACTGTACTTCTAAACAGTTGCTTCCGCGGAAACTTTGAACAAGAATATAAAGCCGACAGAACGCCACAGAATTCTACCAAGATTTTTGATTGGACATCACAACAAGTCCACAAGGGATGCCCTTTGCCAAGCTTCCTTCCGGAAGTTTTGGAGGGTTGTCTAGAAAGCGGTCATGGCCAAGGTCCATGTACTTGTTCTGCGAAGCAGAATCGCAGAAACCCTTGCGTAAAGGATTTGTGAGCCGCTTTCTGTTACATTGACCAATCACAACCGTTCACGAATCTGTTTACTTTATTCTCCCAGGGTAATAGAGATTAGACGGAAGCGGGAGACAGGAAGTTCAGTAATTTTATTGCAAGAACGACCGTCCCGAGGTGCTGCCAGGTTCCAAAATTCGTTATACTTGCTTTGTTTTATACTTTGCATTCCTTTTGCGTACGCAAATTCTACCATGGCAAACAAAGGCTTATAGCCAGTGAACTTATTCTTGGCGATCTTTCCAAGCGCTTGCTGTGTTGTGATAGTGTCCGTACGTGTTGTACTGAGGCTTAAAGGAGGCAGGTTGGATGTTGGTGAGTTTGTTCAGTGGTTTAACATACATCTCTACTCACACACTATTCAGAAGATTTACTTTTGATCATTGCAACTGTAAAGCACCGCCCCGGTTCATGGTGATCTCCAGTATCCTTAGCTAATATGTGTACTATACATTAGTTTTTGAACCTCGTTCTCTCTTTTACAATGTGTGGTTGTAAGTATTTTCTCGTTTCGTACTCCGTATTAGCAATAGATGTGTGCATACAGCTAAAGGTACTCGACAGATATTCTCACTAGCTACTATGGCTACCATACTTGCGATATCCCTGATGGTGCAATTGATCCGATCGTGATGATGAAGGTGCGTTACGAAGTAGCATCATCGTCGTCGCCTGATATTCACAATTCTGACTGATTCGCAGTGGAACTATGCGAACTCGATCATCTACAATCCCATTCTTGCCTTGGTTAAGGTCTCCTTCTTGATGACACTCATCAAGCTCCGATCGCAGAATAAGTGGATAAACCTTTGTCTATGGGGAACACTTATCGTAAACGGCTGCTTCGCCGTTGCTGCACCTCTCGCCTGCATTCTGCAATGCAATCCAATATCTAAGTACTGGAATCCCAGTATTCAAGGACGGTGCGTTGATGCTGGCGCCTACACTGTCAGCACGTCGTCAATTGTGCTCATGACTGATGTCCCAATCCTGCTCATGCCTTCGTGATATTACACGATTTGAAAATCCCTCTTGGTCGTAAGCTCATGGTCATTGCATTTCTGTCCTTCGGAATTCTAGTCACTGTGGTCGGCGCGGTGCGCACGAGTGTCCTTGTCAAAGTTTTTGTACTGAAAGAGGCCACAGAAGATGGGTCATACGGAGTTGGCTACACCCTCTCAAACATCGAATCTGGACTCGCAATTGTCGGGACATGTGGCCCAACAATTAAGTACTTTCTCAGTTGCTGCATCCCTTCGCTTAGGAATGCAGATGAATCAAGTAATCGCGGGTACATGTACCCCACAGCCGGCTCTCAGGGGGATGCTCGGTCGAAACGCTTCACGAGAACTGCAAAGACGCATAGCACGTTCAAAGAGATTGATGAATTGGAGCTGACAAATGTACTGGGCGAAGACAAGCACAATACGAGAAGGAACACACAATATGGGAATCCAATGATGATCACAAAGACAGTTGCGTGGACAGTGGACAACAGCCACGAGAAGGATTCGAACAGTACGAATGGCGAACAAAGACCTCGCGATCTGCTATAAAAGACGGAGCAGGAGGTATGATAGCTAGATACCACGTGTAATTGGCGGTGCAGCAGAGTTGAGCTTACGTATATCATTGACACCAATCGCCGTGAATTTGTAGTAGATATTGGAAGGAAATCCAAAAAAAAATATGCTTATGTTCCACTTGAGAGTTTCCCTCTTCTACAACTTACCAATTCACCGCTCATAGTTGCTTCGAAAGCTCTTGTACCCAGGCTAACCTTCCCTCGCCAAATATCTCAGCAGTTGCTGGCATATTCTCACCACCTTCCAGTAACAAAGTACGGACAATAATCTTTTCCGGCATGACATCCTGATGATGGTAAATATGGCTCGTGCAAATCTTGCAAAAATAGCATCGCACGAATTTACCTAACCCTGTCAGCTCCTTTTCTCTCTTCACCAACGCAGCAAAACGAAACATACCGCTGGCGCCCTTGTAACGATATTGTCTGATATTCTCTTCGCCTGAGATGATATGCAGTTCTTCTTTCGGTATAATTTGATTGCATGAGTACGGACCGCCACCAAGCTTTTGACACGTTGAGCAGTGGCAAAGCACATGCTCAGCATTCTCAAGCTTCGCTGTCCAGTGAATGCTCTCGCAATGACATGTCCCCCTTCTTACTCCATTTTCTCTTGCTGACGGATGTTCAGCCGGTGAGCCAAAGAGCACACCATCTTTGATATCAATTACTAAGCTGTCCTCGATAAGCGGTTTCGCAGCCTGGGAGAAGGCCTTGTGCACAGGCTCGGTTGTGAGGTAGTAGTCCAGATCCGCTTGGTTCGCAAACTCGAGCACGAAGCCATGTGTCATCCCCTTCGAGAAAGGCTCCCATGATCTGTTCTTGCCAGCTTTGAGCGACTGTATGAGGGGTTTACCAGTATGAGCGTTTCGGGATTTATGCTGTAGTGACATGAAGGACTTGAAATGGCTTTCTAGATCTGACCATGATATGTCCTGCCGGTATTTGAAGAGTACAATGTGCGTTATTGGATCACTCGCCATAGTGATCTCAGATGCAGGAGTGATTGGTGTTGAGGTGAGGGTTGTAGTGGGAGCGGATTCGAGGATGTCGGCGATGTTGGGGAACATGTGGAAATCAAAAATATGCTTGTTGAGATGAAAGCTTCCATGTTATAATGATTGAGTGTTTCTAATGCTACGAAGGTTACGGTCCGTCATCTGAGATACAAAGCCGCGGTGTTACTCTTTGTGGAAGGTGATTCCGGGATTAGCGCCACTGGATGTAGCAAGATTCGCCGAGTGGCCATTTGTGGGGTAGCTGCGAAGGGGAACGAGTATCTCTATGTTCTTCACTTTCACCACTTCGCAAGTCGTGGAATAATTCGCAATATCGCTGTTCCTGACTCGTGATTACTATCCATGCTCAGCTTTGCAGAATATCAAGATTCATAGTAGAATTGCTACTCTACCATCCAGCACTTCCAACCACCCTATCTCACGGTGTCTTACTCTCGCCAGATCCCATCGCTTGCCCAGGTCCACTTGCGTGCCTCAACTTCACACTCTCCTCCGTCTCCTGCAATAACGCATCCTCGTGACCGACCGGGTAGAATCGGTAACTCCTCGTCTCCGTGTTCTGCCAATCTCCATGAGTCTGACAATCATTCTCATCCAGATCCCCGGAAACATAATGTAGGAAATCACCGTGCGATACAACGACAATTTCCTGCTCATCGCAGTCGCGTAGGAAGCGGCGAAGTTCAAGCGCGCGTGCTTTTAACGAGTCACCGTCTGACGCCCACTTCCCCTTCTTCGTGTTAAAATCGGTGTAGATGTCTAAACACCTGTGAAAATTGCACACATCGCCGAATTCTTTCTGAAGGCGCTGCACATCGCTTGGTGTATTCGCAGGCAGGTCCGTGGCTTCTTGGGCTAAGGGTAGAGCTAGAATATTGCGTTTTCCAGACTGCAACCAAGGGTCCATGCTGATAAGTGCGGTTTGGATAGCGCGGCGAATAGGACTCGCGCAAACTAGGTCGATGCGATCAAAGTAAGGGAATGTTTCTGAAAGCTTTTTGCATTGTTCTTTGCCCTTTGGGGTGAGGTCTGGGTCGGGGATGTTCTCATTGTGTTCCGAATTGTGGTAGCCTTCGGCATGACGGATGAAGTGCACTGCGCGAGGAGACATGTTGAAGTAGTGAAGGGATATGGGTATGGTATCGAAGGAAAGTATTCTTATTGAGAGACTGAAGCTGATATAAAGTTCTGAAGAGGTGCATACTGGCAGTGTATACAGAAAGGGACTCAATATATATACCTACAGAAATATCGGTGGATGGGTGCTACTGCCGGGTACGGGATACACACTTACTACCCTCGATATCGGCGGCTACTCACTAGCAAAAATCGAACCAAGATCGCGAAGCAAGAAGCATAGTCATCGTCACAAACGATGTATACCACTTGTTAGAGACAGAGGAGAATGCCATGCCGGCACCAACCATCAGAAGTCTAGAAGGTAAGGTGCGTATACGGCACAAACACCTTCGGAAAAGCTCCTGAAGTTTTGTTTGGCTATGAGCCAGCTTTCGAGTGAGCTTCTCGTAAGTACTAGTCTGTCTTCTAGAAGACTATGCGCCCAGCCATCGAATCTCGGTGCTCTTAGCCTTTGACAAGTCTCCGCTTGGACACGCTTGCTTAAATGCTTCGGCCCTGGACGCTACTTGAATCCCTACCAGACCACTGTGAACATCCTGACTACGCGCGGTCGCCGGCTGTTATTCGCTCATATACTAGTTCGTTGCATGCACAGTGACATCTGAAGCCAACCCCCCGTCAGGAACGATGCGAGCAGCACGGGTAATCGGCACTCCGAAGAGGCTATGCAACGCTTAATGCTGGACTTTGCAGAAGTCGAAAGACGTCGCGTGGATATTTTGCGGGCCCTCTCAATCGTTCTTGCAGGATGTACCGAAGAAAGTAGAGGTGAATCGTCCGACATATCCGCTTTATTCAATAGTTGCATGCGATGTGGGTGACGTCACCACACGTGAACTAGTAATTTGCAGGCTTCCCCACACACTAAGGGCATCATTATCGAATCTGTATCGAGTCGGGGTGCAGCACTACGCACAGCTTTACAGATTTATTATAGTCGAGTGTTCCAAAAGACGGCTAACACGGCATTGCGCATGGCACTGTGTCTTTCTGGTGACGATAGCATCACGCGTCGCGCTACCCTGCGCCAAGGAGTTTGTCAATTTTGCTTGGTTGGTAAACTTTAAACAAATGCGGTGCTTCGCACGATTTCAGTCCAGCATTTGTAGGTGGCAGACTATATCGTGTCAATTCGAGCGTGACATCTAGTAATCTATTGCGCCAGAAAGAGTGTTCTAAGACTGCACCGAGGGCGGATGTGCGGCATCTCACAAGAAGACTTCTAGATTGAACTCCAGCGTACTCACAGGATATCTGTATATTTGTCAGTTTCTAATTCAGTACCGTTTTGAATGAACTTACGGCAATTCGAACTTCTGAAGCACACTCGGGTGCAAGATACCAAAGACACCAATGGTGTGGTTCTTACCGCCAAGGTTCAGCTTGATAGCGGCCGAGTGTCCAGCAAGGAAGGTTGGATCTATGACGAATCAGTAAACCTATACGTATTCTGAATACTGAGAGCGTGCACTTACCATCGACCTCTTCTATCCAGTAACCCTGTAGTTGTTCGTTCTTAAGGCCGTCTTCCCGCGTAAGGAACGCCGACCGGAGCATAAGCATCAGTCTGTCCAGCAGACCATGTACTTGTTCGAAGCCGCTGGTCTTGCCCATGAAAGCTGCAGCGAAGTGTCGCTCGTTCCTGCTCTTTCTCTCCTGCTCCAAATCGACAAGGCCAATATCGCTGACCTCGAAGATCTTCATAGGTACCGAGTGGTGCTTGTTGGAGTTGATTGTCTTGAGGAGACCTGGTAGTAACGATGTTCGGACGAGCTGATACTCCGCGGTCTTGGGGTTTGCAAGCTTGACTGCCGTCTTGCCGTCATCTTTCCGATTTAGCCACTCAAAGTTCTCTTCATGTGAGCAGAGGATAAGAGGCATGACTTCAGTCCATCCTGAGGATGCAGACTCTATGCGAACTATGTCACCGAGCTTGTTGATCGGCAATGGCGCTGAGACCGCAGCAGTTTTGTTAGGGTACACCCGCGGCAATTTGTTGAACCCGTAGGCGATCGCGTAATCCTCCATGATATCGGCTTGATGGAGGATATCTGCCCGAGTGATTGGGACAGAAACATCAAGGATGTTTTTGTCAGACTGAGATGGTGAAACATCATGACCCATTTTCGACAGAAGTTCCGAGATCTCCTCAGGAGACTTGTTTAGACCAGTGACCTGGTTCAAATAGTCAACCTCAACTTGCATTTGCCGTGGTGAGAGATCCGGCGACTCTCTTGACTCTCCATTGTGGGGTGAGTTAATCTTGATAGGTTCGATCGACTCAGCGTAACCAGCGAACATGGCGACAAGCATATGGTTGACAATCTCGACCTTGGTTTTGTCTGTCGCAGTGATCTCGATGAAGACGTTCTTCGTGTCGAGTGTGATCTTGCTATGATTGCTGTTGATGATAGGTGGTAACGAGAGGACAGTGCGGTTTGCGTCGTAAATTACAGGGTATACTGGCGAGTCGCGGATAATGTGCAGGAAACGTCCAAGGTGCTTGTCTTTCTGCTCAAGGTCAGAAACACGGATTATAGAAACAGAAGATGACTACTAACCTCATAAAACTCCATAAGCTCCTTTGCGTTCATCTCCTTGTCTTGGTTAAGAGGCGTGAACTTGATCTGCTCTGGTGGTAGCGCTTCATACGAGAAAGGGCCCTTGATTGCTATGTTTCGTTAGACATCGCCGCAAAATAAACATGCAGAACCACCTACTGTCTAGATCGTGCGTTCCGATGGATACCAGCGTCCTTTGACGCGCCAGATTGGAATGTAACTTGTCTTGTAACGCGATGAAGGACTCGTATCGTTCTTTCGTGAAGGTGATGCCTCGTAGTATGACACCAGAGCAGAGCTCTCGTATTTGCTTTGTCTGTATGACATGTCATCAGCGCAAGTGCTCTACTGCCATGCAGACAACTGTCATACCTCGGGCTTGATTTCCAACACCTCAAGCTCTCCTCCTTTGGGCGCAGTGACGGTCCACTTGGGCAACTTCTGTTTTCCAAGGAAGACTTTAAGATTCATTGCAATACCCTCAAAACACAGCATATCATATCGGTTCGCAGGGATTTCGATCTTGAGTTGTGGTGGTTGCGCCTGATCTTCTGGCTTGGTGCTCAGGCTGGTGTCCTCGTCCAACTCGATACCAAATTCGAAACATAGGTCGTCGAACTCCTGGTAGGTGTACTCCTTGCCTAGCTCCTTGAAAAGAGCCGCCTTATCTACTCCAATCGTCGGCATTTTGGCAGATTGTTTGGTCTGCAGGAGACTTTGGCGCGATTCTCGTGTGCGATGGTGGGGTATTTGGAGGGGTAGGTTGGGTGTAGGGAGCAATTCTCAGGCGGTCGGCGTGGTCGGAGTAGTCGCACGCGGAGAACTACTCGATAGAAGAGCGCGTTGAAGGTCCGTCACTTTCTCAACCGACTGGCGGGCTAGATGGTGCAGCGGCGTAAATTATTTGATATGACTCCAAGCCTCGCGGACTTGGAGCAATCGGAGCTGTGTCGGACCGGTTCTTGCGCTAAGCCTCATGGAGCATCCACTCACTAGGGATAAGAATGAAGTCGATGCAAACATAGAGGATTAATTCTTGTGGAAAGACGGTTTCCTATTCAGCCGAGTAGAATTGGTTGTTTAGAAAAAAAGTCCTTCATCACGTCCTCATAAATCGGGTCGTGCCTCAGTCTGTACATTTAGGTTCTTTGAAGATTTGGTTCTCAACATTCAGTCGTACATAGATCACATTTCCGCAAAAGGTTGCTGTATGCAACATGAGCCGCTCAGACGCCGTCAATGCCTATGGTCTCCACACAGCGCTTATCGAACTCGCGCCCTAATCCTTGCTTAACCAAGATATTCTCCAAGCTTTACGATAATTGCAGTCCGTGCTACAAGTCCAGAGCTTTGTTCCTACGTACGGTTATTTTCCGTGCAGGCAATCTTGGTATGATGCCCAGCATGCGACCAAGTGTGTTGATTGAAGGTATAAGTTGAGCCGTTCGAAGCTCATGAAAGACTGTGAATGTTGCAACACAATGTGACGCCACGTCAACAGCAAGATAATCGCGAGTCGTAACAGTGTTCGCAATCGGATGTAAGCACGCTTAGTCTTTCCAATCCCAAACTTGTTTAAGGAAATGTGCCATGTTGACTTTCTTGGATTTCATTTCGACCATCCATGGATGTTCGAGCATCCGCCAGGGCGTGGCTCTTCGAGGACAGTCCTTCTCAAGACTGGAAATAGTTAGTAGAAGTCCAACTCTATACAAGAAATCTACATACCAGCATTCAATGAAGTATTTGAAGTTCTCTGTCCACTTGATGCCATTCTCAGGCTCGTCTTTCAGCTTAGGAATGGGTTGCCGAACGATGTAGGTGAGTAGATCAATCAACCCAGCCCGGGGGTTCATCTCAGTTCCGTCGGCCGGGAAAGGGAAGCGATGTTGCGCAACTTCTAGCAGAGTCACACCTAAGCTCCATACATCACTAGTGATGGTATAGCTTTGCCCAGTGATGCGCTCGGGTGCCATGTAGTATGACGTTCCAATGAATGTGTTGGCGTCTCCTTTGGTTCCGAACTCTCCGGACACACCAAAATCACACAGCTTCACCTGGCCATTCCGGCATAGTAAAATGTTGCTGGGCTTGATATCCCGGTGGATGATGCGATGAGAGTGGAGGTACGTGAGTCCATTAAGCACGCCCTCAGCGACCTTGCCAAGCACTTTCTCGCCAGTCCGGCCTCCTAGCTTCTTGACCTCGCGGTATACCGCATCGAGTGATCCGCCTTCGCAGAACTCCATAGCAATACTAATAGTCCCTGTACTGTCGTCCATGAATGCACCGTAGTAGCGACAAATGTGGTCGCTAGCACAGTTCTTGTTAAAAGAAAGCTCTCGTACGATTTGCTTCTTGACATCGGGATCAGGATTCGTTGTAATGATCTGAAGGGATTAGTCAAATGAAAGCAGGAAAACATGATGATGCACACCTTAAGGGCAAATGTTGTTTTTCCGCCTTTCAGTATGCATTTTGTGACTGCGCCACCGGCACCTTCGCCCAAGCTGCCTTTTTCCTCGATCATTCCTCGTGCGCTCGCTGCTCTCCACGCAGCATCGTCTAGATCGTCCACCTCTAATGGCCGACCTTTCTCCGCGGCCATGGCGTCCAAGTCTGGTAGTGGCTGGCTGCTGTTTGCCCGCTCCATTGAAGGCGCGCCCTCACTTCCTCCCTGTGATATCGCCGAGATGGGATCTGTAGCTTTCTGTAGCCCAGGAAAACCTAGCGCTGCGTGGTATGATGATGCTGATCCATTCGCTTGTACTTCGCCGAAGCTGCCTGATCTTGAGTGTGCGCTCGCATCGCTCGAGCCTGATGCTGAGAGACCGGGCCCTATGTGGAGGGGCGGCAAGGCCCGCGGGTTCCTTCCCTCGTGTGGTGCGTTGTTGCTGCCCATGGGAGTTACTACGCTTAGCTTCGGCATCTGACGGGGCTGTGGTGCGTTCAGTGTGGGTATTCCGTCGCTCGCGCCATTGGTAACAGGGCGTGCGTTCGGAGACGGTGGTATGGACAGACCAAGCTGTGGCGGTCCTCTCCTCCCTGGCCGCGCGCCGGGGATGGGTGGTCGCAGGAGGGGCGCAGGCGACGACATGTTTTGCTGTGGTTGAGGCGAAGGCCCGTTGTTGAACGACTGCATCTACAAGGTTTCCTGTCACAGACTCTCAACCAACGCTGGCTCCGGAGATAACGAGGGGATGTGGGTGGTGTTGAGGTTGCACTTTGGTCGTCTTGGGTCCCAACAGAGTGGGTCGCTGCCGTAAGCCGACGTGTGCTGACCGTCTTTTGCACGGGTGACGTCTTGAGGGGAGATGTGCCAGGAGGTGAGGTGTGGTCAAGTATGAGGCCGCTCGGGTTTAGGCAGGAGTGACGTTGGGCCACGGGTCACAGGCAGGTGCGGCTCGACAGGCGGCAGGCGCGACTGGGAAGTGCGGGTAGGGCTTTGTCAGGAGACGGCTCTCGAGGGGCTAGAAGGCAGCTCTCCCAAGACTAGACGGGTGACGGGGGGGCTGCCAGGAATGACAAAGACAGCGGGTCTTTGGGGTTTCAAGACTCGAGCGTGCTGGAGGGGCTCAAGACGGTGGTGGAGAGCAACTAGGCGCGTGCGCGCAAGGCTTGCCGAGAAGGGGACTAGGCCAATGTCCAGCGGTTGCAAAGAGCCTCTCCAACCTTCATTTGACGCGTGGACTAATAACAAGGAAATACCGACGCGCAGCCAATAAAGGATGAAACGGCTCCAAACAACATTCGGTAGTGGCGAGTGCGCGCAGACGACCATCAGTGTGTTGCGGCGTGGATGATGATCCTATTTGCGAGTACCTTTGGGTCTGCCACATGCCACGAGACAAGATGCAAGCCGTGTTGTTGAGTGTTTCCGCAAGCGCTGAGGTTGCTCTCCTTATGAATGGCCCCTAGCCCTGTTTCATCTTCCACGCGTAGTGTCGAGGGTCATTGTTCGGGCGTCTGAGTCGATCGCTTGTTGGTGACTGCGTCTACATTGCCGCCAGTACCTCTCGACTGACGTTGGCCCGCATATGAGTGCATTCCCGACTACAGCTGATGCTCTCCCGAATCAATAGTCTATCGAGTCTACGGCAACCGCCTTAGGGCTTACTATGGAGATCAGGGCGACGTGTGGGCTCGAATACATTCTTCGACTACACATCCTTGTGCACACGCGAGAGAAAGACCTAGGGTTGACCCCTCCATCCAATTGAACATGTCCATGGCGCTTGAAGATGCATCTTGGCTGACGTTGGACCCCTCCTGCTGGCTCGATAAACTACGAGAGACATGCAAACAGAGCTAGATACACTTACGACCGCCACCAACATCTTCGTGTGCATCGTGGATTGTACCAAGCGTGCATAACCCAACACATACCACCTGCGCATCGACCTGGCTCGTCACCCCGGATTCCATCATCATCTCCTGTCTTGACAAGCGCTGCACCCCATCTTCGGAGCGCTGCCATCTCAACACGGATGCCGGCGCTTGTGTTGTCTATCGCCGCCAATGGGGCTATCCGCGGGTGCATGAAGTGTAGTGGGGCCAAACGGAGCAACCAGCAGAGCCCCGCTGCATGAGAAGCTATCAATAGTAACACCACTATTCGACTAAACATACTTTGAACCCATCATAATCACCAAGCTCCTCCCCTCAAGTTAGTGGGCTGCGCAAGAAACAAGAATAGGTTTTCCAATATCCTAAAGAAAGGGGATGGTGCATGTCGAGCAGATGCAGCGCGCATTGTATGATCTATTGCCGGTTTTCCTTCCGATCGGGAGCGCTCGAGCACATCTGCGGCAGCTGAAGAACTACGCAAGGTATTCACCGATGGAACGATTTACACGTTTAAGCAAAACAGACCAAAGACTGTACAGCATTCATTTACCATGTTCGCTTTAGCGTAAGCACAGTCCTCCGTAATGACTCAATTCTGAATCTGTGCACATTATGTCAACACAACAAAGTGCTTGTGGAGATCTATGCTCACAAGCGGTGGTGACATGTTCAGCTCTTGTAAAAGCAGGTTCAATGGTAGCAAGTTCACGATTGCGCAGCTACACCTGACAACGTTCGTCACATTGCCAGATATCCTGCCATTTAACGTCAACTTGAGTGATGAGCAACTTCTAACCCAACCCGAGACAAAGACAATATTCACTGGTGAATATGACTCGGATAGTTAAATGGCCAATTTACTTACTTGCTATACTGTGATCAGCTCTTCCATATACGAGAGGTGTGCTGTAGCTTCAGACACTCAAATATAAGTCATACAATGTCCGTCTTTAAAAATGGATCTTCGAGCGAACATCAGGATGATACAACGCAATTCTCATCGTTGCCACAAAAGGTATAGGCCTGAGTTCATTCATCCATTCACTCACCTGATGTTGAAAGTTCCCTTGGACATGAACACGATAAACTCAGGGTCATAGCTCAGTTCTTTCCCTCGTACCAGCTAACAATCACCTTCTGAGAAAGTTCCGCCTGGAGATTTATAAAGCCTTCCAAATCACTCATTTGAGAGAACTACATTATAATCAACTCCGGATACATCTACACGTCAACTCTGGAACTATATTGGATAGCTCAAGATACTGCAATAATGTCTACCGCTTCTCGCAATACCAACACTAACCGACCCGTCAAGGGTAAAAGCTCCCAGCGTCGCAACGCCGTCAAGACAAGTAACTTTTTCGACTCCCTTTCCCCAGCCGGCCAATTTAACAGACTCCTCAGAGACCTAGAGAACCTAAACGGCGGGTACCATCTCCGCAACTGGTCAGCCTCCGCTCGTAAAGAATTATGTCCACACATCACCATCAAAGTGGAAGTATTTGACCCCAACGGCAAAGAGGTGGAAGTCAGTGTCCCCAAGCTAGCTTTCTTTGCTGCTTCGCCAGCGTTCCGTCGGCATATAAGCGATCATGCAGAAGCCAAATCGATTAGATGCAATCACAAAGACGTCACATTGGAGTCGATGCGTGCCATCTCGAAGTGGCTGCGGAAGATCTGCACTGATAAGGAATACACTGACCTTCCCATACCCAACAACCTCCAGAAGGGTCTAGAGCTCCACCTTACAGCGCGTACCTTAGGTATGGCTCAGTATACTCAGCAGGTCATCGAACGTTACATTAGTGGTCTTGTTTGTCGTCCTGTGGAAGTCAACGAATTAGTCACCGTTGCTGAGCTGACATGCAAGGATGCAGTCGTAGATCTCATTCTGGAAGCATTGGCCAACCACGTAGCGTACCTTTGTCGGTACCATCTGGTTAGTAAGGAGCAGGAAGACCAGTACGTCGCTATGCTTACCGGAGAGAAGTGTGGAAAGCTGGTCAAGGTCATCGATGACAAGAAAATTCGGGCTATTGCAGAGAATGGGTGGGAAGCGGTTTATCGTCGTCCATTGGCTGAGATTTAGGAACTGCCCTTGCTATCGACGCTCCTGAACGAGATCGGATGTTTTCAGACAAGTGCGTTACTGAGAGTATTGATTCGATTCTGGTAAAATGCATGTACACATTAAGCTATTCAGACCTTGTTCAACCAAATCAGCTTACTTTGATAATCCCCCATAGGCCACTGAATGTTGAATCCACCATTCATATATGTAGCCCCACTGTATGTAGCATTGTCCAAGTCATTGTAATATCTCGCCTTAGGATCCAAGCCTTGCAGTCTCAGTGGAGGCGCAGCCGGTTTGATCATATATAATTGCTGGAACGCAAACACTACACTCTGGCTTGCGTCTGCACTGACGAATTGCACACCTGGCCAATTACTGACATCCGGGTGGGCGAGGCGATAAAAGTCACCAGAAATAACTACTGGATTTACAGCTTTAGCTTGCGCCATGATGGACGGTACGGCGGAAGCTTCCTCGGGTGAGAGCTCCCCGGGGTTTAGTTCGAGACCGAAAGAGCCGCACATCATCGCTACATGGCCACGGTACTCGATGCTGATATTGCGGTGGGTGAGACCGTTCGGAATAGCGGAGACGTGGCACCCCATCGCCGAAGGTGGGTAGACAAGTGATGTACCCATTTGAATGGTGAGGCGGTTCGATGCATCCGTGTTATCAGAAGTCCAGTGCTGAGGCCAGTAGTGGAGCAGACCTGGGTCGAAGCGGCCTCCACCGGATGCGCAGCCTTCCCAAAGTATGTTGGGGTAGCTTGTTGTGAGATTGTCAATCACGCGGTATAGACCGAGGATATAAGTGTAGTCGTCAGATGGACGGGCAAGCTCATGCATGCCGCGGTTGTTGTCCCATTTCACGTATTGGATGTTCGCAGAATCGAGAATTCGAGAGACGGAGCTGATGATGAACTCTTGTACTTCGGGCAATCCCACGTTCAGTACTAGTTGGTTTCGGGTCAGCGATCTCTGGTGCTTTCCCGCGTGCAAGACCCAATCGGGATGCTCGTGGTAAAGTGTCGAGTTGGGATTGACCATTTCTGGTTCTACCCACTAAATATAGAGGTACAAAGTCAGTGTATGTCTCAAATTTAGTTCGCATAGCACAGAGACACTCACAATACCGAACTGTAGAGGTGTTGATGATGCGTTCAACACTGTAAAGTTGTTGACCTGCTCCACGTATGGGCCAAGACCATCAGGGAATTTAGCCGGATTTGGCGTCCAGTCGCCCAGACCGAGAGAGTCGTTGTTGCGTGGATACTCTACGCCGAACCACCCATCGTCCATCACGAAGAGCTCAATTCCTAGCTCTTCAGCCTCGCCGGCCAGGCTAACCAGAGAAGTTTCGTTGATATCAAAGCTCAACCCTTCCCAAGAGTTGAGTAGAATTGGCCTGGTTTGATCCGTGAACTTGGAACGGGAGAGATGGTTGCGATATAGGTCGTGAAACGAGTGCGATACGCCACCAACGCCTTGGGAGGAATATACACCAACAGCTTCAGGAGACTGGAACATCTCCCCTGGAGCCACACGAATACTGGCGTGAAGCGGGTTGAGGCCCATAAGCACACGTACGTAGCCATTAGAGAAACGCTGGGCTGTAGCCTCGAAGCTGCCGCTCCAAACCAAACTGAATCCCCACGCCTCTCCGGTAGATTCAGTGGTAGTTGGCGAGACCAAGGCGAAGAACGGGTTGTGAAGATGCGACGCATACCCTGCCGTGCTTCGGAATCTGCCCTTTATTAATCACACTGTCGCAATACTTGAGGATATCGACTTACGAAGTCTCGCCATAGTCAATCTTTCTCTTCACAGTCTGGAATTCATGTGACCAATCACCATGCGGCTCAATCATCTCCAGATCCAGATTAGGAAAGTCGGTGCTGAAGCTCGAGGCTCTCTCGATGACGATATCGGCAGTACCGTTGTTTGCAATGCTAAAACTTCTCGCAATAGCATTGTACTTGGGGAAGATCGAGTACGACAAAGCCGCCGAAACATCAGAAACGTTGTCGTACATATGTACGGTGATCGTCGTTACATCGCCAGCTTCACCGTAGGTGGCGGGTAGTCCTGGTAGCGGAGGCTTTCCCTGGGTGATCTCGTGAGATTGGTAACGGAACGCGGATACCGTGTCCCCATCAGCATGTTCGATGTGAATGGCTGGTAATTGGAAGTCGCCACGACCACTGTCAGGAAACTCGCGACGATCGTTGGATATCCCAGCATGCCATCCGTAGGGGAGGATGAAGGCCGGTGGTGTAAAGTCGTCGGTCGGTCCTCCAAAATGATCCGAGATGAGGTCTCCCGACTCGGTATCTACATGGAAGAGGTATGACATGCCATTAGCAGTCAAGGTGAAGTTTGTCCCAGTCGCTGAAATAGCTGCCTCACGTCAGCAGCCGCCTCTGTCGGATCCGAAACCCATTCCATACCATCTTGACCAACCACGGCGCTGGCCAAAAGGCTCAACGCGTAAACACCCTTCATGCCAAACATTGCGAGATTTCGCAGTTGAGCAATACGTCGCGAAAATCCGCTAAGGTACCTCCATTAAGTACTTGTCTCAACAACCAATGCCGCATGGTTAGCCTAACATCGGGATGCAATGGCTTGATCATCGTGAGGGGAAGTGGGGAAAGCCTGGGGTCACAGACAAACTCTTTCACGATGCGACTTTACGGAGAATCAAGTGATTGGGTGAAGCGGGCGGAACTGGGCGGATAGGATACCATTTAGAGATGGGCGCGGTGTAACTCTGGGTCGAAGCGAGGTTTAGCCGCGGTAGATGTGGTCAACAGTCCTGTCAAAGGCTGCAGCTGCCATCTCACACCGGGTACACTAGCCCTGCGTTGCCCGGAACACAACATGCCTGTCACTAGAAAACCGTTGGTGTAGCCCCGAGATTGTAGAGGGAGCGGCACGGAGGGATTCCCGGAATACCTAGTGTTAGCGACAACGGCAAGGGATTTGCCTTTGGTATCATTCTGAAGCCATACCATCTTTTGCTCGAAAATGACGTCTATGACCTAATAAGCCTATTGTCGAACACAGGATGAAGTGGTGATATATGCCATTAAACAATACTATACTCATTATGTTTTTGCTCAAGCGCTTGAGTCGTCAACTCACGAACTCGCCATGCAGTCTATGTCGTCGCCGCTCTCGGCTTGTTTTGCGATCGCCGCCATGCGATTTGCAAGATGAATGCCCCTCGCCACTCCTGCAGTTCGCTACTACACAGTAAATTTTTCATACACCAGGCATACCTAACCACGCTCTAACCTGGAAAACGCCTCTTGGGAGGAAGTAGACAGTCCACAGCGCTGCAAATGCGACCAGCAGGCCCGTGAACTTCTCAAACCAAGTATGAAAGTAGGCAGCTGTCATGAGAAGCATCCACCACATCAGCGCCGCGACACCGAGCGCGAACTTGACGCCACGCGCGGTAGCTTCACCCTCAGACTTCACCAGCTCTTTCTCCACTGCAACACTTGCAACCTTGCCATCTGGCAGAGTGATCAACCTTCCGTCTCTAAGCCCTTCTACACGCGTCAACGCAGGCAGGAATTCCAACCACAGAAGCGATGAGCCAAGAATAAGCAAGAAGACATGTCCAGAGATGTCATGACCACCCTTCCAAGTTCCACCAACTGCCTTACACGTCGCAGCCGTGATATACTCTCTTGTGTTGCTCATTTCTTCCCTCGCCTCGGGATCTCTTATTATTTCGCATTGACCTCCAGTGAACCTGAAGCCGCGATCGATCAACGGCGGTCCAAAGAACCACTGTGTCATGAAGCACCACCAAGTCGTCACGACACCATATCGCATGACCGCTCGGATGCGCCTCGCGCTCGCACCCTGACCGAAACCAGGATGGAAGGTAACAAAGACAGCAAATGCTAGTGTAGTCCAGAACCATCCTTGTTTGACAAAGTATACATTGAAGATGTTCTTTTTCTGCGCAAAGTATGAGGGCGCAAATTCGGTAGGGTGAGACTGTAGGGTTGCGGAATAGGGCGCGGCTCGATTGGAAGGTGAAATTATGCTGAAGACGCTACCGAGGAGGAGTGTCAATGGGTAAATGGCGATGAGTTGTGCTTCGAGACGCGTAGGGAGGAAGGGGGAGCGACGCGCCGATGAGGTCGGTGGGCGGATGTTGCCGCGGGACATGCCCGCTGTGAGAGGTACACCGTTGTCTGTGTCGCTGTCTGGTTTACGACGCGTTGCCATGGTTGTGGGGGAGATGGGTGATGTGCTCGGTTGAGCTGGAAGTTGCTGTTTTAACTCCTGTAGGTAAGGAAACTGCAGTCCAATGGACAAAGTGGCTTTCAACCACAGCGCAAAAATATGAGCTATCAAATTCGATTGTGTGAGAAGAAGGACGTCTGCCGTCCGGACTGTAGGGATTGTAGGAAGTGGGCAGCTGCTGTGAAGCGAGATGGAGAACAATGACGTTATGTTCGGCCACAGCTGTGGCGCAGAACGCTAACTGTATCTGGCCTGCAACAACACGTTGGCCGCTCAAGGACTCCATCCATGTGCTTTCTCCAACATCCAAAATGCGGTTCATCATGTTGGTAACTTATAACTGCAATGACCGCACTCGGGTATCTACACCTCATCCGTTGTCGTAGTCACCTACAATGGTTCTGCGTGTACGAAGCACTAGTATCGTCCAACTTCCACCGCGGACAAGCAAATAAAACTCGGACAGTGACACTACCGGTGTCTTCCTGCATGCGTATAGATGCAAAGAGTAGAGTTCCCAGCGAGTAACAAAGACTCACTCGTCAGAATTGGATCCAAGTTGGTCACGAAGCTGGTAGACACAAGAAATAGGTATAAGCATTTTCAACGTCCTCAGAAAGGAAGAGTTGGGTGAGTTTTACTAGGTTCAATGATACGGACTGTGTGGTCTTGGTACGGTAGTTGAACTGGCAGTGATCCGTACGAGCTAAACTGGCTTTTACTGTGGAAGACTAACACAATTCATCACATCAACTCTCGCTACACTCAAGGTACCCATCGTCTTGGCGAGATCCAAGGTTCGTCTCCAACCGCTCCTACTTTCACATAGAATCAGAGGTCGCCGTCCACACTGACGAGGGCAGTCGGTTCTCGTCGCCCTCGCATGCCCTCTGAACATTAGCGACAACGTGTTGAAGATAGCTCTCGATCGCGTATTCAAACTACTGCCAGGTCTTTCTAGAAGTCCGGTGCTTGCGGTTCATTCAAGCTTCATAGAGTTATCGATACCATATCGACAATAAGGTTTTGTACGAGATTGTTGGCGCATGCCGACAAACCTTCGGCACCGCTTTAAGTATGGCAAGAGGTGTGTTATAGTACTTTTTGTATGCTTCATGACTGATAAGGCTTTCTGACAACTTGTTGACAGTTCAGGTGAATCCTAGTCAATATCGCGGCGCCTAGTGAGCACCTCACACGTCTGCGTAATAGGTAAATGGGATTGCTGTAGACCTCTGGCTTGGAACCTGACTCCTTAATTCAAGATCTTGTCAGCGAGCTCAAGCCTATCCGCCCTCGTGATACGCGAAATACACTGGCAACGTTCCAGACAAGGGACCGTAGCCAGTTGTCACCCTAATGGGTCATGGAAGTCCTGCCTTGCAAGACTACCAGTACCAGAGAAACTATGGTTCAAGGAATCATGTGTTCCCATTTTTATCAAGGAATTTGTGCTCAAGAAAGTACGATCGAGTCGGAGAAGAAATCAGCCCACTATTGACAAGGGCACAGAAAGACAATGCCGATGGCAAGCTTCTGAGTTTCACTGTGAGCGAATTGCAATAGTCGAACCATTAAATTCACTCGTCGCTTCGAATCTGTATGGTCACTCACTTTTCATTCTTCCTTCGTATGATACCAATGACGATATCAAGTCCAGCACCACGATTCACTGTAGCCTGGAAGTAGTCAGCACTCTTGCGTCCCAGATGACCATCGCTCTCACACGATGATACGAGCAGACTTTCGAATGTTATTGAATAAAGGGCAGGTAGATTGTTGGTGAGTCAAGAAACAACAAGGTGAAGTCGTCTTTGAGGGGCAAAGTGTTGTTTAACTCAATTACTCTTGCCTTCACTTAACATGTATAAAGATCAAAAACCCGCGATCATTATCAATATTGTTTTGGTTTATCCGTTTTCGAGGGCTCATACGTTTCTTTCCCGTAGTGTCATTTTCTCTCCAACAGAAACGCTAATAGATACCTTATACCACAAATGGCTGGTTCACCTGATGAGAAAAACGACCATCCGCCAGCAGAGCCTTCTGATCGTGGATACCGTCCCCTGAGACATCTAGACGAATCGCTCTTTCCAAACAATCACGGAGATTTCGCCTCTTCATTTATGCAGCCACGTGGATCGGTCAACCGACTACACAATCTACGTAACTAAGAATATCTCCATCTATAGACTCCGAACTGACTTTAGCGGATAGCTCCAGCGGCGGACCCACCCTCGTGGGAAGATCCGGATGAGGCTTGGCGTTATGCAGACGGTAGGGTCTGGACTGGCGAGGCTTTCGTGGTTCCTCGTCGTGCTCAGCCAGATACCAGGACAGACAGGGAAAATACTCGGACTTTGGGAGGCTTCCCAGCTGCGGCATTCTCACGAGACCACAGGCAGACCCAGGCACTAGGAGGATCACTTGACTTGGGCGGCCTTGGCTTTAGTGGACCAGCACAAGATCTAGGAGTCTATCTAGATCGTGGCGCAGGTAAACGATGACCTCAAACCTGTTGTTAGTCTTCCGGCTAACCTACCATCTCACAGACTCTTCCTCTCAGAATCTTGTTGGCCTATCCAGTCGCGCTTCACAAGCCTCTACTGCACCTCCTCGCGACATGGTGAAAGACACCCCATCTACTAACAAAAGCCAATTCATTTTCACCGGTTGGAATGACGACGCGAAGCGGCAGTTGTTCATGTGGAAGGTGAAGCGCAAAAAAGGGTACGCATTCTTCCTGCATCTTTTCCCTGGTGAGACCGTGGAGTCACTACACGAGGCTTTCCAGCAATATAGAGACGATGGAGAGCGTCTCTACAACGGCTAAGACGTGCCGGCACGAGTGAGCTTGGCTGGGATAGTATTGAAGTATGCGAATCTATCTAGGCGGAGAAAGCGCAGTGGAAAGGTTGTAACCATCTACCTTCCTGAGGTCATGTTAGCTTGCCGCACATATTGAATAAGGAACGCATGTTGAAGTTGATTAAGCCGTAGCATGAGAGTCAAGTCCAAAAACTGATAACATATCATGTGATCTCATACTCACATAAAATGTGGCACCGCCCCGACTAACACAGCATCGCTTCGATCCGTGCGAGCATCATGGTTGTTCGGTACAGACAATAACGGAACGTCATAATGTGACATGCTGACATGAATTGTGAGCCTAAGAGCTTCCGTAAGAACAGTCGACTCCGAGAATCTCATCGCATAGGCTTAGTCATTGTCGCTAGCGTGTCAATTTCGCGTGGTTTCCCAGCCCGCACTAGACGGGATAGCCACGTCCCGCTCATCAATTTCATCGCCAATTTGTTCCATATCAGATCGAGATTGTGTGTTGATGTTCGTGTTCCCTCTCCACTCGCATACATTTGTCGCCACTTAAAGGTCGTCGTGACCTTGGAACATGTGCTTCCGATCACGTCCTGACAAGAGCAAACCTACTGTCACCAAACAGGTCTTTCAATGCGCTCGGCAACACCTTAAGTCTTCCTTAACAGAAGAACCGCACGATCCGTAGACTCTGTTTCAACACAGAACCGGTATACTCAAACCACAATCCGTTTCTCGATTCAAATTTGTTCTTGGCTTTCCTAGCATCACACAAAATTACCATCCAGAAGCTTAGCCATGACTTGTCTCTCTTACTTGATTCTTCCAAGACGGCTTTATGAGGGCCGGATGGCTAGAACACGACCATCAGGGCCCAGACGGGAGCTGCGACGCTTTTGCGACATGAGCGACCCCAACATCCTAGCGAGTGGTCGACCCTGCCGCGCATTGGCGTTTGACACAGTGCTCCGACCACTTACGATTGCCAAGCTGACCTGTAAACGTTGTGGATGCGTTCCATTATGCAGGTTCCGGCAATGCCAATGTACGCACCAGACGGTGGCTCGGGTAAGCATATGTTGCTGAGACTCATGGGCTTGGAAAAGACTTATCTACAGTACAGATCTCCAACTGACCTTCGATAAGCTTTCTGGTAACATCCTCAATTCGTTTTGGTTTTCTGTTAACTTTGCTGCCGGACAGCTATTCTCTTTACACGCCCTTTTTCCCGAGTATCTAATCAGCCAACATGAAGCTCTCTCTCGAACTGACTCTCGGTCTTCTGGTCATATCGTGCGTAGATGCTTTCGTCGTTCCTCCCCGCACACTATGGGCAGTAAGTATATCCAAATTTGACACTACCTTGGCATCGTTCGATATTTGGTCTGTAGCATATGCTTATCCGTGTGATAGACGAAATCAGCTCTTGTTTCCCGCTCGTACCGAGCGCACCCCATTAGACGCGACGCAGACTTTCAGAGTCTAGACTCGTTGACCAACGGGGGAAGCCGCCGTCGCGAAGCTCAAAAACAGGGAGGTGGAGGAGGTGGTCTCACAATTGGAGGACTCACTCTGGGTGGCCCAGGTGGCGGGATTACTGGCGACGGTCTTAACCTCGGCGGAAACCAGAAGGGAAACAGTACAGCGACGACTGAAGAGGCACCCAAGTCTTCAGCAACTAAAGGCGAAAAGCCCGCTACTGCCGAGGAGGGAAACTCCGCTGCTGAAGCGCAGAAGCCTGCTGCCACGGAAGAGCAAAAGCCAGCAAAATCTGAGGCTGGCGCTGGCGCTGGTACAGAAAACCAGCCTGGCCGCGCCGAAGGAGAGGCAGCGAAGAAGGAAGCCGAGAAGGAAGCCCAAGAGGCAGCGGGAGAAAAGTCAAATGGTGTCAAGGCTACTGAAGAATCTGAAAGGTTCTCTGAAGAGTCTGGTATCACTCTCGGCCAGGATGGCAACGCAGACAATCTAGGCGGAAATCTAGGCATTACAGAAGGTTCGGATGGCAGTAAGTCTATTGGTGGATCTAACGGTATCAATGTTGCCGCCAACGGAGAAGCGACTCTGGCAGGTAATGAGTAAGTATGAGCCACCATAAGTGTATGACCTGATGCCAGCCGCTGCCGTCGCCACCGTCTTGCTTGTATTTCTCCTGGCCATATACTCAAAGAACACATCGCTAGAGTCCCTCATAATCTGTATTACCTGTTCTATTACTGTTGGCTTCTCATCGCCAAAAGATGATGTTGTGTGCATCAGCTGTCATCGGATCGCGTGTTGGAGAATGTGTCAAAGCTTTTTGCCAGCTCTCATGGATCTACTTCTTGTACTCTAAATATAGCAGATAGTATTGTTCTTTTCTTCGTCCTTTATCTTGTTTCTCAAGTAAACAATCTTCCAAATACCTCCTCAATTTCAACATCTCTGCTGACAGCTTTCTCATACCTAGGTACTGTCTCACAGCATGCGGCCTGTGACAGAGCTACCAGCAACGCTCAGATGGCCTCGCAACCCTCACTTTCCTCGTTCACCATTCTCTAGTCCTGCAAGTATTAGGCCTGCCCCGGGCTCTTGCACGCCTTCCTTCTCGGCGGAAGCGTTCTGCCAAGCACCATAGACTCTGCTACACAGTTCAAGTAGGAGCGACTCCCAGCTAGTCAGCACACACACACACACACACACACACACACACACACACACACCACCCGCAATCGCGTCAAATTAATCAGTTAATCGGGAGAGAATGGCATATGCGCACTCTGATGACGATGATACCTACGCCGAGATGCATCCGAGTCGACAACAGCGATATCAGATGCTATCTAGCAGCACGGTCGCATCAGAGGACAACGCCTCCAACAGCGATGAAGAAAGGGACCTGTTTAGATTGAAATTTAAACTGAGTGTTGCAGACCGCAAGAACAGCGATCTAGAAGTCGAAGTCCAGCGCCTGCAGAGTGAAATTGATACGGTCAAGGCTCTGAACCAGAATCTCGAGCAGGAAAAGGCTACCCACACCACCACGACGTCGGAAGCCGAGGCGCTACGGACACAGATCGAAGTGCTCGAGGCCGCTCTGGAACACCAGGATGTCGAACTGACTAATATTACCGGTGCGGCGCAAGGAATGTCGCACTCGTGCGCTCGACCACAGAATTCCTATGATCGCCTCATTGTAAAGCTTGCCGCGGTTCGTGGGGATGTTCATGTTGCACAACAAGAAGTGGATGAAGCAACATCTCACTCGAGCGATAACACTGCAAGCCAAGGACGGATCGCTGATCTGCAGCGAAAGCTGGCGGTCGAGGAAGATAAGGTCGCTAGGCTTACCAAAGCAAACAAATTGCTTACCGAACAGCGCTCAGCGAGCGAAGCAGATGCAGAGTTCCTTAGGACACGGCTCTCCAACCTCGAAGCTGAGGTGCGGGAGTCTCGCGTGAGCAACTCAAGGACTCAAACGGATCCGAAAAGGTACGTAACGATTGGTGATCTTAGGTTTCGCGACAGACCAAGCACGCTTGATTTCTTTAGTGTGACATCATCATCTTATGTTCTGAGAATGCAGCGGGTTACTCCCAGCACCTCCGTTACCTATCCATCTTCCTCCTCTCCATTGAGTATCTCATTCACACTGTTGTAGACTTCTTTCAGGCTGTTCGCAGGCCCAGGTGGGTGTGAACATCCAAACTCCCAGACATGCAACATGTCAAGACCGCCCTGAGATTGAGATTGAGGTGCCGGAGAATGAGATTGAAATCTTGAAAGACAAACTCAACGAGCTCAGGTGGAACGCTCTCGACAATGTCATCGACCTCGATATGGCCAACAGAGCATTTCGTGCCTTTGATTGCGACCACATCAATACTAGGAATCTTCCCGACGGAAGAAACTCTTCGCGTCTACCTAACGCCGGATGGGTTGCGTCGAGCATCTTCAAGGATTGGAAGGAAGACGAGCAGTTTGTCAAGGTCTATAGTAAACGCCGACAGAATGTGATCAATCACCACAAGGCTCATGGGCGCATCCAGGAAGGAAAAGGTGCGAAGTTCTGGCTTCTTAGGGATGAGTTTAACTATGTGGACGAGAAGCGTGGTCTGGATGTAGTCTACAAGTGAGATGGCGATGAAAACGGGGAAGGAGGAACGTGCTACTGCCGATACCATACTTCGGTACAGGCGCGACGGCAAAGATGTCGTTAGGGCTCAGAGACATCTATGGTCACTTACGCAAGGCATATTAGAGACTTTGGCACGACGGAGATAGTTAACCACTGCTCGACATCGTGTACATGAAAGACCCTTTCAAGCAGAGCAAGGATGGCAAATCGACCCACCATTGCCAATTCCATCATCCCCCAAAATGCTCCTCAACATGATGTGCAACAGCTGCCTCATCTCCCTCAAAATCTTCACACACCGGACATATCGCAACCTGAGGCTTCCTCAACTCTCCACTCCCAGTTTCCTGATGTCTCCGATCCGCCTCTTCCAGCGCAGCAAATATTCCCACATCCGCAGGCTGTCTCCTCCTCTCATCATAAAGATACTCGTCCTCATCCCTAATATCCCTCTCTATTCTCCCACCAACCATCCTCCCCGGTCTCATCTCTACACCATTTTCCCCACCTTCACCATCCCTACCTAGCCCCGCACCAGCGCCACCAACAACAGCCTCACCCTGCGTTCCTTCGCTCTCAGAGACAAGTTTTTGTACCCTACCAACCCTTCCATCCCTTAACCTTACTTTCACACCCCGAGGATGATCGCCACGCGTCAGCAAGTCTGCTACAATACCCCGGACTTGGTGTCCCGTGGGCTGGTCTTGTTTGAGGATGATGGAAACAGCTGTACCGGGGCTGAGAGAAGCGAAGGATGGAACGGGAGGATAGTCTAGGTTCGATCTGAAGTTCGGTCCACCACGGCCCCTGCCTCTACCTCGTCCTCGCCCTCGTCCTCGTCCCCGGTAATCCGAGACATGGAAGTTGGCCTCGGAATTGTAGATGGAGGATGGCATGGAGTCACCGCGGGACCGCGGTGTGTGCGCGCCTCGTGGTAGTCCTGACGTGGATGTTTGGCGGTTTGGACGGCCGCGTCTGGAAGGTTGCATTGTGGACATTCAATCGTACGGTTACGTGGCATGATCTGTAGAGGGTGGAGAGAGTGTAGAGGCGCCTCTCAGAAGGTCCCTGTCTTCGAAAGAATGCCCGAGTAGCTATTACTGGCGGTGCAGTCTGAAAAGACTTTATGCTTCCTTTGAACGTTGTCAAAACCACTTGCGAAAACTTAACGTACCAAACAAGGAGCAAGTTTTCCTAGCTCAGGGTTTACGCGAAGTGGTGCTATTGTTGGAATGACACTCGTGAGAAAAAACCTTTGACGGGATCACTACTAGTTGAGGTAGAAACAATAAACATTAAGGTCTCGGGCACTATGGAGATCAAGGTCATGCAAAATGCTACTGGACGGTTTTCACAAGACCTTAGCATGTATGACGTCATTGGCTCCTTTTGCACACGATTCGGTACGATTTCTGCTGCAAATATCACGACATGAACGATCCACCACAACGGCTAGTGTACACGATCACCATTGCGACTCGTCCTTGTGTCGGGAGGCCATCTCTGTCTGTGCGTCACGAGCACGAAGACAAACTCTTGGTCGTTAACGTTTTATTCTTAAATTCCGCATTTCACTACTAATTTCAACACGTCACATACAGTAGACATTTCTTAAAAGCGGATTTCATGCACAAGATAGTAATGAGAGACGCCAGGCAATGCTAAATCCCTCGGGAGCCAACGTGAAAATCAATGCTTCGCATCCCACCCAAATACAGGAGAGCGATCCGAACGACCGTCTATGCATCTACTGCTCGCGCGTCTCCTGTATCCAACGCCAGTGAATGAAATCTGTCGGAAGTGTTCTGCCAAGGGTATACACACGAATCAAAGAGAGGATGCTGTTTTTGAAACGGAGCGTCGTCGTGGGGGTTGTGTGGGTATAAATGAGGCGCTTAGAAGGGGAAGCCACCGGGTGGTCCTCCTCTTCGACCACCGCTGGGCATACCACCCATACCACCGAATGGACTGCCGCCGCCGCCGGTGCTGAAGTGGAAACCACCTCCTCCACCACGGCCGCCTCCCATGCCCCCACCCATCCCACCGAACATTTGCATGACTGTGCGTTTTGTTAGCTGTGAATGTTTTCTCGCAGTGGTTATTGTACTTACGAATCTCTGGGTCAATGCCACCACCCATGCCACCCATGCCTCCACCCATACCGCCCCCACCGAACATGTCGTTGGGGTCTACGAGATCAGCGCCGGAGTCGTACCGTTCACGTTTCTGTGGGTCGCTCAGAGTCTCGTGTGCTTCTTGGATCTCCTTGAACCTGTCTGCAGCATCCGCGTCGTCAGGGTTCTTGTCTGGGTGATGTACGATGGCCAGCTTGCGGTATGCTTTCTTGATTTGTTGCTCTGTGGCATCCTTCTCGATACCGAGAATCTTGTAGTAGTCTTTCCTCTTGCTCTTCTTGAGCTCCATCTCGGCATCGCGGATTTCCTTGGCGATTCCAGGTTCCGACGGGTTCTCTTCCTGGATGGCCTTGAGATCACGCACAGCCTCCTCCCAGTTGCCGTTCTCGCCCAAAGCTTTTGCCCGGGTCTTCCGTGCCTTTGTGTAGCTCGGGTCGAGTTCCAGCGCCTTCTCGCAGTCGGCAATAGCTTGCTTCCAGCTCTTTTGCCGGCTGTGGCAGAGGGCTCGGTTCTGGAGGATCTTGGAGTTTGTGCCCTTGTTCGAGGGATCGACTTCTAGCGCCTGGGTGTAGGTGTCGATGGCTTCTTGGAACCTGCCAGACTTAAAGGCAGCGTTACCTTCCGACTTCATGCGGTCCAGTTTTTGAACCATGCGAAGGTACTTGACAGCAGCCTTGAAGTCAGGGTCGCAGGCAAGCGCTTGTCTGAAATGTTGGACAGCCTTGTCGTTCTCGCCCTGGGCGTATAGGATGCGACCGCGAAGCACGAGAGCATCCGGGTCCTGGTTGTTGTACCGTAGCAGCGACATGGCAACATTCTGTGCCTCCCCAAGCGCATTGGCATTGCCCATGCGCAAGTGTGCCTCTCCCCGCATAAGCTGCCACTTTCGGGGCTTGTCTACACCAGCACCAAGCCCCTTCTCAGCCTCGTTGAGAGCGTAGATGACCATGGAGCCGGAGCCCTCGTTCCGTGCAGTGTCCTCGGCCATGCGGAGGTGCTTTTGCATTGTCAAGGCAGGCTGCTTGTCTTTGGCCGTGGCATTGATGGAGTCGTATACTTGCACAGCCTCGTCTGGCCGTCCCAGACTGGTGTATACTCTGCCTAACCGCAGCAGGATCTTCATGTTATTGGGGTCCAGCTCGTCGGCCATCTTGCAGTCCTCCATGGCCTCGTAGAACTTGTTGGCGGAAATGTAGGCGGCGGCCCGGTTCGAGTAGTAGGTGGCATTCTTGGGGTCGGCCTCGATAGCTGCGGATTGGTTAGCCCGAAGCTCTCCTTGGTGTGTTGTGTAGTGCAAAGCTGCGGCTAGTGCATGGCAAGTATGACTACGCACCTTTGGAGTATTCCTCGATGGCGCGTGGGTAATCCTTGATCTTGAAGAATTTGTTGCCAGCAGCCTTGTACTCCTCGGCGTCTATGGTCGGGGGCTCAGCAGGCGGGGTGGCAGCCTCGGGGGTGGCAGCATAGTTTGCCGTGGGCGGCGGCGGGCTCTTTGTGTATCTGTGGGGAGGAGGAGCGGGCCCATCTGGGGCGCCGTTGGCGCCATTCGTCTTTGGGGCATCTGCTACCGGGCTCGAGGGTGCGGGCGAGGACGAGTGTTCCCGGTCGACGTCCATTGGCTGGGGTGTGGGCTGGTCCATGGCGGACATTTGCGAGGACAGGCGTTGGCGTTCCTCAGGCGGCAGATTTAGCGGGTGTGAGTCGCGGTCGTACTTGGAGGAACGCTTGGACGAGTACGAGCTCGAACGGCGGCTGGAGGAGCGTTCCCGGTCTTTCACCTTGGAGTGGGTGTGCTTGTCAGGCGAGGCAGGAGGGGTGCCCGCGGTAGCCTGGGGTGAAGGTCGGGGGGCAAGGTTGGGGATATCTCTGGTCCTGGACGACTTCTTTGAGGATGCGAAGAAGGAGGGAAGAACCATGGGGGCGAGCTGCGGAAGGATAGCGGCCTGGATGGTGTCACTAGAAATTTAGTCTGGCTGCAGCGACTGTTGGTTGAGATCCAGGGCGGATAAAAATTAAGCTGGGATTTTGGTCCTAAAAACGATGCTAGAATGTTCCATATCAGCGAGGTTAAGCCCGCTAGCACGTCTGCCACAAGGGCAAGCCGCAGCGGACGTGCATCGGAAGGCTGGGGCTGATAATCGCCTACACGCCGCGACGCCAATCACCTGCATGCGCGTAGGCGTGCATTTACTGGCCGCTGTCACTTCGCTCGTGCTGCAGACGCTCTGCAATTGCCTATGTCGTTTCACCCTCACTCTACAGTCATACCTTGTGTGGCGTCTGACTCGCCCAGTTCGCGAAGAGAGGTTGGGAGCCGCAGCGTCAATAGAGAACAACAACACCTTGCATGGAGGATGCGCGAAACTCTGCCCACTCCCAACGCTCGCCGTCACATGTCGGTCGATGCGTTGGTTTATCGACGGCCAGCCTGCTTCTTTGTGTGCCAATGTGAAACGCTCTCTGGGTCTGCGGGTCCATGTTTACATGTCCGAAGACGACAAGCAACAACACCGAGGATAACTCCTACCAGGCAAGCGCTTATCCTATGACTCGTCATTGCGGAGAGAAACATTTGGCGACTGCGCGATCGGCTGGATGTTCCCAAACAGGTAACTCGAGATGGTCGTGACCAATCAGAGGAGACTGTGACCAACGATTGTCGAAACGTTGATTCTTCAATCGACTCCATGTCGTCCATGCTAATGTAAACACATCCCTAGAATTCTTCGAGCTTGGACAGAATACCGTCCGCGCGCGTCGCCAGCTGACCACCTTACTCCTCCAAGACGGCCCCGCTCCATCTCACCACACGCACTAGCCTGGCGATCCTGGAGCTCTCTCACTGCACTCCTCATCGTCTGGTTCCACAAAGTCTCAGCCCATGCCACGTAGATACTTGTGTAGAGTATTCAACCCAACTTGACGTCCCAGTCACACTACCGCCGCTCTCTGTCTACCCACCAGTGCCCCTCGCCTCCGTCATCCCGCTCCGATACGCACGTGCCACCAGTTACCGGCATAGCGGCGTTACCTCCAGGCCAGATCCAAGGCTTCATTCCACATCCCAAGATAGTAATCGCGCTTGGGCGCAACAGCGGGAGCCACAAACTTCAGACCCTTCAAACGCTTCACCGCTAGCTCCCCGCCACCTTTGTCCCCTTCACGCCCGCGCCAACAGCACGTATGACAGGCGGCGACCAACAACGAGTGGCCACTTCTGACTACCGCTCTGATTACCGCCACGGTCTCGACGCATCTTCCACATCCCAGCAGCCCTCGATCAGCGAGTCGGATCGCCTGTCCATCACTATGGGACTCACCTACAACATCTACCTCAACTCCACCTCGTCGCGCATCTACGGCTGCAAGAACTGCAAGACCCATCTCTCCAACCACGATGACATACTCAGCAGGGTCAGCGCGCCTTGAACTCTACGCATCAATGGAATGCTAACATTGCGAAGAACTTCCGTGGCCAGCACGGCAAGGCCTATCTCTTTGACAGCGTCGTAAACATTACCGAATCCGACCCCAACGAACGCAACATGACCACAGGACGTCACATAGTACGAGACATCCACTGTCGCCAGTGCAAGGAGACTGTCGGTTGGAAGTACGACAAGGCATACGAGGCCAGCGAGAAGTACAAGGAGGGCAAGTTCATCCTGGAGGAGGAGCTACTTTGCACCGTCACCTAGAGGGAGAACATTTTACTCGATGCCGTCGACGTCATATTTGCATGGGTATTTGTTGCGATTCTTGGGTTGGATATGGCGATTCGGCTTGGATTTTACGAAAGGTGTTTACGCGTTTGGGTTTGACTGAACTTCCGACAAGGCGTTCAGGTGGGTTTACATGGTATGCTAGACCCTACAGTGCTGTTGCTATTTTTTTTTTCCATTCACGAGCTGGCATGTTGATGCGGACGCGGCGGAGGTCTGCGGTGAGCTTCGAGCTTCGAGCTTCTTGGAGCTATGAGCTGTCCAATTCCGTAGAACCGTATCACGCAACTCACCAACTCATGACACCAGTCTCAATATTTCGCGTGTGTCTCCAGGCGTGGCTCACTACCTCAGCAATGTTATTTAAGCTATGAAACACGCGTGCAGCCAGTATACTTCCAGTGCCCGTGGTGTGTACCCCGCAGTCGAACCTCGGCGGGGCAGAAGCTACCATACCACATCATCACCGAGGATCATTTCGCGCGTCCGATGTCGTCAGAGCGCGCGCCCTGTATCGCGCCTTATAGGTAGTCCACCAGCTCCACTTGGTCGCTCCTAGTTTCTCAGCTCAAACGTGTGTCTTTATTTCGATCTTGTTACGTTCATCTCAGTATCTCACCATCGATAATCAGTTGCAGTAATCAAACACGACATGAAAGCAGTGGTATTCAAGGGACCGGGGAAGGTGGTGATTGAAGATAGGCCGATTCCAAAGATTCAAGATGCCAAAGATATCATTGTCAAAGTTGAAAAGGTACGCTAGCAGTTCAGCATCATCAGTTCCTACTAATCATTCGCAGACGGCATTGTGCGGCAGGTACTTGGAATCACCATCGATGCTACCAACATCTCTGACTGAACACATCAAGTGAACTGCACGTTTTTCGCGGCCATCAACCATCTGCTACCGATTTTGTGATGGGTCATGAGTTTACCGGCTACGTTCACGAAGTAGGTTCATCGATTAAGACACTCAAAGTCGGGGATCGTGTTGTTTCGCCATTTACAACCTCCTGCGGCGAATGTTTCTACTGTACCCACGGCTTCTCTTCGAGATGTGTCAAGAGCCAGCTGTTTGGCTGCCCTACCCTAGATGGCGGCCAGGCGGAATATGTCCGAGTCCCTCTAGCCGACTCGACGGCTGTCAAAGCACCATCGGGAATCAGAGACGAGGCCCTAGTTCTTATGGCAGATATCTTTCCAACAGGCATGTTCGCAGCTAAGAACGGATTCCAATACTCCTCGCCCGAGGAGATCAAGGACAGTGTCGTCGTGCTCATTGGCTGTGGCCCTGTAGCTCTCTGCGCACTTTGCAACATCACCGACTACAAGCCAAAACATATCCTCGCTGTCGACTCTGTTCCCTCTCGTCTAGAACTCGCCAAGTCCCTGGGTGCAGAGCCCTGGAACTTTCAAACTGATCGCGAGGGCCTGGACAAACGTGTCAAAGAGCTCACAGATGGTCGCGGTGCAGACATTATCATTGAAGTTGTCGGACTTTCGCCTGCCCTTCGCATGGGTTATGAGCTTGTCCGACCTTGGGGTGTCATCAGCTCTGTCGGTGTGCATAATGGCGAGATACCCTGGACCGGGAATGAAGCATACAACAAGAACGTAAGGGTCCAAATGGGAAGGTGTCCGGTAAGAAGTGTGTTCGAGGAGGCTTTGGAAAGCTTGAAGCGGCATCAGGAAAAGCTTGGGTAAGTTTGAGGCTGGAACATGGAGGAAATTTGATGGCTAACCCGTGACAGATTCATGGCTGACAAGATCATGCCACTAAGCGAAGCCCTTGAAGGCTATGACTTGTTCGATAAGATGAAGGTGCAGAAGGTTGTTTTCGAGGCGCAGAAGTAGGGTTTATACGTAACAAGAGCATTAAGCGGTGTTGAGAGAGCAGGCGTTCATGGTGGTAGGGGCAAGTGCCCAGGTTGGCAGAGTCACAGTGTCCTCAAGCTGAGTTAAACAATCGAATAGTGGATGATCCGCACATCTCAGCCAATCACAATTATGGACGGCAAGATATATTCACATTCCAACCATCGTTAGCCAATACCCTGGATCTGATTTAGCTGCATCTTCGTGGGGACGTGGCCGTTTCCAAGGCCTGTGCACGCGGGGTCTATTCTGTTCTGTGTTCGATGATGGGGCGCGCGATACTTGCGAACAGCTCAATGCATTCACGCCTGCAGGCCATGCATGGTGATTGCCCATAGGAACGGTGTCGACTGCTGCACAAGGACATGAAATGCATTGAATCCTCCGTAGCTTCCTCCCAGCATCTGCAATCTTTGTGAATACGGCAAGGCTCGTCCGTCTCGCTAAGAGAAGCTACATCTGCCGCCCTAATATTGCTCAGACCCAGGGCTTCGTCTCCCTCCGTCACCTTACCTCCACTCTACCTGCACGCTCCAAACTGGTTCAGACAACACTCCTCTCTTCTCTTCTCCCACGCGTCCCCCAACCCTCCTCTCCGCTCCCACCTACCCTTGCTCCCCCCTCTCATCTACCTGTTCGCTATCCCGCACCGACCACCTCCCCCGCCACTTCCGTAATCGCCAGTGAGTAGCTTCCATGCCGACCTCCAAACACAAACCTCGACACCGTCACTAACATTCGGCACAATAGTCTGGAGAATTTCGACCCGTCCTCCTCACCCTCTCCACCCACTGCACCTAGGTCTCGTTTCCGTCTCCGCAACACAACTTCGTCTCTTGTAAGTATCGCGACATTGCGCGTGTCGCAAAACTACGTCACTGACCGCAGCTGCAGCGCTTCCCTAGGCCATCTCCACAACATGTCCTCAGAAGAGCCCCAACCCGGTCCCGGTCAAGATGCCAGCCGCGTCGCCGACCAACTGGACCGCCTCAACATCGACGGTGAGGGCGAGGTAGCCCCGCGCACCGAAGAGGAATACGCCGAGTCGCAGCTCACCCTGCGAGCCATTGTTTCGTCCAAGGAGGCCGGTGTCATTATTGGCAAGGCGGGCAAGAACGTTGCTGACCTGCGCGACGAGACTGGCGTGCGCGCCGGTGTCAGCAAGGTCGTTCAAGGTGTTCATGACCGTGTCCTCTCCGTCACTGGCAGTCTCTCTGGCATCGCCAAGGCATATGGCCTAGTCGCCAAAGGTCTGCTCGAAGGCGCTCCTGCAATGGGCATGGGCGGCGTTATCCGCACGGACGGCACTCATCGTATGTACAATTGCGACACCACGGCGCTCTCCCAGCGACATGGCTGCGTATGAGAGCTGGTACCAAGCTAACTTCTGTAGCCATCCGCCTGCTCATCTCGCACAACCAAATGGGTACCATCATTGGTCGCCAGGGCCTGAAGATCAAGCAGATTCAGGATGCCTCTGGTGTTCGTATGGTTGCGCAGAAGGAGATGCTCCCCCAGTCCACCGAGCGCATCGTCGAAGTCCAAGGATCGCCTGGCGGTATCGAGAAGGCTATCTGGGAGATTGGCAAGTGCCTCATCGACGACTCCGAGCGCGGCTACGGTACTGTCCTCTACAATCCTGCCGTCAGGGTTCAGCCTGGTGCTGGCCCTGTCCCACTATCCAATGGTGGCGGTGCACCTAGCGGTGGTATGGGCGGACGCTCGTACAACCGCACTGGTCATGGCGCTGATTTCAGTGATTCGCCTCCTGCCTTTTCCCGACGATCTGGCTCCGATGCCGCGAGCAGGCCTCCGCCCCCAACGCATACCGAAGATGGCGAGGAGATGCAGACTCAGAACATCAGCATCCCATCTGACATGGTTGGCTGTATCATTGGACGCGGCGGTAGCAAAATCAGCGAGATTCGCAAGACCTCCAACGCCCGTATCTCCATTGCGAAGGCACCCCATGACGACACTGGCGAGCGCATGTTTACCATCACTGGTAGTGCCAGTGCTAACGAGAAGGCGCTCTATCTTCTCTATGAGAACCTTGAGGCTGAAAAGATGCGTCGCAGCCAGGCCCAGGAGTAGATCGCTTCGTAAATATGCATCTGCTACCCAACCTCGGCGCCGTTAGGAGTTTCGCGGCGTTGTCGCTACACCTTGAGGGCCTTGCCCACTCTCTTGGGGGTCGCCAGACAGCCCGAAGCCGCTCAGGCTTCGCTATAGACTGCGAAATCTTTATATTCGTCGCCATCTGCATTTATGCCTCTAGTCATGGAGGCCACGACAAACGTCAACAAAAAGCATGGATTTGCTTAGTTTCTTACTTGCTGTTACTGATGGATACCATGGATTGTCTGGAGCATTGTTTACTTTTCTTTCTATTGTCGAGAGAGATCTGAGTGCACGCTGAGCGGCTCACGAATGTCATGACGTTATGGCCTTTGATATCCGGATAGTACATCTGCTCATGGGTAGCAGCTCTGACATCCATCTTTGGGTTTTCTTGGCGAAGAAGAGCCGGAGAAGAACTGAGATGATTCTCGCCATCTCCTGGTCTCTACCACAACACTCCGATGTACCTTCTTAATCACTCTCTCACTCCTTGCCCGAACACCTTCCCCCTTGCTTGCTCTCCCTACCGACACTCCGATATAACCAAACAACATCTATTATAAATATCTAGAATTCTATGATGCTAGTGTCTAAATTCTATGCGTGATGCTGTGCTTGCGAAAGCTTGAGGGTGATGCCGGCCAAAGGAAGATAAGGTTAGCATTGCACGTGCAAAACGAGGCTGTCCGAACCGTTGGACCCTTCAGGCGGAGTACGTCATTAGTGCCTCGCTCGGACGAAGCACCTGCGCAAGACGTCCGGTCTGTGCCACCCTGCACCTTGTGAAGTCAGCTGTAGAGGCAGCGTTGAAGAAGCTTGAGGCGAAACATTCCACGGTACATGTACTTGCAACAGCAACAAGTCGAGAGGAAATTGTCGCTGCACACGCTGTATAATCCTTCCCCCACGCCCCATACGGTGAGGTTCGGCGGGCAGGGCTCGCTAATCCTTCCACTGTTCTGTGCTTGCCTAGACCAGGATCGCGCCCAGGGATTGGTAGACTAGGGCACTAAGGGCAGAGACAGATTTGGCACCCGACTGATTTCCGAAGGCTGGGATGGCAGCTGTTTCTTTTCAGGAGCTATGCTCTTCTAGGAAGGGGTGCATGATGGTTAAAGATGATTTCTTGACCGCATGTTCCCTCTCTTCTTCGCTTCTGCTCCTCCACACTGAAATCCTTACTCGACGACTTTACTCCCAGCCGGCACTGTACGGAACCACAGTTTGAAGAATACAAGACTTGCTACGACCCGCACACCAAACACTACTCTGAACTGAGTACCACTCCAGCCATGGCGCCTATTCAAACGCAGACAATCACACCCCACCAATTCACCAACCCAGTCACAGTCATACGGGCCTCGGGACGCATATCCAAACCACCAGCGCGCTCAACACGCACACAGACCAAAGCACTTCTATCTCACTCGCCACAAATACCTACCGCACATCCAGACATCGACATTAGTCTGCTCCGCAATAAACTCCTCCTTCAGTGCCGACAATACATTCCCTCTGAGCTTCTTCATGAAGCCCTGGCAGACGGCATCTATTCTCGCGCGACACACTGGATTACGCCTTCTTCCAACGCAGCCTCCAAGTTCGGCAAGCGAAAGCGCTACTGTGTTCTGCACAGCTCAAACTTCACCTTCCAGTCCATGGGTAGCGCGTGGGAGGCGCGGATCCTATCTGGGGGTAGCCATCCAATCGATGCAGGAAATGGTGTAGTCATTTTCGTCAAGGAGAGGAGAGAATGGGACGCGTTCATGGCGGGGTACAGAAGGCAAGGAAAGCGAGCGGGGCAGCTGATGAGGCTCAAGCAGAAGGATACTGAGCGAGGATGGAGGGACGCGTGGAAGAGGAAATGCGGGATGGAGGAAGGTGGCGGCAAGGAAGTCAACGCTGGGCCCATGTGGGTGCTAGTGAAGAGCGCTGTTGCGAAGATTGTCAGAGGTGAGGCGTGAGCTGCATTCTGGCTGGCTCTTGGGGAAAAGTGGGTTTTGCATCTGCTGGCGTTTGGCGCGTTTTTCTGGATCAACTCTAGCGAGCATTTACGACCTTTATGACGGCTGGAGCGGTACGCTTTGGGGCTTTGACGCTGCTTGTAGCCACTGCCTAGATGGATATCTACTCAGGAACTGACTGGTATATTGAAGCGAAATTTGAATCGAAATACACAAGCTTCTCCCAGACGTGTTGTGTGTCTACTCACACCAGCTCGCCGACAGACCGAGTGAAGCGTCGCCCCCGCATCGATTGAATTAGCGAAGTGGGTATCCCTGAGGCTCAAACATGGCTCGTGCCGCTCATTTAGCTCCGTCTTAGCTCCGGGCCCTTGATGCCACGGTTGAATCTTTGGTCAATGCAATGTAAATCTAAAGCCAGGTGTACTTTGTCGCTTTCACCCGCAGTCGCTCTACAAACACCGTCTTGCTGACTTCCCTCTTTGCGCGCTCTTCACTGCGCTGTCCGATCCTTTGTATACGCCAGAACAAGCTATAGTCCCGCCCGCGCGCCCCTTGCACCAGATCATCGCCAATACGTCAATCGAGGGACCACCGTGATAGAGCACCCGCAATGGCAGAAGCAGTCCGACGCAAGGTCAACGAGACCAACGGAGGGGCCAATGGAAATGCGCATCACCAATTAGACGGCGCAGTCCATGCGATCGAGCAGAAGCTGGAGGAGCAAGCGGAGCTCCATGCGCGCAACCCCCAGGAGCAGAAGGAAGCAGGCCTGTTCCAGTTGGTCATTTGCGTCGCCGGTATATACGGGAGTTTGTAAGTCACAGGGCGCGAGGGTAGATTGGATTCGAGGACCCTGACTGACAGCAAGACAGCATGACTTGGGCATGGATCCAAGAGCGGTTAACGACCACCACCCACGGTCCCAACAACGAACGCTTCACATACTCCATCTTCCTCAATACGGTTCAATCTGCGTTTGCTGCCATGACCGGCCTCCTATATCTCAACCTCTCCGCGAAGAAAGACTCCAGAACCGGCCTTCGCAAAGTGCTCCCTATATTCCCTTCCAAAGACATCCTGGTGCCGCTCCTTGGAATCGCCGTCACCTCGTCGCTCGCCTCTCCCTTCGGATACGCAAGTCTGAAGCACATCGACTATGTCACCTTCATCTTGGCTAAAAGCTGCAAGCTGCTACCTGTCATGTTCCTCCACATCTCGCTCTTCCAGAAGCGGTACCCAATGTACAAGTACGCTGTCGTTGGTTTTGTAACACTGGGTGTAGCCGTCTTTACCTTGCACAGCCCGTCAACTGCGAAGAAGGCCGCCAAGAAAGGTGTCAGTGCGGACGCGTCGCAAACCATCGGTCTTGTTCTACTCGGTGTCAATCTACTTTTCGACGGTCTGACCAACACAGTTCAAGATCACATCTTCAGCAGTTTCAAAGGCTTCACTGGGCCCCAAATGATGTGTGCGCAGAACATCATGTCTACAGCATTGACAGTTTCATACCTACTCATCACCCCGCTCCTCGCTTCCACTCCCCTCGCTCCCTGGATCGGACTCGACCCCCGTTCTACCTCCGGTGAACTCTCCGACGCGCTGTCTTTCATAACCACCTACCCCGCTGTAGGCTGGGACGTCCTCATGTTCTCAGCCTGTGGCGCTATAGGCCAGGTTTTCATCTTTCATACCTTGGCTCACTTCAGCTCGTTGCTGCTTGTTACTGTCACAGTTACGAGAAAGATGTTGACAATGGTTTGGAGTGTGTGGTGGTTTGGCCACGAGATTACAGGCATGCAATGGCTTGGTGTTGGGCTGGTCTTTGGTGGAATTGGCGCTGAGGCTGCGGTGGGGAGAATGGAGAAAGCGAAGAAGGCTGCGGCCAAGAAGAAGGGGGAAGAGGAAGAGAGAAGGAAGAGGTAGACGATCCAGGCGTTTTTGCTGGATCCTGGCACATAGAGCAGTTTTGGCATGTTCATTTCGTTAGAGTAACTGACGATAGACTTTTCATTTGAAGTGGATATAGAAAAGATTGTTTTGTCAAATACGTATCTCAAAGTGCTGGGAGCCATCTCAGGCGATCTGTGTTAAGTGAGCCTTACTCAGCGATATCACAACATCACTAAGATCTCACCGCTTGCGGGGGAAATGTCTACACTTCCTTCAACTTCCGTCTTCTGCAAAGAGAAACACATACACAATTTTCGATGCTGTCGATATGATAGGATCGACACAACTACTACCAAGCTTCGAGATGCCGTATTTGCTTACCGGGGTCTTGATGGTGCAAATGTGGGTGAATGATGTGTTTGTGGTTGATCGGTCATAATAGAAATCCATATCTGCTTTCAGGCCGACCTTCATTCTTAACGGTAAAAACATCGAGTGCATGACAAAGGCCGTTTGTAAAAGGTAACGAAGTAGCACAATCAGGCTGAGCCTTACTCATTTGCACCACCACTCTTCGATTACCCTGCCTTCTCTTCCCCGACTTCAACACTCATTTCCCACCCAGATATTCTATTTCCAATATTTACCTAGACAACGTGCTCTGAACGATGTCAAATGAACCTCTTCTGCCTTCCTATGGTGCGGCGACGCAGCGCACCCGCCCCAACGAATATCGACTCGTCGTAAAACACACTCATGCCTCACGCGCGCTGACAGAGACTATCTGTGCACCCGTCTTCTTGATCAGCGCCATCTTGGCTACTGTCTGGGCCACAGATCTCGTAAGTAGAACTCTAATTCTATCATCAACCTTTAGAGTATACGTATTGATATCATATAGTTTAAGGCAACACCAACTGGCTCTGCACCCCTTCTCCCATACTTTGCTTCCCTGTCTCTCGTAATATCTACATGTTTCTGGACTGGTTATCTCATCACTACCGCTAGCGATAACGTCGGTGGCCCGGTGCTGCAGAGGAAAGTAACAATTGGTGTTGCAGTTGTGGGAAAATTGGTACTTGCAACGGCTGATATAGTGATATGGCAGACATATAAGATGCGGTATGAGGGGCTTTAGACACCAAATTGGGTAGTTGTGTTCATGGCAACGCAAGCTTGGTTTGATGTAGTGTTCTTTTGGGGTCAATGGGTGGGTGTTGTGAGAATATTGATACCTAGTCGCGGGATGGACAGTGAATGGAGCAATGAAGTGACCAGAACACGTGGAGGCATTCGTGTAGGAACTATCAGGTTGGCATATGCTATGGCTGCTGCCTCTGCACGTTTAACGTTTTTATTGTCGGTAGCCAGCGCGTCGAACACAACGTCACAAAAGGTACATAAACTTGCTGCTGCTAAACATCTTGCTCGTATTCACGAGAGAAGAGGACGATGCGTCTTTCGAACAAATCTCGTATCACTGTTGTTTGGCCAAAAATGACTGAGCATGGTATTGGAATTAGCACTCATCTCACATGACTGACCTTCTGTATATATTTAACCTACATCCTGCGTCGGTTACTTTCCTTCTCATCATGCTTTCGCATGTTCTCATATGTGACGCGGCGCGTACATGTACGTGGCACATATCGCAAATAGACACAATATATCCGTTAAACCAAGTCTACTCGACACTGCCCTTCTTCGCCCACTCCCTAAGAACGTTCTTCTGAATTTTACCCGTACTCGTCTTAGGCAGCTCTTTCACAACCACAACCTCTCTGGGTACCATAAATCGACTGATATTACTATTCTCCTTAGCCCATTGGATCACTTCTTGACCCAAGGTTTCGCTGTTCGTTCCGTCCTTCGTGGTAACGAAAGCCTTGGGTCGTTCGCCCCAGTGCGAATCAGGAACGGCGCACACGCCGACTTCGAGAATGGAGGGGTGAGTAGAAAGCATAGCTTCAAGAGCTACACTCGATATGTTTTCACCACCTGTGAGATGCATTGTCAGTATACCGTTCTAAAGAGAATACGCAAACACAGGACGATTTCAGGAGATGCAACAACATACCACTAATAATGATGTCCTTCGCCCGATCCAGAATTTGGATTGCGCCATCTGGATGCCAAACCGCCAAATCGCCCGTATGCAACCAGCCACCTTCCCACAACTTACGCGTCGCCTCGGCATCCTTGTAATATCCTTTCGCGCAGATGTTGCCCTCGAAGATGACTTCGCCTATCTCTTTACCGTTTCTTGCTACGTCGATGAGAACGCCCTCTGGCTGCTCTGTCTTGATGACCCGCGTCGCTTTGCCGACGATGAAACCATGACCCTGTCGTGCCATACGATCGTATTTGACTTTCTCCGGAAGTATATCCCATTCAGGCATATGGTAACCTTTTGTGATTGGACCGTAGGTTTCCGTAAGGCCATAGACGTGTACAGGATTCAAGTTCAGATTTGACATCTGTTCAAAAAGCCAGGCGCTTGGTGGGCTTGCCGCTACAGTCACTCTCACTGATTGAGGTAAACGTTCTGCTTCTTTTGCCGCGCAAAGGAGGGTGTTGACAGTAGGCGCAGCGTTGAAATGCGTGATACCTTCTTCCTTGAGTAGGCGCCAGATCTCTGGGTAATCAATCTTGCGGAGGCAGTAGTGTGTTCCTCGCACGGCAGTTACAGACCATGGGAAGGTCCAACCGGTGGCATGGAACATGGGAAGAGTCCAAAGATACTTTGCACGGCCTGTGTGATAGTTTAGTCCGGATTCAATAACATTGCCCATTGCAGCGAGGTAGACGCCGCGATGTGTATATTCGACTCCCTTTGGTCGTGCCGTTGTCCCACTAGTGTATGCAAGTGCCATGACATCCTCCTCGTCCTTTGCCTGCGCCTCTAGACCAGCCCAGCCTTTGCCGCCCTGTTCGATATCGTACTTCAGTCCTTCGAGTACTGCATCGTCGAAAGGGCCTGAGAGCTCGCCTTCGGTCGCGTCCGTATCAGTATCGACCAATATCGGTATGCTTGGTCTCTCTTTCTTGTACTCGTCCAATAATCCCACAAACTCGGCATCCGCAATAATCATATCAACATCCGAGTGCTGGAAAATGTAGCTGATGTCATCGTGCTTCAATCGATAATTGATCGCGACATTGACACCTCCTGCCGCTGCGATGCCGAATGTGCTCTCCAAAAAGGCTGGAGTATTTGTCGACAGTATACCGACTCTCTTATATCCGTGTTTCCTCAGATAGTATGCCAGCCCTCGTGCGCGATCCGCAGCTTCAGCGTAGGAGCGCCGTAGGATCTTGTTGTTTGCTGTCTTGTGGTATATTGCCGTCGCGTCGGGCTCGATTTGCGCCGCGCGCCAGAGAAACCATGTGGGGCTGAGGGTGTGAAAGTTGTGTCGGTGATGGTATTCGTGGCTGTCGCCAGGATGGATAGGTGGAGGTCCGGGGACAGGGTTCGCTGAGGTGAAGTGCGACGCGAGTTGCTTCAGACGGTCTTTGGCCCCCTCCATTGTATCTGCACGGCAATGTAGTGGTCTATGGGTACAACGACAACTTATATACGCGTAACAGAAATACCGATCTACAGATTGGTCCAGGCTGAGCTGAAGCTATAGACGCAAGAGTGCGGAGTAGCTCCGCTATGGGACGAGATGCGAGAGATGTCCGAGGTCTTGAGCGATCCAAGGTTCACAGGCGCAAACCAAACAAGGGGTAAGGAACGGAGGAAGAAATATATCTCAGCTCTTCTCTAGAGCAGCCACTGCCTGGAAGCGATCTAATACATGTATTGCAGGGTGCAACGGTAGCTGATGTTGAGGCTTACAACCATGGATTGGGGAAATCTGGGGAAGGGTTCCGGTTCCGTTGCGGCACGACGTCACAGCCGAGGTTAACCGTCAGTAAGGCTGTCTACCTTCTCCGTCCTTTCGTGCGTGTCGGATCGGATGCGCATGGTGAGTCCGAGTGCTATGCAAGACACTGTGTCACTTGAAGCGTGCATGTTTTACTCAAGGGGAATCGTAAGTCAATTGACATAACCACAAGTCTATTGCTGAACGCTCAACGCCGTCACCATGCTTTACATCAGCTGGGATTTTTCATTTCGTATTGCTTCTAGCCGGAAGAGTACCTGAAGACACAGCAGACCGACCGCGAAGAGACCCATGAACACGTAAGCACCCTGGTATTGATGTGCTCTTTTAGCCTGGACACCCTTTCAAATGGTCGGAGTATAGTAGAGGAAATAAACATCCCATGAGCCCAATGCAATCCACGCCGAACCACGTCACCGAAACTGAAACCGACACTGTTCATCGACTGCCGATTTCTAGTATCCGAGGGATGTGAGCTCTTGCTGGACCTTGGAGTCGACATTGGCCGTCTTCTTGGCCTCAGCCAACTGCCGTCGGACAGCCTTCTTGCGCTCGTAGTAGGCGGCACCCTTGACCTTCCTGCGCTCCTCAAGACTGTATGTGAATTAGCAAATTTGAACTGCCTGAACTTGGTACATGTGACATACCGGGCAACGACGTCCTGGTACTTCCAGCCGAACTCGTGACCGAGACGACCGACAGTGCAGTACTTGCGTCCGGGCTTGAGCCTCAGTACCCTCAGGGCCTGGGGAACAACGACGCGCTTCTTCTTGTCGTAGGGAGCGGGAACACCCTCGAAGGTCTTCAAGCGCTCCATAGCGGCCTTACCGCGGGGAGTCTTGTGAGGAATCATACCACGGACGGTTCGCCAGAACATCTTGGAAGGAGCGCGGAAGTGGAAGGGACCTGGAGTATGAATTAGCACACGTGCCGTGGCAGGTCACGCATTCGAGTTTTGACTGCGAATGCGCAATGCATGGACAGGAAGACGTACCACCGCGAGTGGGGTTGTAACGGGTCTGCTTGCGCAGGAAAGCAGAGTACTTCACTGTATGACCCTGTCAGTTGCCGTCTTTCCAGAAACATATCCCGAGAGCGCTCAGCCAAAGAGCAAGCACTGTGCATATTGTCGACCACATCGTCTCCTTGTAGCCCCATACTCTCAATTGCACTCCAGGGCTTGCTCCTTGTCTCGCTCGCTCGTTCGGTGAGTGTACGTACACTTGGCGCGGAAGAACTCGCCGGAGATGTTGAGGGCCTCGCATCGCACAACAACGATCTTCTGGCCGTTGAGGAGCTGCTTGGCGACGGTGCTGGCGAGGCGACCGAGCAAGTGGCCCTTGCCGTCGATGACCTGCGTGCGCTGTCAGCGAGACGTTCCATGGAAGAATGCGTATTGTTGACGGAATTGGAGGCTGGCATCGCCGCGGAATGCGAAGGCCAGTACTGGGCATATCGGGTTGCGTCTATCGGGGCGTACGTACAATGACGGGTTCGAAGGTCGACATTTTGCTCGACTCCGGTGTGCTGTGAGGTTAGTTGTCGTGATGGAGAGCTCGAGAGATGCGAATTCCAGGTGGCTCAGGACTAAGCGAATTCAATATTCGACTTTGTGGTGCACGGACCCGTTAGCGTGACTGCCATCTCGAACACCACTCGCACCTGCACATCACCACGCTTTGCACAGCAGCGGCGGCCAGCGCCCCATGAAAACACGATGCACGTCTTGAGCCGTCGTGCATATCTAAGCGGCTTGCTTTCGAACGATTTACGTAGCCTAGCTACTATGGCCATGGCAACCAGTCGCTGCACTTCTGCAGTCTCTGCCCACTACTCTCGCGCCCGGCATGAGAGCACAATACGAGGCTGCATCTGCAGCGAGAACAGTAGGATAGCCATTGCCGCAACAAGGGAAAGGAGCTGCAATCTTCTGGGCAATCGATTTTGAAACACCGTCGTCGTCTTGTACCCGGGTCGAGTTTCCTTTGACAGTTACCGATCCTTCTAATCGTTGCAGCTCCAACACAGGCGGCTTAGCACTTCTGTTACACGGCTTCATCTTACTACTGGATCCGTTACTGTTTCACACAAGAACTGTTTGCAGACTCCATTGGACTTGCCTGGATGATCAGCAGTCTTTGTATTTTGGCCAGATTGTCTTGTCGCGCATGTATATTTGCTTCAACCCGGATAATAGAGATAAGCTCCTTGAACGCTGCTATCTAGGTGTGTTTCTCAACGTTACCTATTCCCTGGGGACTGTCTCGTTTTCACTATGATGTATTGTCGTAATCATTACTATCTCCAAGGAATGAGGGTTTCAAGATTCATAGAGGAACGAATTCGCGATCTTGTGTGCTCTGGTATCTGTGAAAGATTCCAAAAGTCTCATTGAATTGACATAATCGCGTCCTATCGCATGATTGCTGCGCCTGCTTGGTAGTACCGCATTGAGTTTCCGTCACATCATACCCGTTTTCGGCAAGCACAACTTCATCAAGCTCTTGCAGCCTCTTCTGCGGCATCTATTCGCTGCAACCTTAAGGAATGATAACAGCACCTGCCACGCTCTACTTCGCAACAAAACCTTCCAGAGCAGTGAGATATCATTTCAAGATTCGTAGTAATGGTCACGCTCAGTCCCCTCTCACGTGGTTCTTCAGCGGTTTCCCCATGACTGAGGACAGACGTGTACCAGTTCTATATAAACAAGGAAGAAACCGCGTGTAGCCTACAGCAAAGAAGCAGTTTTACATGTCGGCCACATTACAGCCGGATAGGGGTACTGAATCGATATTCCTAAGACCAGTCTTCGTAGACTTGTACAGACGGTTGATGATAGCCGCGCAAACCCGAGCTAGTACTTCATGACCATTTGGCTCTATTTTCCATGCTGGAGAAGAGTGTTGCATTTGCGACAACCAACAGACTGCACCGGTCTCTCGTTTGCTTCCCAACAAATTCACTTTCTGTGCACGGCCAGGATAGCCATTAATTCATCACATAGAGTATGATAAATCATGGCTGAAGCCTAGCCGTCCACTTCCGGGCTCATCGTATCTTCCAACTTACGTTCAAAGCACAATCTTCAGTCCTAAGTTTTTCCATGATCGCCCTTATGTATGGTCACACAGAGCCTATGTTTGGGATTCCGCTCGGTGATATCGAGTCCAGAACTCTCCATTTCGACTAACGCTTTAGTGGGTGTGGCTGCCGCACCAAGTCGGAGGACTGGAACTGTCCTGGCCACCGGATCGAGATTGTCGACTACGTCAATGCGTAGAGAAGACGTTCCACTGGCGGATCTTAGACTGGTTCAGTTTGGCCGAAGTCGGATTTGCGAGAAGAAACAAGACTAATATAGGGCTGAAGCTTGCATCGGCTACAGTGTTCTTGAGCCTGAGGTTCATTGGTAGTGGCAGACGTAGCAAATGTACAGAATTTTCGTTCAGGATTACCATCAGATTACAGGATGCGCTGATCATTAAGATACGGCGGCTCGATGACGGTCTTACTACGGATACGAAGCTTATGTTGTCGATCGAACGAAAAGTCCAGATCTGCAGTGAACGTCACATCTCAGCATCCCTAGGCAATCGCATATTCTGAGGATTCGCAACACGACAGTTGTTTCGAAATTTGGCATTCCAACCATGAAGTTTGAACGACCGGCGATCGGTCAGTTTGCTGTTTCTTTTACGTATGAGCCCGCACACACGTATTGCCAACTTATGCTCTTGCGGGAGCTAACCACGTGGTCTGTGTCGCAACAACAGTTTGCTTCACGCGCCACACCTTGATGCGATCACGAAGCAGACCCCAGGCATTTTCTGCTTGGCATCATGCACACAATCTCCCCTCGAGGATTTTCAGCCACGTTTCACAAGACTGCGCCATACCTTGGCCATACGCCCCACCAAATTTGCGCCACTCCTGAGTCTGCTTGGCTCATTTCTGTTGGCCCAAGTGAGCAGACGCAGGAGACATCGTACGTGTTTGCTCTTGGCCATGTGGCTAGTGCTGTGGCTAAAGCCTGACCAGACGAACGGCATTCGTATTGGACTTGATGTGACCTGCATGATGGTGAGCGAAAATGGGGTGCTCTAAGCGAGTTGCTGAGTCACCCGGAAGTCGGCACATGTGATTCAAGATAAGCACCACTAAAAAGCGTAGGGTGTTCCAATTACCAACGTATAAGCGTCGATAATTGGAAGCATAGTAATGCCAAGGGGCCTCGGTATGACATGGCTGCATTGTCGGTATCTCCGACAGCAAAGGAATTCGCATACTGTACATACGGATATGTGGTGAGTGACCCGATGGACAAGCATCGCAAACGGGTATATACGAATCAACCGACATGCTGCCGGGAGCAACTGCAGGAACCGCTACTGCTTGAGCAGAGCCTGCTCTTTCAGGACATTCCGTATCTCAAAGGATTATACTTGGCGGGTCCAATACGCTCGTTCTCTTAGCAGAATGTATTCATGGGGAAACTGAAGCGGTAGCCGGCCCCACCGAGCGCTCGAGCAAATCGATGGTGGTGACCAACCGACATTGGAAAAATTGGGAGGAGTCCAGGACTGTGGTTCGTACCGGCATTACCATGGTGACAGCTGGGCTGCTCTATAAATTCA